AGGAACAGTCACTACCCTACAAAATCCTGTGAAGCACTTTGAAATGTCCCCCTATGCGAAGGGCGCTATAACAGTATTATTATTATTATGAGTGCAGTTCATGGCTTTCAAAATGGTTATGTTTCTGTCATTTACAGACCAACTCCGAAACTCAACATGCACCTGAAACAATGGGGTCAAAGAACTAGGGTTCGCAAGAGGAATCATAAATGGAAAGCCTTGCAAGCAATCGGATGTGCATCATTCCCACAGACTCCACATCCTATCCACATTTCCTCACACCACTGGAATCTCTCCATCCAGACACTGTCTCACACTCCTGGACTCCTCACCCTCACTTAAAATCACTTAAAAGTGGTATCAAAACTCACCTGGGGACTTGCAGGTTCATCAGTTGGTAAATACTGCCACCCTGTGGCTGAATGATTGAACTGCAATCAACGCAGTATTCAGTTACCTTTCAGGTTGAAGACATGTTTTAACTCTGCTTTTTAAAAAAAAGCTTCATTTTTTGGTGTGTTCACTTTGTGGCGTTATTATAGCACACATATAATACTAAAAAAAAGACAGTATATTTTTACGGTGTTCTCTCAATGCGAAAGGTACTATATAAATATACATTTGTATTGTACAGTGGACGCTCATACTGAATTGTGAGTCATTTTCAAAGCCAGGTTCTGTTTAAGATATTTCAAAAGATCTTAAGAGAGGGTCGGATGTAGAAGGCCCTTCAGCCCATATGATCTCATCTTTCCAGAACACTCACACTACCATTTTCTCATCACAGTATCCAGCTGTTTTTAAATGAGTCCAGTATCCTGGCATCAACCACCCCAGCTTGGGGTCATTCGGTTTGTTCTGGGTAAAGAAATACTTCCAGGTGACTGTCCTGAAATTGTCTTTTGCAATTCTAAACCTGTATCCTCTTGTGCTGCATCCATAATCTTTTTCTTAATCTACTGTCTCAATCCCATTTATAATCTTATATACAGTGCAGTATATATATATATATCAATACATATATATAGTGCAGCCTTACAGTCCAAATTCACTTCACATGCTCACAATTGGCCAGTCTTTTGCACTAAGATGTCTGCCTTCATGGGGATTAGTTCACAGCCAACGCACTTCCTGCTATGCTACACATAAATACTACAAACATAGTGATGTTGGCAGTGATCTGATGACCTGAAAGTTGACATTTTCTCTTTCAGCACAGCCAACTCACTCACATTCTTTTCCAATAAACATCTCTGGAATTTCCATGTGTAGGTGGATACATTGAACTCTCAAGTTTGGTTTGGATACTCTTAAACGTGGTGATAGATTTCCGCATGTGTCAGACACCCGGCTGACCCCCACCAAAAAAAACAGAGGTGTGGAACTGGAGAAAAAGTGGAAATAATCCTTGCATTTGCATTGCTCTTTGGTCCTTGCTCTTCGCACTATTCATAAATGATGATAGAAAATTTCTGAGAACATCTCTAATAACAGCATTCAAAGATAATCTGAGTAAAGTGAGTGAAAGCCGTCAGGAATGGCACACTGAAGGGAATAGTAGACTGAGGGAAGGTAGACTGAGGGAGCGGTGAATGTCTGTGCTTTAAATAAACGATTGTCCTTATCCCAATGATTTGACAGGAACACCAATTGGTACAAACATAACTAATTCATAATTTTTAACCTCAAATCATTCCAAGAGATTCCCTTGAAATCCCAACATTAGATGCCGCTTTTCTATCAGCCGCTACACATTAAACCAACAGCCGGTAACAATCAACCCACAATCAAACATGATCTGGCAGCAGCCACTGGTGCTAATGGCTGTGGCTCTATGACTTGCCCCCGCCACACAACATGTGTTCAACACAGAGGTTATATCACAGCAGCTGTATCTCTGACAATCACCACATGATTGCAGTTCAAAAGTTTCTAAGATTTTAAGTGCATTAACCCTTAAATTCCTGAGAGCTACTTTAATGGTGCAGAACATTCAGTACCTATGTCCTACAGTCTGATTTCAGGATTTAAAGGGTTAAGACAAATATGCAATATAAGGCATGAACTTCAGAACAAACTTTCCAAACCTGAGGCTGAATTTTATTCTATATCAGATACAGTACTATAGCAGCATGTGGGTTGGTGAAATTGTTGGTTATAACTTGCCGACTACAGTACATTTTGTAACATTTTGCTTTTGCTGCTTTTCTTTCATACTTAACTATAGAAATGATTAAAATACTGCTTGATTCAGGTACATACTGGATAAGTGTTATCTTGGCTTGGTTGGTATTACTGTCACCTCTGGGTCGAATCCTGAGACTGGGACTTTGAATGCGCAGGTTAGGCTGACACTCCACTGCGGTGTTGAAAGAAAATTGTTTTGTTGGAGGTACTGTTCTTCTCAGGTGGACATTAAAGAACCATGAGCTTTTATAAGAGATTTTACAATGGTCATTCATCGCCTTGATTGATATTGCTGTATGAAAATTAGCTACAAATACACTTGACAGAAAAACTCTGAAGCGCTTTGAGTCATTTCAATGTGAATTGGACAGGCACTTGAAGAGCAAAAATTTGCAAAGATACGGGGAAAGAACAGGAAAGTGGGATTGATTGGATAGCTCTTCCAAAGAGCCGGCACAGGTATGGTGGGCTGAATGGCCTCCTTCTGTACTGTAATATTCTGATTCTATGAATTTGATATAGTGCCTTATTTCAACAGGGACTACAGCTTTGTTCTAACAGTGAATGGCATTGATGTATTCCACCATTGTAACATGCTGTATTATGTTAGTCTTTATAATAAATAATATAATATATAATAGAGAATTCCTTCTTGCCTTCCATTTTCTATGTTTTTTCTGTTGGGGTCATGTGGTGGAAAATGACAACTGGTTCCCATTTGTGTATCATAATTGGAGTAAGAGTAATCCTGGGATTTGTTTTAATTGTGATATGGGGAATGCATCGCTTAAATACACTGCATCCTGATGTCCTAACTCATCAAGTTAAAAGAGTCATGAGATTCAATCATAGGGGGTTGCCATCTATAACCATCATTGTGTCACCCTCACCAACTAAAAACAGCCTTTACTTCTAATGAAGTGAACTCAAGAGTCTTGAGCAGCGGAGAAAATTTGTTTATATATTCAGAGGACTGAAAGGCAAACCATTGAGCTTCTAAACTAGTGTCACAATTTCATATCTTTGTCTGCCCGAGGGTGTACCGAATGACCTCCTAATTCCACTTAGTTCTAAAGTGGCTACAAGTCTCAACTGCATCGAAAGATTGTTTTACATTTGTTTTTTGAACTTTAACAAACTGTTCAAAGATGGTAGTTTTATTCATTGAACTTGAAGTTTATGAACTTCAAAGAGGTATGCAATTTGTGGTGGGGAGAAAGGATGAACATTAACACTAACTGCTTGACACCTTTTTGTTTACAGCAGTATATCGGTAACTGGACTAGTCTTATTCACACCTTGGTATGAATGGACCTTCACAGAAACAGTGAAACGTTAGTCTCTCTAAAACCTGCAGCCTTTGTCCTTCCAGTTTTCTTTCATGTAGCAACTGCATTGTCAGTAGCGTTAAAGATCCCGTGGCACTAATCAAAAAGAGCAGGGAATTACTCTTGGTGTCTTGGCCAACAATTCCTCAGATAAAATTGGTCACTCACTTCATGGTTGTTTGTGGGACATTGCTGGGCACAAATTGCCTGCTGAGTTCACCTACAAAATATACAATCACCACACTTTAAAGTATATTTTGTGAAGTGCTTTGAGATGTGAAAGGTGCATGTAACAATCATTTCTTAAAGTGGCTAACACAANTTTTTAAATTGTCACAAAGTAATCTGTTATAATTGGAACCTTGGAAATGATCCAGACAACTGGCAGAAACATTTGGTCCGGGGCTTTGATAGAATGAGGAATCCATGTAGGTCAATGATTGATGTATTCATTACTAAAGATCAAACCAATACTCAGAATCATAGCTTTGAATATTTCTCTAACATTAGCTATTAAGACTGGGTCACTACATTTAAGTCTCAGAGCAGAGTGAAAATCGCCCAGGGCTCCCGAATGCTATCCAGAAAAGGCTGTGCGAGGTTGAGCATATATGGATGTTGGATGGACAGAATTGGGCTTGGCTGTGATATCTCTCCAACGCAATAACCTGCCCATATTACCACATCAATAATAATAATCCTTGCATTTGATATAGCACTTTTCAAGTCTTCTAGACGTCTCAAAGCGCTTCACAGAATAGACTGTAAAGTGAATTGACTGTATACTTGTGGGTGAAACTCGGCAGCCAATTGCGCACAACAGTGTCCCACAAACAGTCGTGGATTGAAAATGACCAATTTGTAATTTTTTTGTTTTGGAGGGATTATTATTAGGCGTGTGGAGTAAGGAAACTTGCCCAAGGTTTCGTCCAGGTGTTTCGCTTGCAAGGCGAGTGCTCTAACCACTAAGCTACAGGACTCTCATCAATAATAATCACCTGAGTGAAGTACCATAGACCACACAGTCTCTTAAACCATTTTCCAATAGCAGGAATCAGAAATTGAGCACCTTCAAGGAGAGGGAGAACATTGGCGGGAAAAATGGTAGAATTTCTATTTACAGGTTAAAATAATAAATGTTGCATTTTATTTCTATAGGTTATGAAAAGCAAGAGCTTCTTGATGCAATGAAGCTGCAGCTCAGCTGCCTGGTGTAACAAGTCATCACAAGCAAACAGCTGATTGAACGTCTGTCCCAATTTTCAGAAGAATTAGTTACAGTTACATCCCAGGGCACCAGAGTACCATCTCAGGAGTAATTTTATATAGGCCTTGAAAAACAACTCCAGTAATTTTCAGTGGCAGGGGAATAAGTTACAACAGCTGATCCAAAGCTATGAAGTTTGCTGAAAAGTGAGAATGATATTTCCCTGCCATTGCTGACAAGTAACTATGACACTGAAACCGTTAAACAAATCAGATACAGACCAATAGTAGAGATCAACCCATTGATTTATAAAAGGTCATATAATTTTAATTTACATTATTTCCCCTTTATACAGACAGCATTTCTCAAATATTACTTATGTTTTTGCCTTCAAAGTGCAAGTATGAATGCGAACTGGTACTCCATGGTCTGCAACACACCATTAGTTTGTATCAGGATCATGTCGTGGACAAGATCCTTTTCATAGGCTTAAAGGTAGCATAACGTTCTTGTGGTACTTTCAGTAAATAGTTGTTAAAATAATTTTCAATGCATTTGTTCGCTGACTATGTTTATGACTTGCTGTAAAAGTTTTTAACTTTCAATAGTATTTTCTTGGTCAGGTCCCAACTTTCGTCCCATTTGTTTTTGTCCGGGCTTGTGCACGTCACCATGTTTTCGGTGTACTGCAGCATTGATTTCAAGAACCTGCAAGTGAGATTGCAATCTTTAAAACTGGGCAAATGTATTCAAAGGGCACACTAATTCAGTCATAAAAGTCTCAGTTTTGCTCTGTGCAAATTGGCTGCAGTGATCACCTATAAAATACAAATAAATATAAAATATAAAATATAAATATAAAATACAGTCATTACTTGACTGTAAGTCAATCCTTAGAAATGCTTTAGACGTCCTCCTGGTATGAAAGGCGCTATTAACAAATTCAAGGAATATTGTTTATTAGTAGTATTCTGCTTACTGTAGTCAGCACGTTACTCAGAGACCATAAAACACACACAATGGATTGTAGTGGATGCAGGAAAGAGGAATGTTATGTGTGTACTCTGAAGCAGTGTCTTCTACTACATAGAGTCCGTGCTCCTGCTCTTAACTTTCAGCAATTTAATAATAATCCTGGCATTCGATATAGCGCCGTATCATGTCTTCGAGACTTCTCAAAGAGCTTCACAGAATATACTGTAAATTGAATTGTCTGTATATTTTGTGGGTGAAATGCAGCAGCCAATTGCGCACAGCAGTGTCCCACAAACAGTTATGGATTGAGTGACCAAATTATTATTTTGTTTATTTAAATTTGAAGGGATTATTATCCCCCGAAAAGCGATCCTCACATTTAGTTGCAATATTTAGTACTGGGGGGAAAAAAATAAGAACTGAGCAGGCCTATATTTCAGTTATCTTGAGTTACCTCAGTTTGTTACTGTTAATAGTGTATATTAACACTAACAATTTACATATTATAGCACCTTTAATTACAGGAGAACTCCTCAAAGCACTTAACACAACTAGGGGAGGGGAGTAAGATTATCAAATTTCCTGACCAGGGAGGGGGATCACGGCATCATCAATAACATTAAGGAGTTTATTGATGTTCATAATGGTAATCTGCTTTGAATTGGAATAAAAAGATGTACTTGGACTGAATTTTGATTGTGAGGGTGAGTGGAGCAACTGGAGAGCAGATGGCTGAAAATTGTGAATTTCTATATGTATATTTTGTAGACTGGCTCAAGCAATTTTCTCCATTTCATGGTTTACATCTAAACGGGATTCGTTGCTTTCTGAAATAAAAAGATGAGGAAATGGAACAGCATCTGAGGTCAGTCAGTGTCTCCTGAGCAGGGGGAGCGAGTGGGTTGGTAGGGTTTAAGAAATTTGCAGGGGTAGGGTGGGGCAGGATCGTGGAGGAATTTAAAAGTGAGGATGACGATCTTGAACTCAATCCTCTCGGGGATGCAGAGCCAGTGGAACCAGGAGAGGTTGGGGGTGATAGGCTCGCAGAAAGGCATATACTGTGAAGTAATAATAATAATGCTTGCATTTGATATAGTGCCTTATCTAGACGTCTCAAAGCGTTTCATCAAACATACTATAAAGTGAATTGACTGTATATTTTTTGTGGGCGAAAGGCGACAAGGCAACCAATTGCACACAGCAGTGTCCCACAAACAGTTGTGGGTTGAAGTGACCAATTTATTATTATTTTTATTATTTTTGGAGGAATTAGTACCCCCGGAAAAACGATCCACCAATCAACTGACAACCGGGTTCCTATTTACTGCTAGGTAAACAGTGGAGTGTGGAGTCAGGAAACATGCCCAACGTTTTGCCCGGCCTGGAAATCAAACCTAGGTGTCTCTTGCTTGCGAGGCGAGTGCGCTAACCACTGAGTTACAGGACTCCAAGTGCAGTGAATGAGTGTTTAGTTTTTGTGTGGCAGCCAATTAAAATCTGTGGTGTTTTAAACTGTAAGATAACTAAGTAGATAAATAGACATCAAGTTTTGAATCATATGCAAGTTAGCTGTCAGTACTGTGTTGTTCCTGTTGGTGGCGATGGAGAGAACTATCTTTAACAGCACAGCAGTGTCACCTGCAGGAACACAGTGGGTATTGCAGGCGATGTAATATTTGTATCAAAATAAATTTTATTTTAAAAATAAATGACACATTGTAAGCTTGGAAGACTTCTGGCCAGAGTCTAATAACATATTTACAGTCACCAAAATCTAGGTTTACATCCATAATAATCCCTCCAAAAAACAAAACAATAATAAATTGGTCATTTTCAATCCATGACTGTTTGTGGGACATTGCTGTGCGCAATTGGCTGCCGCGTTCGCCCACAAATATACAGTCAATTCACTTTACAGTGTGTTCTGTGAAGCGCTTTGGGACGTCCTCCCGACGTGAAAAGCGCTATATCAAATGCAAGGATTATTATTATTATTATTATTGCCTTAAGAGAGCACTTTAATAACCTTCCTGCAGGTGTCGAAAGGAAAAGATAAATCCTCTGCTTAGACCAGCAGCTCATGTACTGTCCCGCACCAGGCTTCGCGACCACATCACTCCCACCCTCGCTCGCCTCCACTGGCTCCCCATCCCCCAGAGGATCGAATTCAAGATCCTCCTCCTCACCTACAAGGCCATTCACGGCCTTGCTCCCTCCTACCTCTCCGACCTACTATCCCCTACTTACCTGCCCGTACCCTCCGTTCCTCCGGCTCCGGTTTGCTCCACATCCCCCGCCCCAACCGCCCTACCATCAGTGTCCGGGCCTTCAGCCTCTCAGCCCCGAGGCTCTGGAACTCTATCCCCCAGTGCCTTCGCCGCCTCCTCCCTTTCCTCCTTCAAGGCCGGTCTCAAGACCTTTCTCTCCAACCGTGCCTTCAGCTCCCCTCTCGACTCTCTACCCCCTCCTCGCTCCCTCCCTTCTCTCCCCTCACCCTGACCATTTCCCCCCTGCTCGGGTCCCGACCCAACTGTCCAGCGCCTTGGGACGTCCTCCCGACGTGAAAGGCGCTCTACTCTATAAATGCAATCTTGTTGTTATTGTAGGTTTACATCCATTGCCTTAAGAGAGCACTTTAATTACCTTCCTGCAGGTGTCCAAAGAAAAAGATAAATCCTCTGCTAAGACCAGGCTGATTGTTTCATCTGCCATTCAATAGCAATGCTTCAAATATGAAGAGGCATAGAGGATGTGGGAGAATACTTCATTGAACAAAACCCCAAACTAAATATCCAGCAGTGACAATGCTTTAAAGTGAATTGCTCCATTTACTGACCAGTAATAGAATGTGGGGTTATACAGCATCAGATACCTGCAAAGTGAGCTTATTAAACAGTCACTCAAACAAAGTACCTGGGCTGGAGTATAAAGAAAAAAGGATTTTATAGCAAAAGTAATAGGTAACAGTAAGAAAAGTTAGAACTGGAATTATTAATAGAGCCTTATATTGAAATGCCTTGTTGCTTTACTGTAATTACTGTCCAGTGTAGTAACTGTTTTGTAGGCAAACAAAGCTGGAGTTAGCTAGTGTATGAATGGAGCAAGCTTGTGATTGTGGCTGGTTGAGAGCAAAATTATAATGCTTCAAACATATAATGCTTACTTCAAGTAGTGGTGACACTCAGAAGAAGTCTTCTCACTGACACGCTGTACGTTGAGCAGTTCCACAGTTAAGAGGAGCGTAAAGAGATTGAGAACGGAGTGCAGAAAATCAATGCTAAGGGAGAACATTTTAGACATTATTGCTTTGTTACAGCCATCATATTGAAGTGCAACTTTTAGAATACATTTGTAACATATATTACAGAACATCATACACAAAAGGCTCTCATACAGAAATAGTATAGGCTCTGTTATATTCGGCTGTTTTATTTAACATAAAAATGTAGCAATGAGAAAAGACTAAAACTCATGTTTGCATAGGATCGTATTGTGTCAAAATGCTTTACAAGTAATTCATGTAAATGTAGTGACTGCTTTTTTATAAAACCTTTTTGGTTAGTCAGATGTCTGACACACATGGAAACCCATCACCATTCTTAAGAATCTCCACAGCACATTCCACAAACACATGCTAGCTATGTATAAAAACTTCCCTAGTCTGGTATGGAATGTGCACCCCATTTATCTCCTCAATCCCTCCCCACCTCCCACCCCCACCAACGATAGTCCCTATTTGGTCATTTGACATCTGACAAGTGCAGGTTTGAGCCTTCACTTGGATTACAGTGGGTAACAGGAACTTCCTGCGAATCTCTTGGTGAGCAGCATAACTCAGTCTGAAATGTGCGAGCACCATCCTCATCACCATCCTTCTGCCCACAGCTTGGACACATATCCCCTCCCACTGAGTGATGGAGGTGTAAAGCTTCATCAGCAGCTGTTTACCTTTGCACCACAATCAACATACTGGATTGTCAGCCTCGACTATGAACGCAGGTTTCTCGGACCAATTCAGCCAAACAAAACAAAAAAACAGAGCATCCTATCCCCCTAAAATCTATTTAATTTTTACTTGATTACACCTTGGCACTTATGTTTATCACAAACAGACTGAGTTCAAACCTGTTCAGGGCCTGGAGGATGCAGGCCATACTCGAGGATCTCACCTGTTTAACATTCGAAGGTAATTGTGCCTTTGTCGGGAGCGCAGAGATTTGTCAATCCACTGTTGGTACCGAGTAGCTGTGTTGCTCATGACCTGCTCTGAAATGCTCAGGCACTGGGAGGTCACCTTCCTCAGTAACGCCACGACTTCCAGAACAATACGTGGACAGTACAAGCTGTACATCTGGACATCCAACAGTTTGGTCATCAGCTCAGGCTGCCTGCAACAGGAATCACTCAGTTACTCAGCGCAGTAACACTGACATACAGCTGAGGTGTAGAGTGCATCTCGAGTACTGAGTTTGCTATTTGAATTAACATATCTGGGATCTAACGTAGGGATAATTCACATCTCGATCAGTTTCCTACAGGTGAACTCAAAGCCATCTGTAGCACAGAATTGGTGGACACTCTGGGAACTAGTGGTAATAATATAATTAAGTTTACAATTATCTGGCAATTACCATGAATGATATCTGGGTCAAGAGCATAAGATTTAATGTAATCAAATATCAGGGGAAGGAGGGAAGAATTAAAATAACTTGTTTCTGCAAGATATCTCAGTTAGAAAAATCTAGCATTTTTTGAACAATTTGCTAAATTCGGTTAAAGGTTTGCTAGAAATACAATCAGTGGTCCTTGAAATGAACAATGCTGAAGGTGTCAAAAATTATATAGAAAAGATATTCCGAGGTAACAGAAGAGCCAAAAGGACTAGAGGACTGTTAAAGTGGAAATGACATGAAAACATATCTGAAATGGTGACTTTTAGCAGTATTCAGTGAAGAGGAAATCACTAACATGCTGTGGGACAGACACTACAGAATACTGAGGTTACTTTGGCACAGGGGAGACGTTATGGGGATTGAAGTATTCTCGTATGATCTCAGAGAATATTAGTAGTTCAAAACTAACAACTTGCACTTATATAGCAGCCTCCACTCAGGGTAGAGTCTTGGGAGCACTTAGTAGGGCCTTAGCTATTAATATGGAATAATTGTTGAACACTGGAGGGATTCATGCAGATAAAAGTTAGCAAGAGCAAAAAGGATTTTGACGACCAATTGTATTAACAGATCCATGGCAAATAAAAGTGAACACCGCTAAACATAAAATATTACACCTGGCTGGGGAAAAAAAAGACATTAATTTGCATGGAATTGAATGGAATCAAAGTAGAGGAAAGAGTTATAATACGTGCTTTTGGTCCATAAATGTAACCCAGTGTTATAAATGGGTACTATAAAAGCTGCAGATAATCAGTGCTTCCGGATCATCAGGATGCCACTGGCATCACTTTCTGCATGCTCCAAGGGTGTGCATTGCTGGCATTGCTTTTGAGAGAATTTGCAGTGGTGGCTGGATTACCATTGGAAGCCAAAAGGTCTTGTGTGACTGCTCAGGAAGCCAGCCAGTCAGCACTGGGTGAGTACTGAAGTTCCAGTATATCCGGCCAATAGACCGACCTACTCTATAACAAAGCATATTAATTGTAAGGTCCAACTGTAATCTACACATCACTTTTAATATCTAGTTAACTTGGAGAAGGAACAAAAATAATTTGAAACTTACAAGTGTGTTAACAAACAGTGTACAGGAAGAATCGCTTCCTTGTAATGTGGCAGCAACTGGTTCATTAAATTATAAATAATTTCCTCGGTCAATGAACCATGAAGAATTCTTTCAGTGGAATCTGGATAAAAACTGAAAAGCAGATACAATTACATTGTGCAAGGTAAACAAGCTGCAAACAATACACATCACAACCACTATTTAGGCTGTAGTCGCCTACTATAGAAGCTGAATAGGCTACAAGTATCTACTATACCTGCTATACAGGCCGTGGTGGGTATTTGCAACCTGCAGAATAGGTACTGAGTGTATCAGCTTCGGCTCAGTTGTTAGCCTCCAAGTCTCTTGGTTAGACGGCTGTGGGTTTAAGTCTCACATCACGCTTGAGCACAGTCTAGGTTGACACTACAGGGCAGCGCACGGTCAGAAGTGCTGTCTTTCAGATGAGATATTAACTCAAGATTCTGTCTATTCTGATGGACATTAAAGATCTCGGATACTATTTGAAAAAAGGAGTTTCTCTTGGTTTCCTAGCCAACAACTGGCCATTCACTTCTTGCTTCTTGGTTGTTTGTAGGATGTCGTTGTGCACAAATGCTCATCACATTTGCCTACAAAAGGAATCACTAAACTCAGCAGAAATTCCATGTGAAATGTTTTGAGCTCAGTCTAGGCAGACAGTGCAATACTGGGGGAGTGTGGCATTGTCCAAAATGCTCTGAAGCTACTATAAAAATTCAAGTTCTTTCTTGTTCTTATATTTTACATTGTTTAAGAAGGCAAAATCTTCAGAGCAGTTCAGGATTGTATGGACATTAACATATTTAGTCCTGATCAACATTCTTACCCTGATTTGTCATGTGCTGACTCCACCCTTGGTCGGGGTATCCCATCCCACTTTTGTAGGCTTTTCACACAGTCTCGAAGCTAGGAAGCAGAAAAAAAGCAATTAAATACATTAAACCAGTAAGGTGTTTACATGAAATCTCATTTCCGACAATGCTCCGTTATATGACAATGGGTAATTTAATGAGTGTCTTTATCTCTCCAAATCTTACACAGAGCATGAGGCACACAATTTGGTAAAGAAATGAATTTTGCTCTTCATTTCTTTTAAATACCTGCAGAGGAATCAAGAACATAAGAAAAAATGATACTTGATCTAAAGCACAAGTTTTCCTATCATCTGAATTAGATCTCAAAGAGACTTGGGTAAGAATAGAGAGCCCAGAGTTGCATCAGACATTTGTGGTTGGGAATTTGAAGCTCCAGTGTTAAATTGGTATGATGCCTATTCATTGCACTGAATTTATACACACTCACTACAATACTCTTAAGCATGGTGGTGTGTGTCAGACACCCGGACTGACCAAAAGATTATCACAGTTGTAATGTTGGTGCAGAACACAAAATAACTTATAGTACAGTCCTGTTGTAACTCAGTAGTTGGGGTCCAATAACTGAGCTAAAAATGCTGAGAAGTTCAATTTTCCCATTAAGACTAATCTTAACCGATTCTATTCCTTGTTTAAATAATCTTAACTCTCCACTCATCCTAAATATTCATCCATCAATGGATTTGGCTGGGTAAAAAGAACAAGTGTACAAGAGGCCTAGAAGGAGCTGGCCTGGCTATCTTTTCTATAAACGAATGCAATAATGTATAACAGAAATTGAGAGAAACAGAGGATCATATACTGACCACACTTGGTTTGAGACAATTCTTTTCATTAAATATAATTAGACATTCATACATAGAATTAAAATTTGAGGGGTGGTGGGGAGGACAAAGTAAGGACCTGCTACCTGCTGTTTAAGTCTTCCAATTGGATGAAACCGGGAACGATATGAAGATGTGGAACTGATGATCTTTGTCAGCCACTGGCTTTCCTAGATTTACAGAGAATATACATCAGAAAAAAGATAGGACAGTGTCAAAGCAACACTGTACAAATGCTGGATGTATTTTAAACAAATTACCATCACAAGGATATCTTCATCTCTTGAAAAGCGATATAGTAAAACTATAGACAGTGTTATCAAGTGATCGGCTATTTCTCTAGGAAACACATTAAAATCCAGTTCCCCATGACTGAGATGATCCCGGATTCGAGGCCCTGCTTGATGGTTTAAAAGGTCCCAAAGAATCTCCTGTAGAACAGACCCAACATATAGATATATAAATATTATATATATATATGCAATTAGATTTATATAAAAATATGCATCAATAAAGTTAATTATTCTGAAATTGGGACTTTCTAATATGAACCATCTCAACAACATGCAATCATCAGCCAGGCACCTCTGCACTCACACCTTTATGCATGACTCCACTAAATATAACTAAATATGTGCTCAACAAATTTAATCTGTAAACATTTCAATCTGTGAGATTATATTTAAATTGAAAGTGCAGTAGCTGCTGAAGAACGAGCACCATGTATTGTGTCAGATAATTTAACAGGATATGTAACAGTAAAGATATATTGGAACAATATGAATTGAGTGGTATTAGAGATAGTGTCTTTTTAAAAAACTTTAGGACCAGAGACCACCTAGTCTTCAGCTGTAATACCAATCTATCTTAACATTTAAGACTCTGCAGAATTGTGGAAACCTCTTAAATTCAGTGTTAATTTGGAAACTTTTTTTTTAAGAACTTTTTCTGACATAAAGAACCACATACCGAAAAGACGTACCATTAGAGGCTCTCCCAGAATAAGAGGAAGCTGGTTCACATCTTGATTATCCAGGTGTTGTACCAGCATCTGTATGAATAGATGTAAAAGCACCAGACTGCCCATTAGATGGTTTCACAGCATTTGTGATCTAGTTTGTTAGGAGAAACAATTCCCAGATGACTTGTAAATGTACCACATGTTAAATGACATTCATGCAGTCACCAATACGTCAAATTAATGTACAACTCCACAAGCATTACTGCCTTTAACTATTCTTACAGTTAAGACATAGAATTAACATTAGTTTGCATAAATTCAGTCTTTCAAAAAAAATCTGACTCTATTTAGTATGATTTGTTCAGCAGTTTTTAATTGCTAATTTTTAATAGGGCTAATTTACAGTATTCCTTAGTAAGGAATCTCTTCAGAATTCCCGTAGGCCTGAAGGAACACTAATGATATAATGGTAAATCACATTGGTGAGGAGTTCCTATGGATCAGTGTGTAAGACTGCATCTGCAAGACTCTTTATAAAGCTATAGTTAAAGCATATGTAAATCTGTACGACTTATTAATCACATAAATCAAACTTACTTCATCAAACGTGGTGAACAGAGTTGTGGACTGAAACAAAAATTCGTAGAAATTATAACATAAACAGAGCAAGTTCTGCATGGGCACATTTACAGCAACATCCCCAGTATAAACTAATTAAACACAAATAATTCACTTCTGCTATTAGATACGTGAACTCACAAGGTCAGTTCATTACATTGAAGGGAACTGGAACGTCTGATGCACATACTGCTCTAATTTAAAGCTACCATTTTTATTAAATCAACAACTGAAAAGAAAAATCAGACCTTTCTATAATTCAGGGACATATAACAGATAGAAAGAGCAATTGAAACTCAAGATTTTATGTTATTTGAAAACTAATATACATATGCAGTGTTGCAAATACAATGAGGATCTTGGAGGGTAGCCTTGTATTGTATACCATGCCATAGCAATCTTCTACATATGACAGTTATCACAGACAACCTACAATAGAGAGGACCACACACAGACAGGAACTTATGTGTGGCTACTCCTGATAGGAAGTAAAAAATAAATTTTGAATTAAAATGTGCCTGCATTATCAAGGAGAGTAGAACCATATACATCTGAGTGCTGCAGGTGTGATGTATTTACCTCTGCAGTCAACAGTCTATTTGAACAGTTGTTACTAGTCGTAAAAATTCTTCTAAGTCCCATCTCCATCTGAGGTAGCAAAAGTATTACACAGTCATCATATCTGTGAACACAAGTATTGTACAATGCAGTTAAAGTTTCCAAACATTTGCTTTGTGATTGTCAATTAAACTTGTACGCAAGATATTAGTGAAATCTGAAGTGTGCAGAACTCTGCTCTGCAGTGTGAGTGTACAGTGTGTAAGTCTGTACAGGCTCTGCAGTGGGAATGTGTACAGGACAAGTGCTCTGCAGTATGGGAGTGTGTAAAGGGTGAGGGATCTGCCTTGCAGAATAGCTCCTACACATGAATGTGGAATGAGGGTCCGTTAAATTTACTGCGCTAACCTTACCGTTGCTGTGTGTAAGCAGTAAATCCTTCCCTCCAGTAAGGTAGCATGATTTCCATTATAAAATTAGATTTCTCAATCAGGTTCTCTGCTGTCTTAAGAGCCTCCTCATTAAAGTCTACAAAAAAAGCACATTGTATGATATTCATTATAATCTCCGGAAAGTATTATTTTCCATTATGTCTCTCTTCTCATTTATGAGAGATTTTACACCTGGACTTGTGTAATAATTTTGTAAACCATCTATTCCACTCTGTACCATGTGATACAATGTGGCATCCGTGGGGCAACAGTGCATGAAGGGACATTATCAATGAATTTAAAACCCAGAAGACAGCCATATTTTGGCACAGGTCCACAGTAAATGCGCATGTTAAGTGAGGCGGCTGTATGTCTGGACATTGAACAGTCTTGAAGCACTTTACAACAATTACTGCTGCTAAGCATTTTTTTTAGGCAAATGCAACAGTAATTTGGTCCACCTCGGTGAAACATCCATGAGGTGAACTTTCAATTTACTTTTTGGTTGGGACACCAAAGAAGTTCCCTTCCCTTATTTCTGTCATGAAATCTTAACATCCATCTGAAGTACAGTCAAATTATATCTCTAATCAACATATCATCTGAAAGATGGCACGTCCGACAATGAAGAGTTCTCCCAGGAATGTCAATCCTCATCATAAACTCAGGGCCCAATGTGGAACTTGATCTCACAATGTTTGATCCAGATGTGAATGTGCTACTAATATCACACAGAACTCCAATGGCAAATTACACCAAATAGTTTACAATAATGTAGAATTTATATAAACTATAAATAATAAAACTTGCATTTGATATGCTTTATCACAGTAAAGACATCTCAAAACGCTTCACAGGATTTACTGTAATGTGTTACTGTGTGCATTTTGTGAGTGAATATGGCAGCCAAATTGCACACAGCAATGTCACACAAACAGCCGTGGAGCGAGTGACCAATTTTATTAGGGGGGGATTGGTGGCCAGGATACCAGGAGAAACTCCCTTCTCTTTTCGAACAATGCCATGGGATCTTTAAGGATCTCATGGACAGGCAGACAGTACCTCGGTTTAACAATCCAAACCCTTGTTCGTCCAGCGCCTTGGGACTCCCTTCCAACGTGAAAAGTGCTATATAAATCATAAGAAAGAAGGCACCTCCTACAATGCAGCACACCTCTAGCACTAAATTTGAGTACCAGCATAGTCTATGGGTTCCATATCCCAACATTGGATTTGAACCCGCTACCTTCTGACTCAAAGGCAAGAGTGCTACCAGCGGAGTCAAGCTGACAACTGAATAAAACAGGTGTTCAAGGTAAAACAGGTGACATTTATAAACCAATCACATTATGGTTCGTCAGTGCCCCTTTAGTGTTAAATCATGTAACAGCAACTCGGCTTCTTCTTAATCTCCAATAATATATTTATGAATTTCACAATGCATTTTGTTTTGCTTCTTGGTATCATATTATTACCTGGAAATACAGCAAGATCCTCCAGCTGTGTAAATTGGAAATAAGGTCGATGTTCTAGTTTGGACGTTCTTTGCAGCAGGTGTTGCTCCAGAAGCTGCCCTAATCCAGCTGTCAGTAACAGCAGCATTGAGAGGTACCTGGAAACAGATAACTGAGCGCAATGAGCAAAGTAAAGACTGGTGTTTACTAATGAACAATGTGTTTTACTCAAGACACAGCGGGGAAGTGAAGACTGGTCGGGGGAGTGTGTAGAATGGCACCCACCATTGGAGGGAGTGGGGGGAAGCTGAGAGAACTGACATGCTATGCAAAGCAGCTAAGGTTTTTGATTGCAGCTGAATTATCAGGAAGATGGCTGAACCCACAGTCAAAAACTAGGTCTTAAATAGGGTGGAAGCACTTCGAGATTGGGAGACTTTGAGGTGGGGGGACTCCAGGATGATGAACCAGAGATCGGGGTAGATTGGCTAAAAGCTCATTCACCAATGGTGTTCTTCAAAATCTACCTCTTCAATTATGGCTACGCTCACCTCTTTCAACTCCCCAGGCTCCCAGCTCAGTGTCCAACCCATTGTAAAGTGCTCCAAGACATATCCTATGTGAAGGGCACTATATAAATCAAGCTGAAGGTTGAAGGTTCCAACTCTTGCAATGAGAAAAACAATAAAGTGAACTTCCCTTAAATGCATCACTTTCCTTTCTTATTACTTTCCGATTGTGAAACATATAATAATTAATTAATTAATCCTTGCATTTGATACGAGGACGTCCCAAAGCGCTTCACAGAACACACTGTAAAGTGAATTGACTGTATATTTGTGGGCGAACGCGGCAGCCAATTGCGCACAGCAATGTCCCACAAACAGTCGTAGATTGAAAATGACCAATTTATTATTGTTTGGTTTTGGAGGGATTATTATTAGGCGTGTGGAGTAAGGAAACTTGCCCAAGGTTTCGCCCTCTGCCTGGAATTGAACTCAGGTCTCTCGCTTGCAAAGCAAGTACTCTAACCACTGAGCTACAGGACTCCATATAATAATCCTTGCATTTGATGTCGTCTCAAACCACTTCACAGGATATACTGTAAAGTAATGTGGCTGTGGGTGAACCCGCCAGCCAATCTGCATTCAGACGTGCACTGTCTCACAGACAGACATGCAGTGAAGGATCAATTTTATTTGGGGGATTGTTGACCAGAACACCAGGGAAAACTCCTTTCTCATTTTCAATAACATGTTGCTAAAACTGAAAAAGTAAAACCTGCGAAAGCATTATAGCTCAAAAGTTCTACAAAATGGCTGTACAAGAGTGCAGAGATGTTGTAGCCTGTTGGAGGCCACAAAGCTGGTTAACAAGCACTTACATCGGAGGGATTTCCTGAGGAGCAGCAAATCCATGCCACAGGATGTTGCGGAGATTCAGGCTTCGTGGTGAACCCAAGAACACTCGCAGGATATTCATCTGTGTTTGGACAACAGCGCCCAAGAAATTAGCTTCATAATATGGCCTAATACCTAAGCTTTACTAATCTACTACCACAGACTTGTGAATGTAATGTTTAAAATTCGAATTGTTATCAGAATGACTGATCAGTTTGAAATTAAAACATTGTGATTATCGACACAAATCTAAAACGTTCAGTGTGCAAACGATTAATAAGAGATCATCTTTGGGGGATGATGAGTCTGTGTTTATATGAAGATCAAAAGTTTAATACCAGTTACAACTGGGAGTTGCCACACGTGGGAATGATTTACACCCCTTTACAAGTAGGAGTCAATATTTGCTGATCTTTTCAAATCTTATTACAATTTAGAGTCAAAGTTTTACATACAATGTGACTAGTTCAGTGAAATCATAAGATTTGTGCCACCTTAATGCAAGAGGCAGAAAATGGGATAACATGTAGGAGTTCTGCTGAAATAGATACTGTAGGCTGACCTTAAAGCCATAAATTTTCCAACCCTAATTCATTAGCCAACTAGCACAGCAATACAGACAAGACACCAGTAAAGCTCTTATCTTACCACACCCTGCCCAAACACCATCACCAGCTCTTGTGAGGCCATCAGTTCTCTAAGCAGAAATGGGCACTCACTGCCAATCATGAGGTACACCTAAAGGATAAGAAAATAACTTTAATTACTCATACAAAAACATTTGTATTAATGTGAGAACCAAGAACCACCTGCAGTTGAATTCTTTTTCTCTTGAAGCCTTGTGCTCACAGCTGTGACAGACGGTTACACTGGAATCCTTTTTCTTCTCTAAATTTGTGATCCAAAGCATTTGAATTTGTGTAGTATGTAGCAGGCGTTCTTCACTGCTTCCCCCACCCCTCTCCAATTGTTTGCAAGTACAATAGACATTGGTGCAAATTATGTCCCTGCAATGTTGAAACCTTATTAGGTTGTGTGTCAGCCTGGTGCAGTAATAGCACTCTTGCTCCAAGTCAGACGATTGTGGGTTCAAGCCCCATGTCAGGACTTGGAATCACATAGTCTAAGCTGAAACTCCAATGGAGTCCCGGGGAGGCGTGTTGCAAGAGATGGGGAGCCAGTGGAGCCGAGTGATGGTGGGGTGATGGGGTCACGGAGCCTGGTGTGGGAGAGGACACAGGCTGGATGATCTGCAGCTTGTGGAGGGAAGGCCGACAAGCAGGGATTTGGCATAGTTTGGGAGTTTCTCCCTGAAGGGAGAAGTTTCTCCCAGGTTCCTGATCAACATTCCTCCAAATAAAATTTGTAACTGACTCCGTGGCTATTCGTGGGGAATTGCTGTGTAAACTGATTGCTGTGTTTCGGCCACAAAATATAGTCAATCCGCTTTACAGTATATCCTGTTAAGACATCTCAACAACATCATAAGGTGCTTTATCAAATGCAAGGATTATTATAACATATGTGACTATTTTTAGTATTACCAATACTTTGAATGGCCGTAAGATAATACATTCTCCAGACAAGCCCCCTCACTTTACTGAACTTATGTTTTGAGGGAAGGAGCGGCACAAATCTGCTCCCACTTTCATTTTGCTAAAAAGTGCTGAATATTTTATGGGAATCATTTTTAATCCAAAGTATTAAATTTAGGTCTCCAGGTTCAAGTCACAGTTCAGGCTGGCTGCCAGTATTGTGCAACATCCTGAGTTAAGGAATGATCAACTCCGCTGGATCAAAATCCAGGGATAAATAAAGAGTGTGGATCTGTATGGTAAAGGAAGGTATTGACTATCTGAGCCCAAGAATTGCCTCAGGCTGAAATGTCTGGCTCTTGGATGGTGCAGTAGGGTGATAAAATCAAGGATTCTACAGGTCTCAAACCTGACCCTGCGGTAGTTACTCTGTTCTTATTTGTAATTTAGTTTTAGCCAGAAAATCTTCGAATTCTGGATGCCCTTTGTTTAAACTATTTGTCAGTGTTATTTTGTTCTCTTTCCCTTTGCCTGAAGCCATTAACTTTGTCAAAATCCTTCTAAAAATCCAAATTCATAACACTGTATTAATTGCCTTGCCTATGTCCACTATATTGGGAATCTCTCAGAAATTCTACTAACATTGGGTGATGAGGATACTCAATACACCGGCATCATGTGAACAGTTTAGCCTCAGGACTGTGTAGTTCTTCAGGTTTTTTTCCTCTTTGAGTGGTTTTCAAAGACCATCACCATCAGGGGGTACATCTCTTAGCCCTGTACTGAACCTAGTCAGTCTATTTACAAGCCCAATCAGAAGCCGGCTGTCTTTTTACACAGTGCCTGCTTCGTTTTTTGCTATTAACACAGCTTTTCAACTTTTCAGCTGCTCTCCCTTTTGTGCGTGAAGAGATTTACATGATAATCATCCTTAGAAATGTACAGAAAATCACTTTTGTAGTCGTCACATAAAAAGAAAAGACGTGCATATTTTGAAAGCTAACAAGTTCTTGAAGTCCTGAAAGGGTCAAAAGATCGTGGCAGACTAACCAAAGACCACAGCCACTGTTGTTCAGATCATTATACTCTACTCAGCTAGTTTGAAAGTCACCCCCTCGTTTGTTTTTGTTAACTGTTATCCAATTCAGCCCGAGACAGCTGAAGTAGAGGCAGTCCCACTAAATGCGAACGTGGGCCAGTTTTCATATTCTAATCAAAGGCTAATGGTCAGATACGGTAACAGCACATTAACACAAAGTCCTCTGCACCAAATGCAGCAACTCCAAATTTCTGCCCACATGCTGAAAAATATCTGCCAACAGGAACACCTGCCTGGGAGGAGTGATAATAAAGGGGCTGCTCAGGTTAGACCATCTCATTAAAGTATTGATTGGATCATCAGGCTCTGAACACCAAATTCAATGAGTTGTACGACTTTGAGGTTCTGCTTCAGTTATTTTTTGTAAAGTTTTAATGCTGTGTTTTAAAGTGTATCGCAATATAATTTATAATAGTGTATTGTATACTGCAGTCTCAATTTAGGCATATTCCAGGTTGGGGTTAAAATCTGGAAGGAGCACTTTTAAACCACTTATTATATACAATAATCCTTGCATTTAATATAGCATCTTATCACATCATTGAGGTGTCTCAAAGCACTTCACAAAATATACTGTAAAGTGGTGTGACTTTGTGTATTTTGTGCATAAAATATTTTATTGGTATAAAGAGGAAGAAATCTGCACATCATTAGATCACGAACTGAAAATACTAACGTCATCACATCTTGATGAGTATTAACATTTACAAAACAAAAAGGAGTTCACAATATTGTTACCTATACTTACATCACCCAAAGCTCGCTCAAGACAAGCTGTTAATTTCATCAAGCCGAGAGCAACGGCTGTTTGTTGTGAACTTCTGGGGGCCTCAAACACTTCAATAAGCAACTGCAAACAAACCAAAAAGACTTTGTTTGGACATTTTCTTGATAGATCCATAAGTCAGTTTGAAACATTATGGTCTTCTTCATCTTTGTAACTATGACGGTTTAAATGCCCATCAATGCTTAAAAAATATATTATATAATAATAATAATCCTTGCATTTGATATAGCGCCTTATCACGTCTTCAAGTGTGTCACAGAATACACTGTAAATTAACTGTATATTTTGTGAGAAATATATAACATATATTTAAGAAAATTGAGCCATGCAAATTCTGGAGGTAACAGGCTCAATACCTTGTCTGGGATGAGTTATCTGATTGCAACCAAGCCTAAACAATCCTCCGCAGGGAGAGCAAAGGAACGAAAAAAAAACAGGATTCCTGCTTCAGGTATTTTGTTACACTGCCTGGAAAGTCTGTTTTCTGTGGATATTGGACAAGTTCAGGCTCTGCCTTGATATCTCCGTCACCCCCAAATATAGTCTACTGTCTGAGTTCATACATGAAGCCCATATTGAGAAAGAGAATGCATCCAGTAGAGCTGAGTGCCTTCAGGGGTGGCTAAATATTGTTCAAGTCAGGTTTTCCAACTTCCAATTGACCTGGTAGGGGGTTTCAGCATTTCTGTTTCTGGTTCAGATTTTCGAGTCTCTGCAGTTTTCTATTTAATTAATTGAAGCTTTATTTTCTTTATAACAAATATAACCCTGTCAAGTTCTTGTGTAATTAGTTACTTGTCTGACTGGAGTTGCCTTCCTCCTTGGCGCAAGACTGGTCCATCCGTCTTCATGGTTAACCGTCATATCTGAACCCAAGTCCACCCATTCCTCTTCTAGTCATCTAAACTAGGGGCAAATGTGCTAGAATCTGATAATCAACCAATTATTTGTAAGTGGGTTAATGCAGTCAGTATCAATGTCTTTCATCAATCTATTCTACCAATCAAAATTCTATGGAAGAAAAATATTCTGTCTATATCAAGGCATTCCTTCTGGGCAGGTAATTTTATATTCATATCTCCCAGTTCTGCATTAAAGTTTAAGTTAAATAATCTATTTGCAGCTACACTGTCCATTACCATAAAGGGAGAGGAGATGACCAGAGGCTGGGTCGAAGGGGAAAATCTTCAGGGGTGATTTGAAGATGGGCAAAGATGGGACAAGACTGAGGGATTTGGAGCATCATAAATCATAATCACATCTCCTCTTAATCTCCATTCCTCCAAAGAAAACCACAGGTAGTTTAGTTTATATGTTTCATAATTCAGAGGACTAAGTTCCAAAAACAATTTTCTTAGATTAATTTCAACCCAACAATATCCTTTTTGAATTAGGAGCCTAAAACTAGTGAATATTCCAAGTGTGGCCTCACCAGTATGCAAGGTTACAATAGTTTAAAAATGGTCCCAGTGAATGTGGCTGAGAAAGAATTTATTGTTAAAAACAATAAAAATAAAAGGAAATCATTTCATCAGCGAGAGATATAAATATGATTTAAACAATTAATTTAATTTTGCCAGTTTTCTCATTTTGAGTTAATGTAGCTATTGCCAAATTGTAATTCTGTCCTTCCAGCTGCTCTTTACCATTTGTATTTTGCTCTTCTAACTATTGTCTGGCTTGCCTTTGCTTCTGATCATTTTGTTTTTTTTCCCATAGCCAAATTCAATTCCAGGCAGGGCGAAACCTTGGACAAGTTTCCTTACTTCACACGTCTGATAATAATCCCTCCAAAACCAAACATAATAATAAATTGGTCATTTTCAATCTACGACTGTCTGTGGGACATTGCTGTGCGCAATTGGCTGCCGCGTTCGCCCACAAATATACAGTCAATTCACTTTACAGTGTGTTCTGTGAAGCGCTTTGGGACGTCCTCCCGACGTGAAAAGCGCTATATCAAATGCAAGGATTATTATTATTATTACTATTCACCAGTTAGGCAAAATGATCAAATTGCCCACGATCCATTGGGTAAGCTAAAAATATTTCACAATCTACAGCTGTGAAAGTAGCATGCAATAAGTCTCTTATTAATTTGTATTACTTAGTCAGAATGGAATGGTACAATGCAGGACTGCAAGATGCAGGCATATAAAGGGAAAGACTTGCTTGTAATTAAATTCCAATCAATAAAATTGCTTGTAATTAAATTCCAATAAATAAAACCAAGGATATCAATGATATTATCACTTTAAAGGAAAGTGGCTCATTGCTTGAAAACATACCTCTTTGTTGTTAGTCCATCCAAGCCAAAGTCCATACTGATCCTCAAATTGCTTCCGAGTGAGTGAAAGGAGATACAAATGGACAGTTTTACAAACTGGTCCTAGTAGCCTCACACTTTGTACAAAGTCTAGACTTTGTTCTTCTGTAATAATTAAATAATGTGTTATTGCAACTTTTCTAGCTGCCAATTTTTATAAACTTATGACAGAATCTTTTTTTAAAAAAAAGGTGAAAGAAGCAATTACCGTTCTCCAAGGTTTGCACGTAAGATGTAATGTTCTCCCAACAAATCTGCCCAGATACATTCACAATAGTTTCAAGGTCTGTCCTATCTGTTTTGTCCAGTCCAAGTGTGCAGACCATATAATGCACTTCTGATGAAAGACAGGTATTTATTGGCTCAACAGTGGCCATTTAAAGCCAAATAAGTACAAACCTGAAAAAAACATGAAACGCTGACATTAGTCACAATTTAAAAAAAACCTATCTGTAATTTTTAAAAATCATTTCTGTTCGACTTTTTGCCCCTTTAGGCTTCTCATCGCTAATTCCACCTTAATATTTATTGTACTCCCCGCTTTAACAGATAGAGCAGAGCATCTCACCCACCAGAGGTGTTAAATGCTTGGCCAGCACAGGGGTACGTATTGCTCCAACTCGCCGCGCGTGGAAAATAGCAGAGCAAAGGAAGCCTGTTAATATTTTGGACAGACATTTCCTTCAAAGAGCTAAAATAATTGATGTGGGGTTTCAGCTTTGCTCGCGGTTCACCTGCAGCAACAACAGGTTATGGATCATAATCGAGATAGATAATAGACGACAGATAATAATCCTCGTGTCCCCGATACAGCGCCTCGTCGCGTCTTCGAGACCTCACAAAGCGCTTCGCAGAATGTACTGCAAAAGTGGAATTGACTTGCGTGTTTTGCGGGCGAAACGTGGCGGGCCAATTGCGCCCGGCAGCGATAACGACGCAGGATTCGGATCATTTCACGTCAGGAGGCCGCGTCAGGAGCGCTTTGCGGGATTTAACTGCACAGCGACCGCGCGTTTCCAGACCAACGCCGGCAGCCAATTTGCGCACAGCAAATTCCCGCCAACGTCAGAGGCGACCGACCGATTGATGGGCAAAAACGCGCGTGTCGGCCGGAAGAGGCCCCTCCGCCAAAAAAAAGCGGTGCCGTCATCCGTGAGCGCGAGTCGAAAAAAAAAAATCTGCCCGCAACGCGACAATGGTTTCAATAATAGTTGATGTTATTAATAACAATAGTTCACAGGTAGTAGTTTGGTGGTTTAGCTTTCCTTACGATAATGATCCTCACAGATTGATGGCTCTGACTGGACACCTGGACGGCTCCAGGGGCGGCCTCCGAGGCCCCGGGGCTCGGGCAGGACACGGGATGACCCGAGAAAACAGGCCATGGTGGGGGGGCACCGGGGGGTCGGCAGAGGCGGCCGCTGCACCTCTGCTCTCCCCTCAAACCAACCGCAAGGGATCTGGAGAGTGGGGGGACACGGACCCACACACGTTACCGCCTCTCTCCCCGCGAGCGCACGGCCCCGACCGGGGGGGGCGCGAGAGGCCGACTCCAACCGTCACCGCGGACCGTTACACACACCCCCCGACATCACCCACTGACACACACACACACACACACACAGAGGGTCACTGAGAGACACTGAGTCACTGAGAGACACAGAGAGTCACTGAGAGACAGAGAGAGAGTCACTGAGACAGACGGAGAGTGACTGAGAGACAGAGAGAGAGTCACTGAGAGACAGAGAGACAGACAGAGAGTCACTGAGAGACAGAGAGAGAGTCACTGAGAGACAGAGAGAGAGTCACTGAGAGACAGAGTGAGAGTCACTGAGACAGACAGAGAGTGACTGAGAGACAGAGAGAGAGTCACTGAGAGACAGACAGAGAGTCACTGAGACAGACAGAGAGTGACTGAGAGACAGAGAGAGAGTCACTGAGAGACAGACAGAGAGTCACTGAGACAGACAGAGAGAGAGTCACTGAGACACACAGAGAGTGACTGAGAGACAGAGAGAGAGTCACTGAGACAGACAGAGAGAAAGTCGCTGAGACAGACATAGAGTCACTGAGAGACAGAGAGAGAGTCACTGAGAGACAGAGAGAGAGAGAGAATCACTCAGAGACAGAGAGACTCAGAGACAGACGGAGAGTGACTGAGAGACAGAGAGAGAGTCACTGAGGGACAGAGTGAGAGTCACTGAGACAGACAGAGAGTGACTGAGAGACAGAGAGAGAGTCACTGAGAGACAGACAGAGAGTCACTGAGACAGACAGAGAGTGATTGAGAGACAGAGAGAGAGTCACTGAGAGACAGAGAGTCACTGAGAGACAGAGAGTCACTGAGAGACAGAGAGAGAGTCACTGAGAGACAGAGAGAGAGTCACTGAGAGACAGAGAGAGAGTCACTGAGAGACAGAGAGAGAGAGTCACTGAGAGACAGAGAGACAGACAGAGTCACAAAGAGAGAGAGAGAGAGAGAGAGAAAAGAGTCACAGAGAGATAGAGTCAACAGATAGTCTGAGAGAGATAGAGAGTCACAGCCAGAGATAGAGATAGAGAGTCAGACTCGACTCAAAGCTAGAGACAGAGATAGAGTAAGAGCAAGTCAGGTTAAGGCTGGACTCGGTCCGGTTAACAACAACTTGCATTTATATTGCACCACTCACGCAGGGTAGCATCCCAGTGCGCTTGACATTGGCGGAGCACGACGCTGAGGGTCAGGTTAACACTCGGGGTCAGGGTCAGGTTAATACTCGCTCAGAAAGTCTGCTACGAGAATGGCAGAAAGAATGGGCAGGAAAGAAGATAACGACAATGAAGAGCTGCAGGAAGAAAGCACGCCTGTTTCGGGAGAGGATGCTCAGCATCGCAAGTCCAGTGTGTTTGAGGAAAACGCGGTACATTACTAGACGACATGATTTGCAGAGAGTGCGCACGGGCTGGGCAGACCCGTGGTAATCAGCCTTCCTCCCCGATGACATGGAGAAATAATAATAACAATCCTTACATAGTGCCATTAACCTTAGAACATTTCAAAGAGCTTCACATGCTAAAAGTGCAGTGACTACGTGTTTTGTTGGCAAACCCAGCAGTCAATTTGTGCACATCAATGCCCTACAAACAGCCATGGGGCTATTATTTGGTGAGGGGGTGGGTTATTGCTCAGCACACCAAAAAACTCCCTTCTGTTTTGAATAGCACCTGGAGACGGAAGGCCCAACTGTTGATGGTGGAGCAGACAGGGAACATGAAGCAGACCAGTGCCTGCCGAACAGAGAGTTGGTTGGGTTTAAGAAGCTCACAAACGGAGGGTGGGGCTTAAAAGTGGAGGGATTTACAGGTGAGGACGAGGATCTTGAGCTGAATGCTCTGGGGAATGCTCAAGGAGCTCGGTAAAAATGGGGATGACAGGCTTGCAGAACCTAGTGTGCGAGAGGACACAAGCTGCAGAGGTCTGGCTGGAGGAAATCTGAAAAAGTCAAGAGCATGGATATGGGGCTTAAAGGACAATTGAGAGTCGAACATGCCACCGAGGTTCTGCACTGGCTCTGTGAGGTGAAGTGTGTGTCCATATAGATTCATGCTGTCAGTGACTCGCAAAGGCAGAGCGTAGTGATCGTGTGTGTGTGTGTAGGCAAATGTGACCGTCAATTTGTGCACTGCAATATGCCACATATAACCATGTGAGTAAGTTTTTTTTATTTAATGGATTGTTGGCCAGGGGATCCTGAACATCCATTGAACAGGCAGATATGAAAGAGGATAGCAGGAGAAGGGAGCTGTTCCAGTCCACCAGCCAGGTTTATGTGCTTAATGCATTTGGTATTTGTTTCCATCTGGCAGTCAAATACAGTTCATTAACCGTCCTTTGTAACCATCCTTCACCATATGAAACATTAGCAATAGTTTATTTTCAAAGATATTTCATGATTCTGGTTATATATATATGTATATATATATAAAATGTAAAGAAAAAACTCTGTGAAAATAGAATATTGTGATAATGTATATAAAAAATATTGTACTGAGCAAATTTTAAAATATTTTTAACATTTTTCTTTGTTCTTGTGTAAAGTTTGAAGAGATTCTAAAGGAACGACTAAATGAAAGTGTTCTACAAGTTGTCCATATTGATAAGAAAGAACTGGACGAAGAGGATGAGGATGTTTTTGAGGAACCTTTGAGTTGGAAACCTAGTCTATTAAAACAAAGATTTGCTAATACCTATAAATTGGGTCCAGATAAGATGTTTAGTTATGGTGCCGTGTCAAGAAAAATTGAAGAGTTCTTAAAGGTAATGTGCAAATTACAGAAATAACAAAAAAAACTAAGGAGTTGCTTATGAGTAACAAGGTTGCAGAAGTGGTAATGCAGTTTTCCTGTTTTGAAAGATGTGTAATTACAAACGCCTTCAAGAAAATGAAGTATTTTTTGAGAGATAATATAATGAGGTTAAGGCACAATACATGATCTACTAAATTAATGAAAAAAGTCATCACAAGCAACCATACCCATTATGTTATGCAAAAGTTTCTGCCTTAAAGCTGTAAAGGTTTCAAAATATTCATTAAATGTTTTAAAAATATAAGCCGATGGAATGTTTCTGGTGATGAGCAACATACAAGTCTTAGCTCTCTTAAATAGTTAAGTGTAGTTGAGAGGAAATGTCTGGCATGAAAGAGAAATCTAAGCTGCTGAAGCGAACCAAGTTAATGGAAAAAGAGTCAATATATGATGCTGCAGATGTTCCAACACTTACTGTTACAGCATATAAATTGTAGACCCTCTAGGAACCAAAAACAACTGGGAAAAATATACATTTATCTAGTTTTACCTGAGAATTCTAGCCAGGAGACAGGCATATGAAATCTACTTATTTAAATTATTACTGATCACATTTAAAACACAAGTCAACAACAACAACTTCCACTTATATGGAGCCCTCCACACAGGGTAGCATCTCAGAACGCTTAACATTGGCGGAGCCTGACTCATGAGTCAGGTGGACAGGGGAGGTGGCCATAAGCACAGTCGAACAGGAAAATCTTCAGACTGTAATAATTAAAATTAAATAAGTAATAATTAATTAAAACAAATGTTGGGTTTTGTCTTCCCCACCTCTATACTCTTGTCAGGATGGACCTGGATTATAGAATCATAGAATTATACAGCATAGAAGGAGGCCACTCGGACCATAGTGTCTGTGCCAGCTCTTTGAAAAGAGCTATCCAAATCAATTCCACTCCTCCACACTCTCCCCATATCCCTGCAATCTTGTCCTCCCAAAATAATTATCTACTTCTCTCTTAAAAGTTGTTATCAAATCGACTTGCACCACCCTTTCAGGCAATGCATTCCAGATCTGAACAACTCGCTGTGTGAAAAAATTGTGTGAAAAACAACTGTAGAATTATAGATTAATTATTACTATTCTGGTTGTCAAGACATAAGGGGGCTGCTTTGCCACTGGAGGCAGTGCAGACGTTAATAAGTCAATCTTATTACCTTATCAAAATACAAAATTGACTTGAACCTGTCAGTTGATTAGTCTTTCATCGTCATGCAATCATAATTACAATCATCACTGAACTTTGCTATATACCAAAGGGGTAAACCTCGTATCTTTATTTTTATAGACAAAATTGAGATTTGGAATGGATGAAAGAAATAACAAACGTTTTTTTCATTTATTTTACAAGGGCAAACTTAAGGATGTGAAATATGAGGGTAAACGATGTAAGACATTGAGTCTTTCCATGTCTGATGACATCAAATATCTCATAAAAGATATGGGAACTGGTCGATACAAAATCATTGCTAGAATTTTTCTTGGAGAAAAGCAAGGCCAAGGTGTAACAGTAAGTATTAGTTTTTAAGCTGCAAATAATAAGCAAACAAATGTAAATAGGTATAATTAACCAAATCAATAAGGAAGTAGTACCTTCAAATAGTTAATACTAGCCTTGTATTTCATCTCTCGATTGCAGACCCAAATCTACCCGGGACAGATTTGTTAAAAAATCTGCTGTTTTACTGTTAGTATAATTGTTACACTTTCTAAGTGAAGACTGGCTGAATTTTTGCATTACAAATGATCAATGAGATGATGAACTGCAAACTGAATACTTCTGCATTGTTGGCCTCAGTACAAACCAATGCTGAGGTCACAAATGTCACCTGCTATTAGCAAGCCTTCTATTGCCCAACTTTAATAATAATCCTTGCATTTGATATTGCGCCTTATAACGTTACCTCGTAGAGAAGTCTCAAAACGCTTCACAGCATATATTGTAAAGTGGATACTGCAGTGATTTTAGGGACCTACTTATTTGCCCTCACATTCAAAAAGGATTTGTAATTATTGAATCCTGTGGATTTCTGGTTGTGTTTCATGACGACCCACCAGAATTCCAATCAAATGCTAAACTTATTTTTACCTTTTTGGAAGCCAGCATGAAATCAGTCTCGAAAGGGAGTTCCAGTGGGTCAGTGTATGATGCTTCACAGAGTTGATATTTGTAAATTCTTTAATGAATTACTGCGAAAGTTTGCTCCCATAGTTCAGTGCTGTTGCATGAAAACATGGTTTCAATCTGGTGTATGAGAAAATATACTCCATTGGAATATGGCAGCAGCATAGCCTCATTGCAGTTACACTTGAATTAATTCCAAGAACCTATTGTTTTACTATATGCTTTGTTTGTTGCTTAGATTTCTTCTCTAGGCAAATAATTGGGGGTGTTTACACAGCAGAATACGTGATTATCTGACCATTCGTGTTCTACGTGTAAAATTATGGAGATTCCTATTCAAATGTACAGCCTGGAGTTCTTGAAAAGAATGAGAAGATTCCTGAATTTCTCCTTTTTAATCATTGTTTAAAAAAAAGTGTTTAAATTCCTTCCCCTGCTAAAAAGAATAGGTGTAAAAACAATAATAATCCTTGCATTTGATATCGCGCTTTTCACATCTTTTCACATCTTCTAGACATCTCAAAGCGCTTCACAGAATATACTGTAAAGAGAATTGACTGTATATTTGCGGGCGAAGGGGCAGCCAATTGCGCACAGCAGTGTCCCATTAACAGTCGTGGATTGAGTGACCAAATTATTATTGTTTTTTTTCTTGAGGGATTACTATGGAATAAGGAAACTGGCCCAAGGTTTCACCCTGTTGGAAATCAAACCCAGTCTCTCGCTTGCGAGGCGAGTGGTCTAATCACTGAGCTACAGGACTCCACTAATAATAGGATTTGTTATATCTCATAAATTTATGTTCCTGGCTTTCAGTCTAAGTGTATATAGTATATTTTTAATTATGAAAAGTTCAATTGCTGAACTAAACAAATTTTGCTTCAATTCCACAGATTGCCAGCAGATGTGTCTGGGATCCGGAAAAGGACACTTGGTGTGCATCTGTCTTTGAGAACAGCTCAATATTTGCAGTGGCAATGGTATTTGCTGTGTATTTCGAGTAGCAGAAATCCAAAATTTACCATTTATCTTGAAATGTTTAAAACATCTTAATGGTGAAAAAATATATGCTATGTTTTTAAATTTAGAACTAGAAATATACAAGTATACAATGTTGAAGATATTCAAAAGAGAATGTTGAGGAAATTCAAAAGAATATTAATTAACTAAAATTTTAACATTTGTGTACTCTTGCTGGAATTAAAGCATGCATATTATTTAGATTATTGTACCTTTTTTCAGATTGTAAAAAGTTCATCTTTCATGAAAACTAAATATAGATGCAATAATTAACCACATTTTTTATCAGCATCCAGAGAACCATAGCAATTTTCAGCACACAGGGCCAAATGGCTTATTATTATTATTATTATTATATATTTCAATACTGAACCACTGATGGAGCAAAAGGCAGACCCCCATAATGGCTGGCTCCCTCTTATCAACAACAACATTACATTTGTATAGTGCCTTTCACGTCGGGAGGACGTCCCAAGGCGCTGGACAGAGTACAGCATTTCAGACCCAAGTTGGCATCGGGGGGGGGAGGGGAAGGGGGGTGCCAGTGGCATGGTCAAAGAGAAGGGTCTTGAGGCGGGACTTGAAAGAGGCTAAGGAGGGGGCTGGTGTCACGCAAGAGTNGGGGGAGATGTGGTCACGGAGTTTGGTGCGGAAGAGGACACGGGGGGCTGCAGAGTTCTGGGTTATCTGCAGCCTGTGGAGGGAGGAGTTGGGAAGTCTGACAAGCAGGGCATTTGTATAGTCGAGCCTGCCCTCTTTTCCATCCAATCTTAGTAAAAAAATTGTCTTGAAGAAGTTCAGCAAGTAATTGAATAGGAAAGGCTCAGGCATGGGAAGTATCCCACTGAAATTCACAGACTTGACATTCCATTTCTCAAGAGTACTTGGTAAGAAATTTACAATTCTGAAGTTTAACATGAATCACAACAAATTAATTCTGCATCCTTTTCTCTAAGAAAAGCCTGGATGTGGAAACTACTATAGCATATCTCTCTTGTCTGTTGTTGGATTTCCTCTCAACAGACTGATCTTCCCTCTTCATAAAATTCTGAGCAACAGTGTGGATTTAACTCTCAAGTACAAAAACATATCTACTATGAAATAGAGTCAATGCTGAAATTTTCTCCAGATCAGTGAAGTTAGAAACTATTATTCCTGAAAACTTAGTCAAAATAGTAAATTATAGGTTGATTAAAGCAGTATTTTACAATTAACTGAAATAAATCAATTGTTCAACCAGATAGCCAGCAAAAGCACTTTGATATCATTTGCAGCAACCGAAATAGATAGCATGTTAAGACATGAGAAGGCCTTGCTAAAAAACATTTAAAGTGGTGAACAATTTCAAGACCTAAATTAATGTAAAAAAACACATCTATTTCATCTCTCAGAAAACTAAAGTAAAAAGATAAGCACAAATTCATCGCCTTTGATCGATCATGTATGTAGTGTTCAGGTTTGGGATATTTTAGAGTCAAATGCAATCCTAAGAGAACAGAAATTTCTCCAACATTACTAAAGTTATAGTCATTGTTTATCACAGGACAGGCAATATTTTTGACTTTATCTGGACATGTGTGTGTCAGCCTGATGCAGTGGTAGCACTCTTGCTTGTGAGTCAGAAGGTTGTGGGTTCAAGCCCCATGTGTAGAGAGGTGGACTCGGATGAACAAACGCCCTTAATGATGTACAATGATTTCTATAATAATGACCATCTCATTAAATGTAGCACCTATGACTTCACAGCGCTTTGCAGAGAATGATCCCTCCAAAACCAAAAACAATAATAAAAATTGGTCATTTTCAATCCACGACTGTTTGTGGGACATTGCTGTGCGCAATCGGCTGCCGCGTTCGCCCACAAATATACAGTCAATTCACTTTACAGCGCGTTCTGTGAAGCGCTTTGGGACGTCCTCCCGACGTGAAAAGCGCTATATCAAATGCAAGGATTACTATTATTATTATTATTATTTTCTCTCAAGTGTAGTGACTTTGTGGGCAAACACTGCACGCAATTTAGCAGAAATATTCTCAGGAACAGCTGCGAAGCAAGTGGGGAGGCAATGTTACCTGGAGGAATGCTTTCAACCGTCAAATGGGGAAGGAAATAAAAAGATTCCCGATTGCCCTGGAAGGACCTTTGCCCCTCCGAACACCACCACAGCAATGGACCGCACACACCGGGGCGGTGGGGGTTTGCTGTCCTGGTGCGACAGAGCGGGTCCTGAGGGGCCGACCGTGAGGATCCCGGAGTGTGTCCTCCGGGGCCCGGTGGCGCGGCTGCGTTTATGGTTGGCCACCAGCGCTGGGAGCCCAGTGCGGGGGGGAAGATGGCGGCCGCGGTGTCGAGCAGCCGTTTGTGTGACAGTAACCCCGCCACTCCCGGGGCGCAGTCCAGCAAGGTGAGGCCCCGACCCCGACACCGGCCCCCTCCCCGGCCCCGCGGCCCCCTCCCCGGCCCCGGCCCCCGCCCCGGCCCCCACCCCGCGGCCCCGGCCGCACCCTCCCCCGCTCCCTTTGCTATATTCCGTGTAGAGAGACACAGTCCAGGAGGCGATTCATGTCCAGTTCCCCTCTCTCTGCCCCCCTCCCCCCCTCTCTCTGCCCCCCTCCTCTCTGCCCCCTCCCCTCTCTGCCCCCTCCCCCTCTCTCTGCCCCCTTCCCCCCTCTCTCTGCCCCCCTCCCCCCCCTCTCTGCCCCCCCCCCCTCTCTGCCCCCCCCCCCTCCCCCCCCTCCCTCTCTGCCCCCCTCCCCCTCTCTGCCCCCCCTCCCTCTCTCTGCCCCCCTCCCCCTCTCTGCCCCTCCCCTCCCTCCCCCTCTCTGCCCCCCCCTCTCTCCCCCCCTCTCTCTGCCCCCCCCTCTCTGCCCCCCCCTCTCTGCCCCCCCCTCTCTGCCCCCTCTCTGCCCCCCCTCTCTCTGCCCCCCCCTCTCTGCCCCCCCCCCTCTCTGCCCCCCCCTCTCTGCCCCCCCCTCTCTGCCCCCCCCTCTCTCTGCCCCCCCTCTCTCTGCCCCCCCCTCTCTCTGCCCCCCCCCTCTCTCTGCCCCCCCCCCTCTCTCTGCCCCCCCCCTCTCTCTGCCCCCCCCCCCCCCCCCCCCCCTCTCTCTGCCCCCCCCCCTCTCTCTGCCCCCCCCCCTCTCTCTGCCCCCCCCTCTCTCTGCCCCCCCCCTCTCTCTGCCCCCCCCCCCCCTCTCTCTGCCCCCCCCCTCCTCTCTCTGCCCCCCCCCCCCCTCTCTCTGCCCCCCCCCCCTCTCTCTGCCCCCCCCTCTCTCTGCCCCCACCCTCCCTGCCTGCCCCCATCCTCCCTGCCTCCCTGCCATGACAACATGGCAAGGTGATCCTAATTTTCTGGTGATGGGCCTGGCACCATGCCTGCCTTTAAGTGTACATTTTTTCACATTTGATACCAATTGATGCCAACATTTTCTGCTGCTTTGCTTTCAAGTTCTTTCCCCAGGATGCTCCCTATCAACACAGTCTCCCGAGTCACCGTAATATGGAAGAAAAGCAGAATAAAATAAAACTGATTCACCAGGAAAGTGGGAGGAGCAGGGAAAGCTGAGAAGAGAAAGCAAACTGGGATGAGAAAGGAAAGCAGCAGAACTTGAAACTAATAATCTAGGCTAACATTGCCACGCGTACTTCACTGAAGGAGCACTGCATTGTTGGCAGTACTGTGTCAGCCTGGCTCAGTTGGTAGCACTCTCGTCTCTAATGCAATGCCGGGGATGTACTGCATTGTTGGAGATGCATTCGCTTGACGTGAAACATGCTATATCAAAAGCAAGGATTATTGTTATTTACTATCCTCCAGATGAGATGTTGAAGTGAGGCTTTCTATTTGGTGGTTCAGGTTGATGTTAAATTCACCAAAAGACTGATGAAACTCTCCTTCTTATCCGTGTTCTTTGTGGAATGCTGCTAGTGTAGAATAGATGCCAACCTTGCCTATAAGAAAATGTCAGTGAACTTCAGAGTAGCTCATTGTATAAAAACATTTTGTGTTTCAATGTGATGAAGTGCTGTATCAAATGAGAATAACCTGTATTATTATTTAAAGGTTTGTCACTTATTAGCTTTTTGCCTCTATGTATCAAACCCTTTTACTGATCATTTTAGGATGACTCTGAAGAGACATCAAATGACGATGCTGTAAATCAGCCTGCCAAACGTCGCCGTATGGGCTCAGGAGACAGCTCAAAAAGTAGTGACACCACTCAAGATTTCAGGTACATCATTATTTTTTAGGCAATGGATTTCTAATATTGGAATCCATTCAGGAGCTGATAAATTTTCTGCAATAATTTAAACTGTCAAGATTAATAAAAAAAACTCATTCCTTCCCTCCACACCGCCCTGCCCATACTCCCTTTCTTCCCAGCTTCTGGCCCAAATTTTAAGGGTCGTTGAAGCCATGGTGGTAATAGAGGTAGAATAGAAACTCTTAATCAGCTATTATCAAGAAATATACGGTCAATTCACTTTACAGTCTATTCTGTGAAGCGCTTTGAGACGTCGAAGATGTGAAAAGCGCTATATCAAATGCAAGGATTATTATTAGAATGTTGTTTTTTATTATTTGTAAGGATTTGTCACATGGAAGAATTGCACCTGAGAGAGCAAGTGAAGGAGGGAAGCAGAGGGGATTGAGAGTGGGAGTTTAAAAAAAAGGGTAATTTTTCTGCTTTTCTTCTCAGCTCCACCTATTTTCCAGCAGAGATGTTGATAGAGTACAAGTGGCCTGCTGATGACACGGGGGAATATTACATGCTTCAGGAACAAGTTAGTGAATATTTAGGGGTGACCTCATTCAAACGGAAATATCCAGGTAGGAATTCATGGGTTTCACTTAAAAAAAACATTCCACTGTGGTGTTCACTGATTGCTTTTTATATGTTAACTCACAATAACTAATGAAAGTCTGTTACATCTTATTATGAAAATACTGAAAGTTTTATATATAAAGAATATGTACTGGAGAAATGGTAATGGAGCAGATAAAGTGCCAACTATTATAAATGTAATTTCATCTATATTCCTAAAAAGCAAATAGTGTCTTAGTAACTAAATTTGAGTACTTATTTGCTGTTGTGGGATTTAAACCAAACTGTATTTTGATGCTTCTACAATCGCATCTTCTCCGCCTTGCAAAGCCATGAAAAGCCATGGCTTCTATTAGGCTGGAAATTTATCATATTTTTTTATTTCATTCAGCATGTGACCAACTCTAGATTATATAGCTGGTCACTGGACCAGCTTATTGGTTTTAGGGCAATGACAAAAAAGTAACTTTTACATTGGTAAAGATGTATGAATGGGAATTATTACTTTTTACAATGCGATTTGTTTCATTATGCTACAAAATGCTTGCTTTTGTTACCAACGTAAACAATGAAAGTGACTTCAGTAGTTGAATTGTATGTTTTGCAGTAAAATGCAGACCTTTCCTATCACAGCCTGCTTCATATATTATAGAAATTGTTTAATATTTTGTGCTTATGCACAGTAATAGATGCACAGTTCAATAGAAACTAGTTTTTGAAATGCAGTGAAGGTGGTTTAGCTTTCAGAAGCCTAAATGTAAATATTGACTAATGGTATGCATTCATCTTTGACAGATCTGGAACGGCGTGATCTGTCTCATAAAGAGAAGCTGTATCTGAGGGAGCTGAATGTTATCACAGAAACACAATGTACTTTAGGTAAGTTTTTCCCATAAAACAAATAGTAACTGCACTTTGCAGTATATCCAGTTGAGTGTTTTGGGACACTTTGTGATTCACCTGAAAATTTCCCCCTCAATTCTGTACGGGAACAAGGCTCCCCATGTTTCTTTGTTTCCTGAATCTCTGTTAAATACAGTAGCAGATTTGATCATGGAGTCCTGTAGCTCAGTGGTTAGAGCACTCGCCTTGCAAGCGAGAGACCTGGGTTTGATTCTTTGCAGGGCGAAACCTTGGGCAAGTTTCCTTATTCTACATGCCTGATAATAATCCCTCAAGAAAAAAATAATAATTTGATCACTCAATCCACAACTGTTTGTGGGACACTGCTGTGCGAAATTGGTTGCCGTGTTTTGCCCACAAATATACAGTCAATTCACTTTAAAGTATATTCTATGAAGCGCTTTGAGACATCTAGAAGGTGTAATGCAAGGATTATTATTATCTGATCGGAATCCCGATTGTAAACTCAGAGGATGAGATACAATGAGTCTTTTGGTTTAGGTACTGAATTGAATCAACTGGACTGCTCTTTCGGCAATGTCAGATTGGCTTACTCTCGCCTCCGAATCAGAAGGTTGAAGCCCCACATTGGGATTTGGAACCCATATAGTCTAGGCTGACACTCCAGTGCTGGAGGTGTGCCCTACTTCCAGTGAGACGTTAAATGGGGGTCCCGTCTGCCTGTCCCAAGTGGATATCAAAGATTTCATGGCACTGTTCAAAAAGAGAAAGGAATTTATCCCGGTGTCCTTATTAACAATCCCCCAAATAAAGTTGATCACTCACTCTATGGCTGTGCAAATTGGCTGCTGCATTCTGAACAAAATACACAGTTTATCACTTTATAGTATATTCTGTGAAGCGCTTTGAAATATCTCAATGGTGTGATGAAGCACTATATCAAATGTAAGGATTATTGTTATATGTATTTATTATTTAGTAACTTAATTTCAAGTTTTTTAATAAATTGTGTTTAAGGTTTAACTGCTCTGAGAAGCGATGAGGTTATTGACCTGATGATCAAGGAATATCCAGCCAAATATGCTGAATATGCTGTAATATTGCAGGAGAGAGAACGACAACGAATCACAGACCGTTACAAGGAGTACTCGGTAAGTACATGAGGAGTGAGAATTTAATTTTTTTTTGCGATTTCTTTCCAATGGCTTTCCAAATGTGTTGAGCACATGGCTGACCAAGAAAAAATCAATTGGCTGCCATGTTTCACCCACAAAATATACAGTCAATTCACTTTACAGTATACCCTGTGAGGCGCTTTGAGACGTCTCGAAGACTTGGTAAGGAGCTATACCAACTGCAAGCATTATTATTGCTTAGAATTATTATGCGCAGCAGGATCCAGCCCTTCCTCATTTGTATTTTATTTAAATGCCATTTGAATGCTCTTAGCCTTCCTTAATAATGTATAGAAGCTTGAACGTTCTTACGTAACGTGAGAATGGTATGAAGCATTTTGTCATTAGTTTTTTAGTATTTAAAAAAAACCTTTTTTCTGAGTATTAATACCTTTTATTCACACAGCAATTACAGAACACACAAAAGGTTGAGCCCAGTAAGGTTCCAGAATATATCAAAAAGGCTGCAAAGAAAGCTGCGGAGTTCAATAGCAACTTCAATAGGGAGCGGATGGAAGAAAGACGGGCTTATTTTGACTTGCAGACACAGGTATCAACAAAATTACATTGGTATAGCGCCTTTCACATTGGGAGGACGACCCAGGGCGATGGACATTTGAGAGCAGAGGTGGCTCCAGGGAGGATTTTTTAAGGATAGGCGTGATGAGGGCTATTTTTGAAGGGTTGGGTACAGTGCCAGTGGACAGGGAGAGGTTTATGATGCCGTGAGTAGAGGGACTGGGAGGTAAGAAGAGGGGTAAGGATGTGGTCGAGGGAACAGGTGGTCAGTTTCATGCGGGTTATAGTGGTGAGTTGGTTTGCTGAAAGAAGCTACACCACAAGTGCCTGTGTTATTACTGTGTTATTAAATAACCAGTGTACCCGATAAAGTGAAGTGCCGTATTACAAATTTTTACAAATCAATTTGTTGCTACCTTTTTAATGTGCTGCATACAATCTGTATATTTCACCTGACACAATATCATTTCTGGAAATGCTATATCTTCATCTTGGGAGTATGTAAAATAGGCTTATATGCTTATCAATACTGTGCAGTCATTAAACACATCACTATTGTCTTTTCACATATTTCACATTGTTGCCATTCTACAGAATAAGAGATCTTTGACCTTCATCGTTTCTCAAGGCCACTATTCTTTTCTGAAGATTTTCACTGTGACATTTTGCACTTTCAGGAACATTTACTTCTAGGGGTGTAATTCTTGACGACTGTCCAGCACCTTGGAACATCCTCCCGACGTGAAAATCTAATTTTATAATGTACATGTCACAAGCTTGTTGACCGCTTACTGCAAGTTTCCATCTCAGCATTGTTCAAGATTGGTTGGTTATCATTGATTCTCATTTTAAGTCGATATGAAAGCTACTAAACTGAACTGTATTGCAGGTTAATCTCTTAAATGGATTTGTAAGAGCTAAGGCTCCGAGTCGTTACCCTGTGTGAAGAGCACTATATAAATGCAAGTTGTTGGTGTAGCCCAATGACTGAATTTCAGCCATCTACAAAGTTTCCCATTCTTTTCAGGTGATCCAGGTACCACAGGGGAAATACAAAATTCTTCCGGCAGAGAGGACCAAGGTTGGGGCTTACCCAGTCGCTTTGATACCAGGGCAGTTTCAAGAATATTATAAAAGGTAAAAATGCTCTTATTTATATTTTTGAGCAGCAGAATTTTTAACTCTTTTTTGCTGTCAAAGTTGTTGTATTGACAGTGTGGAGTTACCCAGAATATTATGCAATAATTATTCAATGTCTTTGTCATCACAAAATAACTCCATTGCAGTAGAAGGGTGTGCTGTGCGTGAAACGACACTAACATCACTTTTTTTAAACTGTCCTACCCATGCACATTAATAACATTTCCTGCACAAAGAGTGCGTGCTCATATTCTACAAGAAGCGATGTTACCAAAAATGGGTTGTCAGACCACTGGAAGCTGGCTAGTCAGTGCCTGAAGCCCTTGGTGTACCACGTTTCCAGTTAGTGCAAAAGCACAGGAGATGTGCACTATAAAACAAAGCAGTGCTACATTGAAGAGTTTTACAATGGGGTTCCCTTGTAATTGACAATAGAAACAGTCACTGAATTTGACTATTGTGAAGCATTTTGATACATTTCAGTGTGATGAGGTGCTATAAAAATGCAAGTTCTTTCACTCAAGAGTTTCTCACCCTAGGAGATTGCAGACTTGCAAAGTTGCACATGTTATTAAATACATAATTGTAATTTTATCTATCAATCTGTCAGGTACTCTCCCAATGAATTGCGTTACTTGCCTCTAAACACAGCCTTGTATGAGCCACCTCTGGATCCAGAATTGCCAGCACTCGACAGCGATGGAGATTCTGATGATGCAGAAGATGTTCGTGGTGAAGATGAACGCAAAGAAGACAAAGATCTGACGGTGAGAAACTAGTATTATTGGAAACCCAACTATCAACTGTAGACTCTTTATACTTTAACAAGTCCAATCTACTTTTTTTAAAATGTGTATATTTTTTAAATATATAAAATTTGCAAATCAAAAAACAGTTCCGATAAAGTCAGAATCAACCTTCTTCTGCTAAGTGTATAGCAAATAAGTCTAAGCTTTGGTTAAGTATAAGGAATAATGCTGTTACTACTGGTATCTAACCATTAGCAATAATTTATATTATTACATCTGCACACAACTTCTAGCAACCGGTGATGTGACATCAGAACCTCGCATGGTAATGCTGCAAACGAGGTTCTTGCTACGGTTAATGGCAGTGGCCTAGTAAGTGGAAAACTTAACTTTCAAACCCATTCTTGTTGTTCAGGTGTTATGGTAGAATTAACATAATGCAAGTGCTCAGACATTAAAGATGTGTTCTGCTGTTTAATCATTTATAAGTTTATGTTTTTCATAAAAACACTCATTTTAAAAGGTTTACTTCCTCCCTTCAGTCACAGCCCCTTTATAAAATGGACTTTCTGGGACTCCTATTCCTAAGTTGAGTCTGTGCATTTGTAATGTAGTTAGTATCTGTCTTATGGATACATTTGTTTGTCACCTTCCTGAACTACAAATGTTGTATCATGTTTTCATTTATGGTTGATCAATGGCTTCATTCCATCTGATGTCTGGTTCTTTTTCAAAGTTGGTATGGTGGAAATCACCCGTGCATTTGCCCATGGGTTCATAAGGACTAATTTGTAGTCTTAAAGATTTGAAACTCGAGAAGTGACTTTCAGGAACAAAACACTTCTACATACTGAAGACAATATTTTGGTATCTGATGAACAGCCTTGTGTATGATTGTGTGTTTTTAAACAACACTTTAAAAACATTTTCCTCCTATGTTTACTTAGCAGTAAATAGGAACCCGGTTGTTAGTCGATTGGCGGACCACTTTTCCGGAGGTAATAATCCCTTCCAAAAAATAAAAATTAAATAATAATTTGGTTACTCAATCCATGATTGTTTGTGGGACACTGCTGTGTGCAATTGGCTGTTGTGTTTCGCCCACAAAATATACAGTCAATTCACTTTACAGTATATTCTGTGAAGCGCTGTGAGAAGTCTCAAAGACGTGATAAGGTATTATATCAAATGCAAGGATTATTATTATGAGACTATGGTTTGCTTTTAATGGTGAATTTAACGGGATCGGAGACATCGCCTTCTATTTATAAACTCTGAGGTTTTGTCGCATTTAATTTTTCAGGTTTTCTCTTTTGATAAAGGGCTAGTTAGTTGTAAGACGGGTTTCATATATACTTGGGTGCAATGGAAAGTTTTCTGGAAACTAAGAAACAAAAGGTATACATTGTTGAACTTCAATATTCTACTTGCAATAGTTTCAAACATTCTGGTTGCCATATTTGAAAGGACAAAACCTTAAGTTGCTTCAATTGCAGAAAATAAAATACATAACATAACATGTAGGAGCAGGAGTAGGCCATTCTGCCCTTCGAGCCTGCCCCGCCATTCAATCATGGCTGATCTTCTAATCTAACTCCAGCTTTGGTTAAGTAATACACTTCATGTTTTACTCTGTTCTAAACGTCAAAGGAAATTGAGCTTCAAATAAATGTTATACTAATGGATTTTCTTTTCTAAAGACATTTCCACATGTGTGTGTTTGTTCTCACTGCATTTTAATTTCACCCCTTTCCAATTGCTCATCAGTTCATGGTGGGATTTTTGTGAGTGGTCACTTTTGTACATTTTATGCAGTATAAATGCTTGCAAGATTCTCAAGACTTGGTACCCAACAGGTTCTCTTCTGTTTTTTTTCTAGGAGATGTCTTCTAGCAGTACAACAGATGGTGAAACTCCTCCTGAAAATCAAGATGATTCCTCACAAGGAAAGCAGACACCGAGAGAAAAAGGACCTCGAGCAAAACGAACTGTTACACCCAAATCAGTCACTGGGTACAAGGTAGAAGATAAAAGCCCCTGAGACTTCCTTTCTGATGAACCTCTCCCTATTTACTTTTTTTGTACTGGATAGAATTGGTCAGTCCACTAATGCACCTCCTGCTGTTTTTCACCCCTCTACTTCCTTATCCTGTTTTGTTCTACCTGAGACTTACCGATAATAATATCTGGATTCTTATTTCTATCTCAACCGTTTTACTATATAAGGCCTGCATTGTTCTTTTTCCTTTGGGTTATGACTTGCTGTGTTCTCTGCTAATGCTGCTGTTAATATCCTCCTGTACTATATGACAAAATAGTTAGTAACATTATTTTACATTCTAATAATTACTTTGCAGAATAACTAAAGAGGGTACTTTTTATTTTAAAAACCGTGGAAAGTCGCATATTTGGTGAAGATTATTTTTGAATTACATTTCAGTATTTACTACTTTGCCTTTTATATTTGTTCAGTATAGTGTTTTTGTTTTTGTGGGGGTGGGGCGGGGTAGGAAGATTTAGGCCAATGTTGCCTTATAACCAAACAGAGTATATTTGTAGGAAGAACTACAGTTTTGGCCAAGTAATTCATGAATGACAAGTGATCAGAATGTATGAATCTGACTGGATGACACCTGGACGAATACCCATTGAAATTCAATAGGATATCTGGTGCCAGTAAGAAGTGTAAAGCTGTGCATGTTTGTGTGTGGGGGAGGGAGATGGTCTGCATATAGTCAATAAAGATTGGGTTTTACGTTTAATTTTACCTCATACTGAAATTGGTGTTCCTCTAAAAACAAGATAGCATTTATTGATCTGATTCATTATTGGCATGAATTAGTACAGTGTCATTTAGTAGGAAAGTGGAGCATTACATTTTAATTGTTAAGTCTGATGGATGAAAGAATTATACTTTTCAATCTGAAGTTAAACTGTTGTATATTTTTATAAGGTTAGTTTTCTTATGTTGTGGCTTTTTGTGAGAAGTTGGAAGTTAAATCTATGTTGTCTGTTTTGCCAAACACTTGTGTAGATAGGTGAAGTGAATGTTTGGAGACTGGATTCCTTTGTGACTGGTTCTGTATTTAGAGAAAAGTAAACTACATATTTATATACATATTTAACAAATCATTTTAAAATGAAGTTGCTTATCATCTTAACGTTTTCAATATCAATATACAAAACCATATTCCAGTGCATTTCCAATGTTATTTCAAACAAAATAGAGAATCATAAATTCTCTGGAGTGATTATTGGGCTATAACCTCCTCAATGGCTCCAGATTATGATGGTGAGGTTCATAGCTGTCATCGGTATTCCAAAATGAGATAATTGCCTGGAAATAGGTTCCATGTATTTTTGTAGTAACAGTTGTCAAAGTGGATGTTAACTGCTTGATGAAGAGATGCTCCATATAGTTATGGAGGTGCCTCAGTTGGTAGCACTCTAAATCAGAAGATTCTGAGTTCAACCTCCACGTCAAGACCTGGAGCGCACTCTAGTGCAGTGCTGAGGGTGCGCTGCATTGTTTAAGATGGTGCCATTTGGATGAAATGTTAAGCCAAGGTCCCATCTGCCCGATCTGATGGACATTTAAGATTCTAAGGTACTATCCAAAAACAGAAGGGAGTTTTTTTCTGGGGTCCTTGCCAACAATTCCCCAGATAAAATTGGACATTCATTTCACTGTTTGTGTCATTGCTGTGCACAAATTGGCTGCTACGTTCACCTCCAAAAATATAGTTGTTGTACATGTGGAGAAATCTTTCTTCACCAAGCAGTTAACGTGATCAGATTTATTATGCCTATGAATGTTTCCTATTCAGTTCAGCGAAAAACTGTTGAGTGACTTGTATTTTCATTACTAAGATCTTTAACCTTTTGTCATTTTAACTTGATCAGTTTACCTGCTAACTCTTTTTTATAAAAAAAGAAAAGCAGTGAAGTGTCATAGGAATGCGGGGAAATGGAAAATGAGAAGCAAAATTTGGTGCGTTATGTGAAAGGAATGCTGCCATCTCCTTAGTAACAGTGCATGTGCTAAAGTTTGCTTATCATTACGATTATTAGATGTGGCCCAAGTGAGCAAAATCACTTGTGTCAAAAGCTTTCACTACTGAATTTTGAGACAAAGGAAGTGGTGGGTTTTGCTTTCTTCTGAGCTGTGTATGTAATCTGGCTTTGTTTTGTATCTTTCTGCACAAAGAAAGCCAATAGTTTTAAACATGAAATTGCATATCAATGCAAAGTAACAGTTGAAAGTTTTCAAAAATTAACTGTTCCCAAGAAAGAACTTTTCTGAGCCAAACTGTTGAAAATGAAACTTGTCAAAACACCCGAATCTTTACTTAATTTGATGAAAATATTTGCTGCTTAGAAATAATTTTCATCCAATATTATTTCCTTTAATTCTTCCAATATCCTACATTGAAACCGAAAGTGCCCCTGATGTGCATTGTAGAGCAGTAGGTTTAAAGTGCATTTATTTATGAAAATAATTTGAGAGGACACTAAATAGTGGAGAATTGTTTGGATCAGAAACACTTTATTTGCTTTAGGGAGGGAGGAGTTTGTTTTGCCAACGATTTACCATATTCCTGTAGTACACTACGTTGTAGTAAACAAAAATGTGAATTATAAGCTACACTTTATTTTGTTTTTTGTAAAAAGCATCAATCATTAATACCTTTTCTTTGATATAGCACTGTCCTTTTTTAAATTTGGCGTATTGAGATAAATGTAACCGAGATGTTTTGTCCTTTTCATGAACAAGTAGAAAGTAGGCTTTCTTTAGTGTCTCAATGTCTCAAAAAACAACTTTGCAACAGAATACTGCAGAAAGACTATTCTAGTTTTGATTTTACTAAAAATGTAGGTCATTTTGCCCCTCGTTCTTAAGTGAGAATACTCCTTGAAGTATTAGTGTTTTTAAGTTCCCGAAGAGGTGCAAATGAATATATTAAATTCTGTTGTTCAATGGGGCTTTAAAGCAACCAGCATATTTACAGTGCAAGCCCTAATATGGTACAGTGAACATTTCTATACAGAATTAGTATTTGGTCCTCATTCATTCTAACTGAAACATTGTATGAGTGAAACAAAAGAACCCAAGGTTAAATCAGTTTTGTATCAGTGATAATAATACAGATCAAGGTTCAAATGTTATTCATACTCATTAAAGTGCACTTTTTAAACTTGGTAAATAACTGAAATAGATACAGTTCCACTTCTTTAAGGTGTTGCATTCTATACGTATAAGCACTTTTCACATATGTAGCTGTTCTTGGCCGTTTTGTAGAATGATTGTAATTTATTGAGTGAACGTTATATACTTTCTTGTAGCATAGTGAAACGTGGAGAGACAGAAAAATGGAAAAGGGTTGTAACAAATCTGAACTTGAACTGTTCACCAGTATTTGAGTTTGCTGAGGGCAAGTACTCTAGGTCTTAGTACAGTAAATTTTATAATGTTTTGATGTTCAAATTATAGTTTTACAATAGTTTGTGTAAAACAAAATAGAGAAGTAATCTCAGAACTGTTAAAAAAAGTCAGACATTTCATTGTTAAAATGGTTTCCAAATTGTAGACCTTATTTTATAGTGTAATATTTCATATGTGTTGTCTTTCAGTTCTGCAGCCACGGTATGAAAGTACTTAAGACACTTGTTACCAAATTTTTTTATGTAAGCTTTTGACATCTGAAACACGTTCTTTAATAAAACATTAAGCTGATTGAGTGCCTCTGTCATCTTTTAGAAAATGAACAGTGTATTAATATGGTCTATATAGGCTGTTCAAGAACCCAAATTAATTTCTGTGGGCAATTTTTATCAATTTTTATATAAGTGTTACTGCTGAGGATGACAGCAACGTTGTCAGGGCATGTGAATACAATTTAAGTAACCATCTATTCAATATATATTTTCTGTTCTGAGATCTAATTTGAGATTGAAGCATATTTAATCCTAGTTAAACTGCAGTATTAATGCATCTTAATGTAATTGCCACTTATTTAACAGATTAAGATAATATTTTAAACATTTTTCTTATGTTTTCAAATACAGGCTATGTAGGCCAACGAAAAGGCTAAACATTTTCCACCTTGAATATTCAGGAACTGTTTTTTTAAAAAAATCAGGAAGGATCTATTTTCTTAGTTTAACAAAAACACTTTATTTTTTTCTCCTCTACCAGCAATTAAGTTGTCTTCTGAGAAAAACAGAAAAAATATTCTTCACAAAAACATTTTGGAGTAAAATGGTTTCAGAATTTACCTGTTACTTGTTGTGGTTTTAGTATGTTGGTCAACTTGCACAATTCTCTGAACTTTCGGCACTAATTCCATATGTGTGTGCTTTATCTGAACCCCTAATTACTGTTTATGGAACGTTCCCTCTCCCAAAACGTTCCCCAAAACTTTTTTTTAATAGTGGACTGTTCTTATTGAAGCTCATTCTGTCCAACCCTCCCTGACGTTTTCTTTTGTTCTAATTGTTTACGTTTTACTTGTAAAGAGTTGTATTTTGCATTTTTTTAAAAACAAATTTACCACATAAAAATATTTTACCTCTTTCAAATGATTTTTAGTGTATGCCTTTGTTCGTACCATTAGACCCAATTCTTATTGTAATATTAAAGCTAGATTCATTAATTTAAACTATATGGCTAATTGTGCTTTGCAAAAATGCAAAGTCTTTAAATCCTGGATTCTTTTCACTCCTGCTGATCCCTGATCACAGTGTGTCAAGACTGTTGGGTTCCACTGACATGATTTTTACAGTGCTGTTCTAACTGTTGCCCTTGCAGCCTAAGATCATTCCAAATGCAATATGTGGGATTTGTCTAAAGGGTAGAGAATCCAACAAGAGAAGCAAGCCTGAGGGACTCATACACTGCTCCCAGTGCGACAACAGTGGTAAGTAAGGCAGTCCAAATGAAGAAATAATCAGTAGTTTCTTCACCTCAGAAAATAGCAACCTTGACTCAGGCCAGCCACATTACATGACAATGAACCAAAGTTTCACATTTACACTGAGTGATGGCATGGTTACTATATTTATTAAGAAACAGCACTTGATCCATAACATTTAAGTATGATTAATCAAATATGTTTGTGCATATAGAATATAGGTTGAATTATGTGATTCTGATTGACCACAGTAGGAACAAAGGTTATTTGTATGAATTTTATTGATGTTCTTGTTTAAAAAAGGTCTCCGTGAATCTGACACAAAATTTGTTAACTTGTACATGTCCGATCTATCAAAATAGTAAACAAGATGCATGGGAAGAGGGGGGAAACAACTTCTATTATACCATAGATTTCACTTTTAACCAGTATTACACTGATGCTGAATTAACCCTTTCAACAGAACTTTCACAATTTGGTAGTTTCAACATTGAAAATTATTTTGGATTTGAATTTTAGAAGTGCGTGTTTTCTATATCACTAATACCAATGCTTAATTGCAGGCCATCCATCCTGCTTGGATATGTCTTCGGAATTAGTATCTGTAATAAAAACCTACCCATGGCAGTGTATGGAATGCAAAACGTGTATCGTATGTGGGCAGCCACATCATGAGGAAGAGATGATGTTCTGCGATCATTGTGATCGTGGGTATCACACCTTCTGTGTTGGACTCAACGCAATCCCTTCAGGTAAAGTTTGTTTGTATTTTTGAACATAAATGTGTAACCGTATTATGCCCAAATATTGCCGCCACACTTGTTTGCCAGTCGCAATTGAATGGTTGTGGGGTGACATTCCACCTGGCTCTAGATTTACTCAATTAACGTAGCATTTGAATCCAGAATTTGTCAAACTTATAACATTTTGAAGCTAATTTTCCATAAGCTTTCTTCAGAACTACAGAAAACTGGCTTCAAAGTTGGGACTGAATTCGACAATTTGCCAAATTCTGCAGTCTTTGAAATGCTATGTTAAGAGTGTAAATGAGGTACCACCCTTGTGAAAGGCACTATATAAATGCAAATTGTTGGTGTTGTAAATGTAGACCTAGGCGAACTTCTATCCCTTGGTCTGAAAATCACATTGGATGAGATGAATGGGAGCATGAGAGTAGATTTAAATCCTCTATTTCCAAATTTGTGCTTTATAATTATTCTGAATCCTGCAGCATTGAGAATTTTGATTATAAAATTGTCCCTCCGACCATGCACAAACATACGTTCTCTTTATAACACTTATGCCAAAATTGATCACTGACTTCCTGGCTTGAAGCTCTTAGAAGCTTTTAAAAATGGCTGTGGTGAAATGACAGTTAATTAGAATGTTTTACAACACCATCAGAGATCAAGTTAGGGTTTTTAAAAATCTGTATTGTCTGGATCAAAAAAATGCTCATTTCCTAAATGATCATGCGTAACAAGGTCCAATCAACTGGCGTGTTGCATATCTCCCACTGGCTCTTCCAACCTCCATGCAGATGGATCTTTATTATTGGCCTCCACCTTGTTTGTTTTGCTCTCATCTCTTTCTTAGATTCGGTTAACCTACAAAATATACAATCAATTCACTTTACAGTATATTCCGTGAAGCACTTTGAGATGTCTCAACAACGTGATAAGATGATAAATCAAACCCAAGAATTATTATTTTACTGTTTATCTGAAACACATTTGACAGAACTAATTGTTTATGAAACTAGGGAGTTACCATATACTCCTGTCGTTTGGGACTCCAATCTTCAGAAACTGGAAGATGGATTAACCAGTTAGCTGGAAGTAAATGTTTTCAACAAAGTCAGCAACTACATTCTGCTCAAGACGATTTATTGCAGCCGTCATTCCTGATAGTCTACTCCCTTTTTTGAGTTCACCGTTCAGCAAGAATCTGAGTGCTATGCGGAGAATGCATGTAAATTAGCATACGTTATTCAGCACATGGGATTGTCTTTGCTCATCTTTGACTGAACACATCCTTTGTGTGCCACCCACCATCACATTTCCCCTCCTCCGTCCTTTTGGAAAAATAATGTCTATCACTGCTGCTAATACTGCAGCATGCAATTTGTAGATTTCTTACTAGTATTACTGAGCTTCTCCTGTGAGGAGTAGCTTTATGTAGCACAGGAAGTATCCATGTCAAGAAAGTCTTGAAGCACATTGATTGTTTTTCTCCCAGTTGATGGAATTATCTTTTCCGAATTCTTTGTGAAAGATATTTCTGTTTGAAAAATGGAACCCTTTGTCTAACTTTCTTACATTTTCTTGCAAATAATTATTAATCTAATGCTCTTTTGGCACTCTTGGCACATCAGTGCCAGTAGAAGTCTCTTTCGCTCTATCATGTTTGTGGCGAGCTGCTGTGCCTTTTCCCAATTCCGTTGATATAATACTTTGCCAAGTTATTCTTGGCCTGCAGCATTTCCCTTTTTCATTCGGCTACCATTTCGATGCTCAATATAGCAGTCTGGAGACTTGCATCCTGAACTTATGGTTTTGCCAGTTAATGTGCTATTCCTTCACAAGTTTGCTTATTGGCTGGTGGTTTGCTCTTTCCGTAACTATTGTGTTTATCTTCTTCGGCTAGCAGATCCTAAGTCTTTTTGAAGACATTTGCTATTGAAAGCATACAGCTTCTCAGTTGCTCTTTTCATTGCCATATAACAGGTTTCAGTGGCGTATAGCGAATGCTATTATTGTGGTATTTTAAGGGATAGGTTAGTATTTCTACAGCTATTATCCAGTTTAACTATTTTGCCAATCTTAGTTCCTCAATATCTTAAGGATTGTTACATATTGTGCCAAGCCCCCCAAAATTTCTTGTGGTCTTAACCTTAAGGTCATTATATTAAGATATTAAATTGTGCACATTTTTGGAAAATTCTAAAATTTTATCTTAATTTGAAAGCTGTTTTTCCATAGTCCTTAAAAAGGTAAAGCCAATATTAGGCTATTCATCAAAACTGAATGTTTCAAGTTTGTATCCCAGTCTGTGCTAAGTTAAGTGAAATCAGGTAAGAAACATTATCTCAGAAGCATCTGAGCTAGTTTCTTGCATGCAATTTTGTTCATATTTTCAGACTTTAGCTGAAGAAAGAATGAATGCAGCTTCTGAGCCCTGTTGAATTTGTGCATCGAGGGTGTTTTCATTATAAACTTTATCCAATGTACCTTTCTTTTGACAATTTTAGGTCGTTGGATTTGTGAGTGCTGTGCAAATGTTCCTCCCACAACTAAAAAAGGAACAAGGAGAGGAAAAAGCAACCGAGAAGGATAAAGCTGCCACTCCAAAGCCAAATAGAGAAAATGTGTGTCCACAATAAAGTTCCTATCAGATGAAAGCTTTGGTTTACTAAAATGCCATGTCATTACATAGAAATGATTAGGGCTTTCAAGATTATTGTGTTTTTATAAATACCATGTTCATAATTTGGAACTGCAAAATTATTTTCAACCAAATAAAAAATATTATAGAATTATAGTGGCAAATGGTTACAAAGATTTATTTTGGATAACATTTTAGTCTGAAATGTTTGGACTATTTGAAACTGCAATGGGATATCTCAATAAAACATGGTAGTTAGATTATTCTTAAGTGTTGAAAAGTTCAAACTTAAATTGTATTTTATAAATATTTCTCTCCTTTCCAAAAAATCTAGAGCATGATTCTTCAGGTGCCAAACAATTACTAAGATCTCACCCTATTCTTCATGAGCGCAGAGTTCTTGCAGGTTTAGTAATCATGGTGGGGGAGAGGTAATCACAACTCAATCCTTTTGCCTTCAGGGGCATCCTTCCTTCAAGTGCTCTTAGATGCTACTCAGTGTGAGGGCGCTAAATAAAAATGCAAGCTGTACATCCACCCACACAAGGACTTCCTAACAGGAGGCAGTCAAAAGTAGAAAATCTGACTTGTTTTCTTCCTTATCCCAAAGTCACAGCCCATTGACTAAACTGCAGTTGTGTAAATCTAACATGGGACCTTCCTGAACTGTATGGACCTGTACTGCATTACACAGTGAACTTGGCAATTTAGCCATAAGGGGAAACTCAAAATTACCATTGCCCTAGTCTCATTAATATTATGAAATAACATGCTCAGTTCTGAAATTATATTAGACATTAGCATCAAAGCTGTTGATTAAATAACAAGAATTATTTAGGAATAGTATCGGTTCCAATTTGAAATAGAAAATATTGCAGATTAGGAAGTAATTTTGCAAATCTGCAGTTAATTGTATACTGACCTAAAGCCTCACAGCATTTCTTATAGAGTGAAACTCTGTCTGATATGAATGGACTATTTACAGATTGATGCATGTAAGGAATTTATTGGAATAGGTGGAATACCTTGAGTACAGAGGTATTGACCAAGAAAATGATAGCAGCATTTATAGTCCTGACTTCATGGACCTCTGCATCCCCTGATTCGTTCTTCAGGATCGTGGTGCAAGATGGAATGCTCCAAATCTGTAAATCAGAGTTTGCAAAAAGAAAATCATCTACAAGAGTTGGAAAAAGAATGTGCAGCTCAAATATGTGAACGATCAAGTAATTGGACAACTATCCTGAAGGTAGATTGTCTACTTCATTCAATTATCCTCTGGGCACTTTGGGATAATGTTGCATTATTGTCAATAATGGAGTTAGTCTACCTATGATTTAATGTTTAAGGTTACATTATCAAGCATCAAAGGCATATGCAACAGAACACGTTTAGATATGTTTAGATTTGCAGAGTTTAGATTTGTGAATTTCAAGAAGGAAAATGATAGGTAAATTATGGATAAAGGCTTGAAGGGGAACAGAGATAAGACAGGGCAGTAGGATTGATTGAACACCTTGTTCTGAGAGCTGGTGCAGACTTGATGGTCGAATGGACTCATTGTTCTGTAAATTTCTATGATTCTGTTTAAGGCTAACTTCACTTTGCTTCACAAACACAAATAGTGACATTTCCTTTTAGTTACACAAACATATATGACCCTCACAGGTCTTGTGAAAGATTCATTTGTTTATTGTCTGAGGTGCTTATAATAGACTCCAATGTAATACATGTTGGAGACGAATCAAAATCAAGCTGACTTCTGTAAAAGTAGCAAAATTACCCCTTCTGTGGATTCATTTTGACCACACACAAATACATTCCTGTCAGATATGCCGAATAAATTTTCAAGTAGCCTGAAGGCACATCCGTTCACCATTACCAGAACTAGATGTGCTTTATTATGTTAGCATTTATTAGCATATGTATCTTTTTATATTTCATTTATATTTTAATATTAAAATGTTATGGCTTCTGAGTGGAGAATATGCTAAACTGTAGTTGTGTTCTGTCTTATTTTCTAGTAAAATGTCTCTCAAACACCTCCCTGTGTAGTTCATGAGAAAATATTTGTTGTATCATCTTAAGAATTTGTGGTACAATAGAACATATTACTGGGTCTGAATAGCCTCTTCACAGTCCTCACCTGTTCAAGTACACAATAATAGGCAGCACTTTAAAAACTCCTCACAGTATAGTGGGCATGAACTCTTAACATTCTTACTCCAGCACAGGGTTGTGGGCATGAAGTTACAATTTTTATTCACCCTGGAGAATGACAATGCTGCATCATGAAATCTGATTCTTTAATTTCAGGCATTGTTTATCAACTATACTGACCTGAGACACACAAATCAAGTAACAGCAAATAAGCTAATGACACTAAGTTGGACACCTCTAAGAAAGACTATAGATGTGGGAAATAGGAAAAGAGCAAATATCACATGAGCACATATGGCGAATGCTGAAATTGAGATAACTGTTTTAGGAATGTTTGATGTACCAGCAATACCAATACCAAGACCCTCACCTTCGTGAGCACAAATTCACTAAACAGAAATCAGATTCAAATCAAATTGATCTATAGAGGGCTCCCTTGTATCATTTTTGAAAACGGTAATCTTGAAGGCAGATTGGAAGCATTGCAAGCTGTGAAAAGGTTAAACACACAAGCTAGAGTAAAGGCTTAGGCAACCAGCAATAAGGAGACTGGTCCAGGGATTTGATTTTCCTGGCACTGAGTTAAGTGTTTTATATTGATTCAGCAAATCCTTGTGGAAATATCACTTCCCTTTCAGTTCAATTTAATTTAAAGATGTGAAGTTTGATAACTTATGAAAAATTGAAATCACACGATGCTGCCTTCAATTTTTAAAAAATAATTCTGATACATAATAAATCAGTGAAACTTTACAGAGCTTGAGATGTGATGAAAACAGTTACAGAGGAAGGGATCCATTTCCAATGTGAAATTAAATCGCACTGTTAGACACTATGGGGCAGAATTTCCATCTGGTCTAGAATGGATTTACTCCGTTTATGTAGCTTTTCCGATTGCAGAAATTGCCGAATTCCTAAATATGGTCTTAATTTTCAAGCTGTTTTTCTGTAAGTTCTTTTAAGAGCCACATAAACCCAACTTCAAAATTAAAACTGAATTTAACAACTTGCCAAATTCTGGTTGCTGTGAAATGCTACATTAATGTAGTAAATCTAGACCCAGGTGGAATTTTTCCCCTTATATTATGACATGGAAAAGTTGCAAATAAGAGTTTCCATGGCAATTTTACTGCTGCTATACGTGTTTTCCCATACACAGAATCTGACCTGATGGCCTTTGTGTGTAATGAATCCATTTGTTGTGAAGCTTTCCGTGCTTCTAACACTTCCTATCCCCTGGCACCTGGATGCAGTATTGCTGACCTCACAGCCAGCTCACCCAATTGTTTCACTCAAAATTATTCTTACATTTGACATTGTACCTAAAACAGTGAAACTTCTTCAAATGATTCATTGTAATTGATGTCAAGTGTAGTGAAAATGTGTGTCAGCTTAGCTCAGTTGGTGACACTCTCGCTTCTGAATCAGAAAATTGTGGATGCAAGTCTCACATTCAGGACTTGGAACTCAAACGTAGGCTGACACTCCAATGCAGTGCTGGGGGTGTGTGGAATTATCGCAGGTGCCGTCCTTCAGATGAGATGTTAAACTGAGGTAATGTCTTCCTGTCCAGGTGGATGTTAAAGTTGCCTTGGCACTATTTAAAAAGTGAAGGGTATTTCCCCTGGTGTACTAGCCAAAACTGCCCCAAATAATATTGGTCACTGCCACTGACAATTCCATTGCCAACCTGAGAGTTCCATGCATCCCACCTATTATGTAGAAATTCCTTTGTATTGGAATTGAATAGGCACTCTCTCCTTGAAGGGACACATCCTGCGTTCCTAATTTTGGAGAATATAAGGTGCAAGAGCTAAGGCTTGGGAACCCCAGAGTGTGCATTAGGGTACTGCTGGAAATTAACTAGCTAAAACCGTACAGCTTGCCATTGAAAGCACTGTGACAAGCTTTCCCACAGTGAGTCTAGCTAGGAGGACAGTACCCATTAGCTCTTTGGCTTGCAGGGTTAACAGGAGCTGAGTGGACACCAGGAGAAAGTTGCGTTGCTCTTTCAATAGCGCCATTGGAATCTTTAATATTCATCTGAATGGGCAGACGAGACCCCAGTGACTGGTGTGTCTCTCCAAGTACTACCAATGAGCCAGGTTGACTGGGCTGTCATCACCAGTGCCCTGAAATACCGCAGACCCCCCCCCCCCCGGCTCAGGAAGTAGCCTACCAATACCGCCACTTAGGGCTGGCTCAATTCCGACATTCCATTGCCAAACATGTCACCTTGGAGCCAGTTCAGCTCCAAGAATACCCTGCATACCTCCTCCCCAGGAAGATTTACCCCACCCGCACACCCCTACCCCCACAAGGAGAAAATGGGACTGAAAGGATTGCTCTTAAAAGAGTCAGCACAAACACGATGGCCTGTGCTATAAATTTCTTTGGAAAAATACCATAATTTGGACTCCAAAGAGTGATACTGTTCTAACAATTTAACACACAATGTAAGAAAGGCAAAATCATTTTGATCATTCAAAATACAATATAGTGCCTTTCATGTCGGGAGGATGTCTCAAGGCACTTGACAATCCTGGTTTAGCACCCAAGCTGCAAAATGGAGTCAAGGGGGGGTGGGCAAGGGAAAGATGCCGAAGATAACTGATACAATCAGTTGCAAAGATTGGAGAATTCATGAGCTTCAAGATGCCCACTGGCCTTTTCGCATACCCACTTATTTTAATGTTCTTTTATTTATAATAATTCTGATATGGCACCTTTTTAAATTGTTGAAACACCTCAAAGTGCTTCTTAGGATTTCCTGTAAAATGTAGTGACCTGCATATTTGTTAGATAAATGCAGCAGACAATTTGCACACAACGTCCCACAAACAGCCATCAAGTGAATGACCAATTTTATTTGGTTTGTTGTCCAGGATTCCGGGTGGGGTCTTCAGATGAGACATTAAACCAAAGTCTCGTCTATAAAATACACAGTTACTACATTTTACAGTAAATCCTGTGAAGCACTTTGAGACATTTTGATGATGTGATAAGTTGCTATATTAAATACAAGTGTTATAAAATTGAGGGGTGCAAATTGGCTCCTGCATTCGCCTACAAATACACAGGCTCTATACTTTGAGATATGTTGATTATGTGATAAGGTGCTATATCAAGTGCAAAGATTGATGTATTGTTAAAAATTTGACTGATACATTTTCATTATCTGTTAATTCATCTGTTGAAATTTGTTTTGAAATTCCCAGAAGTTAATAATATTTCTACAGTGGTCCTGAGTTACTTATGCCCAGTAGGTTTTTTTTTAATCTCAATAGCGAAATAGAAAAAAATAGCAAGCTTCTCACATCTGTAGGAATTATACATAAACCAGCTGTGTGCCTTCTGGCCCTACTCTCATTGTCTCTACATAATGGATTCTGGACAGGCTCCACTGAATGCATCGGGTATGAGCAATTCCGAAACAGGAACCTGTTACTCCACCACAAGATGTGGCTGATAAACACCCTCTTCTTTTTTTAAAAAAGGTGCTTTCACTATTTTGATTGATTGTAGCAAAACAGCATCCTGCATATTTAGGAATCCTCATTGACCCTGCTAGGAACACTGTGGATTTATTTGATTCCTCATAATGTCAGCATATTTGAAACTATTTGTCACTCGGAGACATAAATCTGCATTAAGTACAGAAATATCTTTCCCTACAAAAGTGGGCAGTTGCCATTGATTCTTCCGATTAGTTTTTGGATGAAATTGGCTTCAACAGACATTCTAACATTTCCCTGTGTATATAATCTTATAACCACTTCCCCTTCTGGGGATAATCCTCAATGTATGTCTTTTTATTACTAACTTGGAAATATTGTCTCCCAAAAATTTCCAAAGGCCATAGATCTGGGAAATAGAAAAAGAGCAAAAAAACTACCAAAAAACATTAATGGAACGTCCTTCCGATGTGAAAAAAACAGCAACAATAAATTACACTTGTATAGTTCTCCTCACATTGGAAAGATGTCCCATGGCAGTGGACAATCAGGGGTTTTGGAACCAGAAATATACAGTCAATTCACTTTACAGTATATTCTGTGAAGCGCTTTGGGACGTCTAGAAGACGTGAAAAGCGCTATATCAAATGCAAGGATTATTATTATGATTGGGGCAGAGGGCCTTGAAGGTAAGAAGGATTTTGTACTCGATTCTCTGAGGAATGTGAAGCCAGTGAAGCCAGGCAATAACGGGGTTGATAGGTTCCCGGAGCCTGGTGTGGGAGTGGACACAAGCCGCAGAGTTCTGAATAATATGCAGCTTGCAGAGGAAAAATTTGAGAAGTGCAGTGAAAGGCACTATATAAATGTAATTTTGTTGTTCTGTTGTACATATCTTGAATCATGCTACGAGCTACTGAAAGGAAGAAAGTTTGTGTTTTGTCTAAGCAGAAAAAAACATATTAATGGTAGAACAGACTGACAACAAATGAGACATTCAGTTCCTTCAAGTGACAAAAGTATTAACAGTCCAATATTTGGACCACAAATGTGGGTTTTATTTTTCATTTTTGAAACTTGTCAAGAGTAGTTTGAACAGTTCATCAATCTAGATTTATGGATACAATTGTTTTCACTTCTTAGCACTATATACAGTATATTTTGTTGAAATGTCTACCTTTTTAATAAATTAACATTGTAGGGATGCCATCTAATTTGCCACATTCCTGACAGTCTGAATATTTTATACAGGTGTCAAACAGATTCTTCTCCTGACAGTACTTGGAATATTGATGACCACAGACCACATTGGCATGAGATCTGCAAGAAAGTCTCTAAAGAAGTACAGTGTTTTTTAAATCACAGTTAAAATGAAAAACGAGCCAGTGACCAATTTGGGTTCCAGCAACTTGGTCAGGATCATGTTGATCTCAATGTGTTCCTCTCATCTGAAAGGCTTTTTGAATTAAAAAGTGAAATATGTTCACTTCCTTTTTGTTCTCATTTGGTACCGCCCCCTGCCTACTCCAGGGACAAACAGATGAAATCTCCCTTGCTGTGATATACACATTCTATCCTATTTCAGGAAGTGAATTTTCTTCATTGTAACATTATTGCATTATTAATAATTTTTAAGCATTCCTTTTTTTGTGTGGGTAGGTGGGGGGGATTGTAGAATGTTGGACTACTTTAAGTCCCCAAACACTTATATCAGCTGAGCTGCCTCCAAGATGAAGTGTAGGTTAACAGAACGTCAGAATTGAGTCAACCCTCTGTTGACATGTTTAAGAATATCCAAATCAAACTGATAATTCCATGATCCCATCTACACACGGAAATCCCAGAGATAGGTTGTTGGAATGGAATGTGCACTCTCCCTGGAGGGACGCATCCTGCTTACCTAATTCCAGGAAGCATTAGGCGCAGGTTGGCAAGAGCCAAGGCTTGGGGACTCCAGTGTGTGCGCTTTGGGGTACTGCTGGAGTCTCACCAGCTAAAACCACAACGCTTGCCATTGTCAACACTATCTGGCAAGCTTTTTCTCTGCTTGTCTAGCTAGGACCAGCCTACCTATTAGGGCTTTGGTTTGCAGGGTTAATAGGAGCTGGGTGGGAAAACTCCCTCCCCCCAGTCACTGGTCTGCCCCTCTATTGTCCTGCAAGCCGAGGCCCTGTGGATAAGGGGTCCGAGCTGGATAAGCAGCAGGAAGCTTGACAGATAGTGCCCTCAATTGAAAGCTATGTGGTTTTTGCTGATTAAACCCCAGAACATTCTGAGATCTCCAAACCTTGAAACTCATGAACCTATGCCTGATATCTCCAGATTAGGTAGAGCAGGGTGCATCCCTCCAGAGAGAGAATGCACATTTCCAGTCACAGGGAAATGTTCAGGTGTAGGTGACATACATATGTGGAACTCTGGTTTGGATAGTCTGAAGAACGTTTTCCGACGTGTGTCAGACACTGATCTGCATCCCGACTCCCACACACACACACACACACACCTACCTTCCATTGAAACAGTGATGTTGAGCTATATTGCTCTGGGAAAGACAGTGAGGGAACTGTAAGCAAAACATAAAATTAAAGAAAAACTGTTCAGTTCGCAGCGTTCATAAACATTGTTCTACGCCTCATTTAAGGAGTGTATTATTATTATTATAGCGTCTTTAAAATATTTGATAATATTAATGTCAAAAAATAATACGGCTCCAAATGTTTTTGATGGATGGTTGTGGCGTCCAAGCCGGTATGTGTTTTTTTCCCATTTGCAAAACAATTGAAAAAAATATCAATCCTTGCAGTTGATATAGGGTCTGGGGGGAGGTTTGCAAAGCAATTCACAGGGTTTATTGCGAAGTGCGGCGATTGTGAATTTTGCTGACTGGGGAGTATCTGAGCTGAGGAGGGAAAAGCTAAGCCAACTGTCCTCCAATAACAGCCAATCAATTATTATTATTAATATTATTATTATTATTATTATAATAACAGCCAATCATGGTCAAAGTCAACACTTTGTAACAGTGAAAAATCAGAAAGGAAAGCTTTCAGTCTGGACGGGAATCATACAGAGATATATATATATATACACACATAGATACTTCCCAGGCACTGAGACTGATGGCGGGGGAGGAGATCACAATCATTCACTGCAAATAACTGGGCTCCTCAACTGCGGAGCTGGACAGCGCGGAGCGGCTGCTCGTGAGTGAGTGTGAGTGAGTGTGAGTGGGAGCCGCTCGCCATCGCTCATTCTGGGCCATCGCGGCTGCCGTCCCTGAGACACAGCAGCCATAGCAACAGCCATAACAACCACATCACACCCGCACACACACCCCCACACCCGCACACACACCACCATCACATCCCCCAACACACACACACCACCATCACACCCCCACACCCCCACACCCGCACACACACCCCCACACCCCCACACCCACCACCATAACACCCCCCCCGCACACACACCACCATAACACCCCCCAACACACACACACCACCATAACACCCCCCCACACACACACACACCACCACATGACAGTCCCCCCCACACAGCCCCTCAGGTAAGGGTGTGTTACTCGCTGCTGAGGGTGAGTGTGTGGTGTGTGGCTGTGATCGAGTTGCTCAGCTGCTCTCGGTATCTGGGGATGAAGCTGCCCATGTGATGGCGATGAGGAACATTCCTGTAACGCGGGGTTTATAAAATGCATTGATTTCAGAATGATATACTCCACTGCTTGTGGATTTCCTTCTCCTCTGGTGGTCAGTGGGACCTGGTCACCACTTCATTCCAGCTCTGATGTGAATAATCTGGGAGGGGGTTACTGTTGACTTGATCAACTGATTTGCAAATGATGATATTTTGAAATATGTTATTGATATTGAAGAAGCCATCAATCATCACATTATGCGACTCATTTTTTTCTTTTATGTGTAAAGGTGAGATTCAATTAAAGGCCGTGTCAACAAGTTGCCAATACTTCTTGCCAACTCAGTTGGAGCTTTTTTTTCTCTCTCATTTATTTTACCATTCATTTGCTTTCAGAATGTGTGAAGACGCCACTGTTCAGCAGCAGCCTGTGGAGACTGTCAATGTACACCAAATAGTCACTGAGAAACATTGTGTTCAAACTCACACTGACCTGTCCCAGGTTCAGCTGGCTTGCTGTTGGCACTATTGTGCCTTCCCTCTTCATGGACGGGATATCTGCATCTGGAATACCTGCGAACCTCTTCTGCAGGTAGCGTCAAGTGTTTGTGTTTTGGAAAAGGGGAGAGGAAGGAAAAGAATATTAAATCAGAGTTGTTTTCAGGCCCTCTGGAAAATGAACTACAATGTCAAAAGGTTAACGTGAGTAATAACACAATAGGAAGACAGAACTTGAGTTATACAGTGTCACCCCCCAGCCTGGCTCAGTTGGTAACACTCTTGGTTCTCAGTCAGGAAGTTGTGGGTTGAAGCCCCACATCAGAAATTAGAATTGATGTAGTCTTAAGTTGACACACTAATGCAGTGCTGCGGTGTGCTGCATTATCGGATGTGTTGTCCTTCGGATGAGATGTTAAGCAGAGGTTCAGTCAGATGGACATTGAAGATCCCATGGCACTATTTGGAAATAGAAAGGGGTTTTTCTCACCTGGTTACTTGGCTAAATATTCTCCAAATAAAATTGGTTATTCACTTTATGGCTGTTTGTGGGGCATTGTGGTATTCAAATGGGCTGCTGTGTTTGCCCACAAAACACAGTGACCACACTTATTATTATTATTATTATTATTATTATTATTATTATTATTATTATACAGTATATCCTGTGAAGTGTTTTGAGACATCTTGATGACATGGCAAGGTGCTATATCAAGGCAAGGATTATGATTATATGTTACATTTAAAGAACATCTCAATAATTATTGTCAAGTGTAGTGAATTTTATAGTAGAGAAGAGTAATGAATAAGGTGAATTACGAAGCGTGTTATAACTGTCCTATTGTAATTGACGAAAACAAATACTGTAATTTGCTACAACAAATGAGTTCTGAATTGATGGCCTGTCAATATCTTATTTAAAAATATATCAAGAAGCTGGAAAAAGCTCATTAGTTCAAAATAGAAATGGCAAGTTGTATCTTGAGCAAATTATCCAAAGTTAGGAAAGACTAGTCACACATATTCAACTGTCTTCATTCAGCTTTTTGGCACAAAGAATTTAAGATGGACTTGACTAGTCTTTTTATGTCTACCTCCTTAGTTGCAGAGAACCGTTTAATTATTATAAAACTTATTAATATAAAACTTTGCACAATGGGTAAAAATGGTCTGTTTATTTAATGGTCTAGGGTAGAAAGCTCTGGATAAGATAGATCAACATATTTTCTTGAATGGATGATTAATTATTGATGGTCTCATTCCTCTGCTTTGTCTAGCCATTGGAATTAAAAGGACATCACAAGTATATTACTGCGCTGGCATTTGGCAACTTGTATGAACCACTTCTTCTGTGTTCAGCGGCTCATGATTATGTCATTATATGGGATGTGGAAGCATGTCAGAAGAAAATACTACAAGGTACTTGTTTGTCTTTGATTTGGGAGTTGTAATCATGAAAGACATCCTGCTTTAATGATCAATTTCACTTGCATTTATATAGCATTCTAGTAGATTATCTCTGATCACTTTTTAAACACAGTTCCAGAAACCAAGTTGGGCGAACTGGGGTTAGAGCGCGAAAGGAAAATTTGGAAAGTGACAGTAGGCATAGTTGAAGAGGTAGTTTTTTTTCAAAATGTTTTTGAAAATAGGGAGGGGTTGAGGGAGAGCTTCCAGAGAATGGGAGTTATTCTCAAATTTATAAGCGAAGAATAACACATGAAGCCTCTATGCCTAATGATGGCATTATTCCCTGTTAAAGGGGATGCTATTGCCTCAGTGACTTAAAATTAAATATTGCGAAAGTGCTTTGTATTCAAAATAAACTTCTAGATAGAAATTCACTTTAAAGTATATTCTGTGAAGCGCTTTGAGATGTCTTGAAGATGTGATAAGGTAATATGTCAAACGCAAGGATTATTGTTATTATAGAGAAGGAGAGAAATACTTTGTCATAAAATAGCCTTACACAACAACAACAACTTGGATTTATATAGCGCCCTCCACCCCGGACGGCGTCTCAGAACGCTTTATAGTAACGGATCCCGGGACCGAGCCAGGGGGAGGGGGAGGAAGGTGACCAAAGGCGCGGTCAAAAAGAAAGGTCTTCAGCAGAGACCTGAAAATGGGAAGGGAGAGCGCGAGACGAAGGGAGTGAGGAAGGCAGTTCCAGAGCCTTGGGGCGTAGCGGCTGAAGGCACGGCCGCTGAGGGTGGAGCGGAGGACTCGGAGGACGAGGAGGAGGCCAGACCCGGAGGAACGAAGGCAACGGGTACTGTTTTGAGGAGAGATTAGGTCAGAGAGGTAGGGGGTTCAGAGGAGTGCAGGGACTTGAATACAAGGGTGAGGATCTTGAAATCGATCCTCTCTGGGATAGGCAGCCAGTGCAGTCTGGCAAGGACTGGGGTGATCGGGGAGCGGAGTTTGGTGCAGAGTTTTGAATGATTTGGATTTTATGGATGGTAGTGGAGGGGAGGCCGGTGAGGCTCATCCAGCCCCTGAGGTCTGACAGGCAGGCTGACAGAACATCAGGGGACTGGGGGTCACAAAGAGCGGTGGAAAAATAGAGTTGGGTGTCATCTGCATACGTTGGAATTGTACCCTGTGACTATGGATGACATCCCCAAGAGGGATCATGTAGATCAGAAAGAGGAGGGGGCCAAGGATGGATCCTTGGGGTACCCCACAGGTTACCGGGTGAGAGTGGGAGGAGAAGTCGTTTGTGCAGATGTACTGTTGGCAGTTTGTGAGGTAGGACTCGAACCAGGCGAGTGCGGTCCCATTGAGGTGGATGATGGAGGAAAGGCGGTGGAGGAGGATGGCGTGACCGACTGTGTCAAACGCGGCGGAGAGGTCCAGGAGGACAAGGAGGCAGAGGGAGCCCTGGTCACAGATAGAGAGGATGTCTTTGTGACTTTCACAAGTGCAGTCTCTGTACTGTGGGCGGAAACCGGACGGGAGGGGTTTGAAGAGGGAGTGGGAGGAGAGGTGTGCGTGGAGTTGATTGGCAACAACGCGTTCTAGGACTTTTGTGAGGAAGGGCAGGTTAGAAAAAGGGCGGTAGTGGCCGGGATTTGAGGGATCTTGGGAGGGTTTTTTCAGGAGGGGGCTGATGACAGCAGTTTTGAGGGAGGCAGGAACTGATCCGGAGGAGAGGGACTGGTTGATGACGTCAGCCAGTAGTGGGCAGAGGAGGGGGAGCTGTGTGACCAGGAAGTTGGTGGGGAGGGGGTCGAGGCAGCAGGTGGTGGGTTTCATGGAGGTGATGGTGGGTGAGAGGGAGGAAGGAGAGATGGGGAGGAAGGAATGTAGGATGGGGGTGGTGGTAGGAGCAGATGATGAGGAAGGTGAGGGGGACAGAGAGGGTGTGGTGGTGGGAACAAGAGGCAGGTGAATGAGGCTGCCTGGCGGATGTTGTGTATTTTAGATGAAAAGAAGTCCATGACCTCCTCGCACTTGGCATTTGATACAAAGATTGAGGAGGCTTGAGGGGGGGCATGGAGGAGGTAGTGGGTGGTGGAAAGAGGATTTTTGGGTTGTGTTTAGCCTCCAAGATGATGTTGGAGTAGAAGGCCGTTTTTGTACGAGTCAAAGAACGGCGGTAGCTGTGGAGATGCTCGAGCCACAGTTGGCAGTGAACTGTCAGGCCAGTTTTCCGCCATCTGCGGCTCGAGCAGCCGGGTTTGGGTTTTTTGGCGGCGGAGATGGTTGTTGTACCAGGGGATCGGGTGGGTTTGGAGATGGTCCTAGATTTCAGGGGCACGAGGGAGTTGAAGGTGAAGGAGAGGCAATCATGGAGCAGCTGGACGTCTGCTTCAGGATCTCCGTGGGTGGAGAGCCAGAAGGATAGGATGTTTGATGATGTGAGGGCCTTTGTGAGGGTCTCATGGGATAGCCTTTTCCAAGGGCGGTAGAGGATGGTTGAGGGCTTGGTGAAGGAGAGAGGGATGTGAGAGGAGAAGGAGATGAAAAAGTGGTCCGAGATGGCCTGGTCCACTATGCTGAGGTCGGAAATGTCAAGGCCATGGGTGATGAAGAGGTCAAGTGCATGACCACGGTTGTGGGTGGATGAATTTATATGGAGGGTAAGGTTTAGGGAGGAGAGGAGGGCAGTGAAATCGGCAGATGTAGTGCAAGGGGAGTTTAGGTAGAGGTTGAAATCGCCCATTATGAGTAGGCGCTCGGAGCAGAGGGACAGGGAAGAGAGGAGGGTAGAGATGTGGAGTCCTGTAGCTCAGTGGTTAGAGCACTCGCTTTGCAAGCGAGAAACCTGAGTTCAATTCCAGGCAGGGCGAAACCTTGGGCAAGTTTCCTTACTCCACACAGAGCCTAATAATAATCCCTCCAAAACCAAAAACAATACTAAATTGGTCATTTTCAATCTACGACTGTTTGTGGGACATTGCTGTGCGCAATTGGCTGCCATGTTCGCCCACAAATATACAGTCAATTCACTTTACAGTGTGTTCTGTGAAGCGCTTTGGGACGTCCTCCCGATGTGAAAAGCGCTATATCAAATGCAAGGATTATTATTATTATTATTATTATTATTATTATTATGATGTCTGTGTGGAAGGAGCCGGGGGGCTTGGGGGGGTGGTAGACAAGGAAGATTTTCAAAGGGAGAGAGGGATGGAAGAGGGTAAGGTGCTCGAAGGAGGGGAAGCAGCCAGAGGAGTAGGGGGTGAGACCAAGGGAGGCTTTGGAAATGAGGGCCATTGGTTGGTTTGGACGGGGGAATATGGTGGAAGGTATAGCCTGGAGGGGAGGCTTCCACTAGGGGTACAGGGTCACTGGGGTAGAGTCAGGTTTCGGTGAGCCCTAGAATGAAAAGGTGCTCGTCCAGGATAAGGTCGTGGATGGTGAGGGCTTTATTTGAGAGGGAATGGACATTTTGGAGGGAAATGCGGGTGGGTTTGCTGGAGGGACGGGAGGGAGGAGAGATTGGTGTGGAGAGGATTTTGGGTTATGCAGGAGAGATGGTTGTGGAGACTGGTGTGAGTGGAGAGTTGGGGAGGGTACGTATGAGGAAAGAAAGGGGGAGTTAGGTTTGCCCTAAAGAGGCGGTTTGAGCGAAGGGCGTGAGTGATGGGACACATGGGGTTGCTGCCCTGGGACAGCCAGTGCCGGGAGCCACAATACCTTCTCCTGTTTCTGACCAACAGACTGGTGATGTAAATAGCATGAGATGGTGTCATCTGATTATGCTTGCGTTTAAAGCTTTTATCTTACTTGAGAGAAAAGTTCATCCATCTAACTTTGAAAAAATGTTCCCTTGATGAGGTTGGAACCCTTGGCGTGGTCTGAACTTATTGCACCCAAAATACTGGGACTGAAATAAACACAAATGTTGAAACTTAGTGTGATTCTTTGTCAATTTGTCTGTCTGTCTGTTCAAGTGGATGCTAAAGATCCCATGACATGAATCAAAAAGAGAAAGGAGTTTCACCTCTTTCTTGACCAACACTCTCACAAATAATGTTGGTCATTCACTTCATGGATGTTTATGGGGCCTTGTGCAAATTGACCGCCTCATTTAGCTAGAAAATATACACTGACTAAACTTTACGGAAAATTCTGTGAAGTGCTTTGAGATATCTTCCTGACCACGAAAATCATTATATCAAATGTAAATGTTATTTTTATTAATTTAATTTGTAAGCACTGTTTATCCTTGTCTTTTTACATGATAAGGAAAAAAAACTATTCAGAATATGTAATAAAATGATTATCTTTTTGATGGTTAATTTTTTCTTTGTATATTTGTGGATGAGAAATATTCTAACTGTTTGATATCATTTGTAGGTTTTGTGGCTAGAGGAACCATTGCAGGCATTCTGCTGGGAAAGGTCTTATATTTATGTTTCAGTCCAGATGATCAAACTGTGGCAACTTGTGCGGACAACAGCATTTATCTGCTGAGCTGCAAGGTAATTTGTTTTCATTTTAAAAACCTATAATTTAACTTACTAAAGATAACTGTACCTCCTATTCCAGTCGTAATCATATTGTTGCGCTTTATAAAAAATATAGTTTAGTTATAAAGGAACAAAGGATATTTGTCAATTGTATTTAAAAAATGGTTATTTCAAATGGGATTTCTTGATCAGTAGTGCATTACTGCCAACTTGCAGGAACATCCTCCAAAGTGAGGAGCAGAGATCCTGTGAATTCAGTCACAGGAAAGAGTCCCATTCCAATTAATGAAAGAATCCTGTTTGAAATCAGCAATCACTATTTCTGTACTATCTGATACTTGAAGCTATTGAAAGGAAACTGAAGTTTAGAGGGAGTACTTTTTGTTTGAATTATCCTTTCTAAGTGTAGGAATGATATATTGTCATAAAATAGTCACTACTCAAAGTGAGGAATACTGACTTGCGCCAGTGCCTCCGCACCTCGGGCAGTGGCAGCATCAGCCTCCATGGCTGCACACTCAACCTCACTTAGCCACTCAGGAACCTGGGTATCTTGTTTGACCAGAACTGTCCTTTCTCCCTGCGCCATGACCGGCACTATCTACCACCACTTCCCCAACATTGCCAGACTCCATCACAGCCTCACCCCTCAGGCTGCCGAAACCCTCACCACGCATTCGTCACCTCAAGGTTTGATTACGGGAACTCCCTCCTCATCAGTCTTCTCAACTCTTCCCTTCACAAACTGCAGATCACCCACCAGGCTCCGTGACCCCATCACCCCCACCCTCGCCCGACTCCACTGGCTCCCCATCCCCCAGAGGATCGAGTTCAAGATCCTCGTCCTTACCTTTAAGGCCATCCATGGCCTTGCCCCCTCCTACCTCTCTGACCTGCTGACTCTCTACCAACCTGCCCGCTCCCTCCGTTCAGCGGGTTCCACCTGCTCCATGTCTCCCGCCCGACCCACACTACCATTGGTGGCCGGGCTTTCAGCTTCTCTGCCCCCACATTCTGCAACTCCATCCCACGGTCCCTTTGCCTCGCAACACCAGCAGCAATGTTAGTGGTTAAAGCAGAAGTTAAACTGCACCTTTCATGCTGTTAAACTGCACCTCAGTATGTTCTACCAATTCAAACACATAGAACCAGCGATAGTTTACACACCAGTCCTTCCACCTTTGGAACTACCGCAGACTTTCAATATTTAGACAGCGCCTTTCACATCGGGAGGACTTCTCATGGAGTCCTGTAGCTCAGTGGTTAGAGCACTCGCTTTGCAAGTGAGAGACCTGAGTTCAATTCCAGGCAGAGGGCGAAACCTTGGGCAAGTTTCCTTACTCCACACAGAGCCTAATAATAATCCCTCCAAAAACCAAAACAATAATAAATTGGTCATTTTCAATCCATGACTGTTTGTGGGACATTGCTGTGCGCAATTGGCTGCCGCGTTCGCCCACAAATATACAGTCAATTCACTTTACAGTGTGTTCTGTGAAGCGCTTTGGGACGTCTAGAAGACGTGAAAAGCGCTATATCAAATGCAAGGATTATTATTATTATTATTGTAAAGTGCTTCACACCCTTGGCTGGACACCTGAGCGAGGGTGGGGACTGTCCAGCCAGCTGTACGTTTTACCTTGGCTGCAGAAGAAAAACATGTAATAATTAATGTATATTTTAGCTTAGTGAAAAATTCTACCATTGAGTGTGTTGCAGGGACCTGCTTCCTCAGCTGAATGGCTTCTCGGAATGGCTCATAGTTTAATAGGTCCTTTGTGATTGATCTGATAGCTGAATTAGGTGTGACCTACCCTAAGAAAGCCTATTAAAAGCCTAGCTAAGTCTCAACTGTATCATTTGTGTATCTACCAGTGCTGAAGGCAAATTCATATGCAAGGATTATTACATTTATATCAAATGTTCTATATTCTCTGTATTAGTCTTCTTAAAGTGGCAACTTTTCCCCAGCTTTCTGCTGATGCTATTTAATAAGCAGTTACTAAAAGGGTTACAAGAGCAGCTCATGGTGACTTACGTGTTAAATTAAAAACACAGATTTGGCTAACCTCAGTCTGATGAAAAGGCTTGACACTTTCCTCTGTGACCCAGTTGTGTGGACGTTGTGTGAGTGGAATTAGTAAGTGGACCAGATCAATATTCTATTATTTTGGGTGTAATATGTTGGTGAATGACACTGTGTCAGTACCCTGTCCTTTCTATGTTTACATGTTTATTTTTGGGGAGGGAAAGAAGATAATATTTATGCTTCTAACAATGAGGAATCTTAATGCTGGACAACTGAACATATTTCAACTCATAGTAGTGAGTGTTAGCATGAGGCAGTTTGCAGTTCGGATAAGGCATGAATTAAATATAGAGTGAAGTTCCTTTCAAATTACTTTATATGCAACATACCTCTCCCTCAGAAAAGCATCTTTTATTGCTGTGATGATTTCATTTTCCACACCAGCAGTCCTGTGAGTCAGATTGCCACTAACGTGGTAAATTATGAACAGATATTTACTTGTAACCAACAGGAATTGGATTAAGATTGCTACCAGCCTGTGTTGATTTAATTCTGAGTCCCAGAGGTGAATCACAATATTTTAAACTACTGTAACAAAAACAGAAGTTGCTGGGAACACTCAGCAGGTCAGGCTGAGTGTTCCCAGCGATTTCTGTTTTTGTTTCAGATTTCCAGCATCTGCATTATTTTGCGTTTTTCCTAAACTGCTGTCCCAGGTTAACCTTCCCTTCATTCTTTCAGCTGTATCTAATAGATGCATTAAATGCATTTGCTATATTAAATGCTATTATTACTATTTTTAGATTCAGTTCATAGCCTGGTTGTTATTAAATTAATTTTGATTATGAGAATTTAACTAGAATTAAATTCTTTTAAAAAAAGTTTATATCTCTCAGTGCTGCTGTCTTTCCAGTGATGATGGTCAGCTGCCTGATCTGTAATGTGTTAAAATAGTAATAGTAATCCTTGCACTTGATTACAACAACTTTCACATGAGGAGGATATCTTGAAATGCTTCACAGTATTTACTGCAAAGTGTAGTGACTGTGTATTTTGAGGCAGACATTCATTTATTAAATCAAACGAGTTCACTCATCTGCAGCAATGGGTTTGTTACATTCGTGTATTTGACGTTCTATTAGCAGGAGAATGTTTTGGCTGTGTTGGAAGGTCATCTTGCTGCAGTGACGGCTGCAGAGTTTTGTCCTTGGCAACCGAGTACGCTTGTATCAATCTCTGAAGACAGAACTTTTAAGGTAGGAGTGTAACAGATTAATTTTATTTTTTAAAAATATTTGATATGATGCAACTTTTTTTTCTGTCATATATGTTCTCTTCATCGCTCTGTCATTGTTACTCTCAACTTTGCTCTGTGCCATGCTTACTCTCATTGTGTGTCAGCCTGGCTCAGTGGTAGCACACTCGCCTCTGAGTCAGAAAAGTTTGGGTTCAAACCCCATGTCAGGACTTGGAGTCGTATATTCCAAGATGACACTCCAATACAGTTCTGGGGGGGGTGCTGCATTGTTGGAGCTGCTGTCCTTCAGATGAGACGATAAACCGAGGCACCGTTTGCCTATTCAGGTGGATGCTAAAGTTCTTGTGGCACTGTTTGAAAAGAAAAGGGAGTTTTTCCCAGTGCTCTGGCCAACAATCCCTCAAATAAAATTGGTTACTCACTGCATGGTTGTTTGTGGGACATTGCTGTGTGGAAGTGGATGCTGCCTTTCGCCCACAATATATAGTCAATTCACTTTACAGTATATCTTGTGAAGAGCTTTGAGATACCTCAACGATGGGATAAGGTGCGATATCAAATGCAATTATTATTATTATCTTTGCTCTGTACCCTTGTTACCCTCATTTTGGCTCTGTTCCTTTGTTAATTTTTATAACCAAAGAAAAAACTGTGGAGAAGACACCGAGGAAAATGCTCCCATGCAATTGCTTTAAAAAGTAGTATGTGAAGCACCTGATGTTCACTGAAGAGGCTATTCGCATGCCATGACTGCTCACTGAGGATAATTTTCTCAGGGCAGCCAGGACTGCATTAACAGAACCAGTGAAATGGACTACTGCTATGATTGATTACGGCTCAGGGTGATTCCAGACTCCCACTGGGATACTTTTTGGTGTCAGCCAACATGCAGTATCCACTAGGTAATTTACACCCTGTATCGAAGGGCTGTAAATTCTTTCAGTTGCAGCCATTAATACTCAATGCCGAGAAGTAAATTTTTTTAAAATTCAGACTGGGGAGTGCTGATATGGTGGACATTTTCTGAAGGCCAGAGATGTAATGTAATAGGATATTAAACTGAACAATTTGAAATTGTTTATTAGGTGCAACCCGTGGTGGGAGGCATGGTGTGCGGGGAGAAATATATCTTACCATTTGCGTACTTTGAAACTGGGCAGTACAGTAGAATATAGTAGAGCAATGCATGTAACATTATTCGAAGGCAATGCCATTTCTTTATCTTATTGAAGGTTTGGGATCTCACCTGTTATGAATTACTGTATCAATCTGCAGTGCTATCAGGTAAGATTGCATTGGTTCTTTAAAATGTTTATTTTTTGAATGCTTGCAGATTGCTTAATATATGTAATATTATCCATATCCCTGGTAGTTAGCACTAAGTCTTAAGAAATGTTTCTTTTATTGAATAGGCTACCCACTGTTGAGTTTGTGCATGAACAGCAGAGATAAGCAGTTTATTACAGGATCTGCTGATGGTCAGGTATTTTATTGATATTTTTCCATAATATTTTTAAACGTTGTAGAAAAGGTAGTAAAAAACCCTTAGATTAGCATTACTCTTTCAAATAGCAGTTTGTTTTCTGATTATTTTCCAGTTGTGGTTTTTGAACATGCAAAATGGGATGAAAAATGGTCATTCAGTCATAATTAGCAGATCATCATAAAAATGTGATACAAATCTGTTTTAAACCATCTGCTGGGAAAAATACCTCTAATTTTGGCATAAAGGTTTGATCCCAAGCCACTCACCAATCTGTGCGTCACATTTTTTTTGTCTTTGTAATTGGAGACTCTGAGTCTTGCTGCCTGGAATTTAGCCCCAATTCTGATTGAGTCCTACATAGGGGAATTGAGAAGTTTTGATCATAAGTGGCAAATACAAAGATGGTAAAGCATAGAACCCATGATTGGCTTCCAGCCTGGCGCTGTATGACAATAAAAAATCATGAATTTATGTCTCAAGTGTCTTAAGGAAACAAGTATACCTAATATTTTTCCTGGTGGATATTTAGCTTACTTACCTGTTTGAATAATAACAATTACAGTGAAATATTTTATCCATATTCATTATTTTGCTTTTTTCACAAGTGTTGAAACAACTTCAAGTAATCTGGTGTTTTTTTCAGCTGTATGCTTTCGTTTTATTGGACGGACAACCTTGTCGCCGTGTTCTCCACATTGACCTGCACAAAGAATATCAAAAATACCACTGCAAGGTCCAGCGGAAAGTTACCCTATCTGAGAAACCAGGTACCAACTTCAACTGGATTCATCATATTTATATTTGCCTTGTTTGCCTACAAATACGCAGAAACTACACTTTACAGGAATTCCTGTGAAACATTTTGAGATATCCTCCCGACGTGAAAGGGGCTCATAAAATGTATTATAAGGTGCAGTGACTGTGTATGTTGTAATGACAAGTGAAAATTAAATAACTAGAATTAAATAACACTAGGCTGTATTAATACTTCGCATGTATATTTCATCAGAATAACTTGCCTCACTACGTCATTTGCATTGTTCCTTTTGTGATCAGGAACACGGTGTGAAGAGTGCATCCTTATAGGCTACAAAAGGGAAGGGTCAGTGTTTTGTGATTATGTTTTTTGCACGTGGATTCTTTTTCTTTGAAAGAAGATGAATTTTACATCAAAAGGGAAGTAGTTCTATATTTCAACAGTCAAGGTAGATTCAGAATTTTTCATGAGCTAATGCAGCACAATGAAAATATTTGTAAATATATATATTTTATCTATTTCTAGGTATTCGTGGTCTGAACAGCTCTAAGAATCTAAAGTATTCATCGTCATTTCTCAACAATGAGAGTGAATCTTGTGCATATATTGAGCTTCCAATCCTCAGACTGTATTGCTGTGAACATTTATTAACCAGTTTATTGAAACACAATTCAGCCAATGCAAAAAATAGGTATGCATTTTTCATTCATCAAGGAATAGATCCATTTTGCCTGTTGAAAACTGTAAGTAAATGGAGAGTGTTATATAGTAAGAATAAGTGTTTCCTTAGCATATTAATCGAATACTGTCTTAATAGAATTTACAGTCGTATATACATAGGTAGAACATAATTTCCAAATGTGTCAATGCTATGACCAGTTACAGTAGTAAACAGTTGGTAAGTATTCTGAACAGAATCACACTGTGGGGAAACATTCTTCTCATTCAGGTCTCATTCTTCCTCTGATTTTCAGGCTTCATTCCTCAAGGATTCCAATTTCTCCATTATTTAATATTGTGAGAAACACAGCTGAGATACAAGGATAAATTCCCTTCTTTGGCAGTGTTCCTGTTTCTAACACTGATACCTCTTTACTTGACCTGTAGTAAATTTATTTGATGTTTTCAAAGTACTGATGACACCTAAGACGTTATCTGTGTTTATTTTATGTTGTGCTTTTTATTTGAATCAAACTGGGGAAGGCAAACTCCCCTCTACTCCACCATCAGTGGCCTTGCTTTCAGCCACCACACTCCGAAACTTTGGAACTCTCTCCCTCAATCCCTCGGCCTTGTTCCCTCCTTCCACTTTTCAAATCACGCCTGAAGACCATCCTCTTCAGCGGTGCTTACGTTCATCTCCTCCGTTCCCCGGCTTGGCATTAGGTTCCGCCACTGCTAAGCGCTCCGAGACGCTATCCTGTGCGAAATTATACAAATGCAACTTGTTGTTGAAAGCTTACAGACTGATTACCTGCCCATTGGTATACAAATGTTTGTTCCTGACCACGTGCACCTTTTGACAGATGCCACAGATTTCTGCTGATAGCAATTTACATTTGGAGTCCTGTAGCTCAGTGGTTAGGGCACTCGCTTTGTAAGCGACAGACCTGAGTTCAATTCCAGACAGGGCTTAACCTTGGGCAAGTTTCCTTACTCCACATGCCTCATAATAATCCCTCCAAAACCCAAAACAATAATAAAATTGGTCATTTTCAATCTACGACTGTTTGTGGGACATTGCTGTGCGCAATTGGCTGCCACGTTCGCCCACAAATATACAGTCAATTCACTTTACAGTGTGTTCTGTGAAGCGCTTTGGGACGTCCTCCCGACGTGAAAAGCGCTATATCAAATGCAAGGATTATTATTATTATTATTACATTTCGATTGCCTGTTTCACATAGGGCGGATGTATTGAAGGGCTTCACACAACTGTTACTAGTAAATTGTCTGGTTCCTCCCTATTGACACTCCCATCTCCATTTTAAACCCTACTCTGGTATCTGCAGCTGACATTGACCCTTCAGTACATTGAAAATTCTGTGCCCTATTACTCTGTGTCCGGTTAAGACATTAGCCCACTGCTCCATGGTATTACTATTAGCTCAGCCTGTATCTGACCACATCACTGTAGTTGTATTTCAGTTTGCATTTGTTAATTCGAACTTGGTAATTTTTTAATATTCTTCTTATTTCAGCTGCAGTAGTGTGTGGGTCGGCACAATAAATGGATTATTCAGTCTTAATCTTGGCACTGGTGAGATTGAAGCCACTGTACAATTTGAAGGTAAGTTTATACCATATTGCTTCTTGTTGATGAGTAATTCCATCCAGTTATGTAATCACAGTGATCTATGTTTAATTTTCAATTTTCATTAATAAAAATTAAAAAAAAAATCATTTTCATTTTTAAAAAAGTTTATTTAAATATGTTATTAATGTTTCAAGCCATCATGTAAAAACTTAGGTAAAGATAAAATTTCCCTTCTTGTTTCAGATCATCTTGGGCTCAGCATTCTGACAACTGGATCTTGTGCAATAGCAAATGGAAGCAGTAACCAGGTAATGGTAACTTTTACCAGCAGAGGTTGTTGCAGAGAATGAAGAAAATAAGGTATTTCAAACACTAGGTATCCCCTGGTAAACACTGGGTGTTTAAACTGCAGTAGTCTAGCAGCCAAGTTTATGATAATGCTGATTTACGTAGACCCAAGTATGTTCCATGTTTAAAAAACAATGGTAATGCATATTGGATAGACAACATGTGGACCTGGAGCTGAGCTTGTTGTGAGAACATGAAATCATTTGAATTGCCAGTCTTAAGTCTTGCCACTGCATGAAAACCCAGCGCAGAGAGTGAAGACTGACAGAAAATGAGAGTCACTCTTCTACACCTCCTTGGGCTGATGTCAAAAATAGTTTGGCCAATCTGTCTTCCAAATTGTGGAGGTTGCAGGACATGGGGAGCCTGAAGAAGGGGGAAATGAGGCTTTTTTAAAAAAACTGATCATCACTTCCTGTTGCTTGTGCTCTATTTCTCTGGTTATTCTCTATAAGAGTGATTTCTTTACTACCGTACCCACTGTATTGGTGCAGCAATAACCCACCATCTCTCTTCTACGTTGCATGTTGTAGGCTCTGTATTTCTCATGTTTTCTCACTGCTTTTTTTTCCAAACCCAATCTCAGCACTTTGAATTTACCTTCATTAAATGATTCTTGCCACTTGTGAGTTTCTAATTTGTGCATGTCCCTCTGTATTTGGTTTTCTTAATCCCCATTGCCTTGCCCCAAACCCCTCCAGTCCTTAGTAACATCAGCAACCTTAAAAGCTTTGTTTATTTCCCTAATTATTCATATAAACTATTAACACATGTATCCTGACACAGCCTGCTGGTCATCTCATTCCAATCTAATGTATGAACGTGCTTCTTAACCAGAAACCTCTTTCTGAATTCTGTTCTAATCCTTGAACATTTGAACTATATTTTTCTATATTTGACAATTGGCCATCGCTACTGCTATATTCCAACATGTACAACTTATTAACATTCTATCCATTTTATTTATACAGGTTTTGTGTCTCCTTTCTTCCATGTTTGGAAATGATATTGCTCTGCTGGAGATTCATACTCAGGAACTTGCAGCTGTGTGCCTTAACTACACCAATCTAACAGAGGGCAAGGAGGAAATTTTGAACGTAATTGCTAGGTAACCAATTCCTTACCATCTGTCTTATGGTGTCAGCTTGATAGTTGGTAACATTCTTGCCAATTAATCAGAGGTTGTGGTTTCAAGGCCCAGGTTGGTACTTTGAACACTGACGAGAGACCTGAGTTCAATTCCAGGCAGGGCAAAACTTTAGGTAAGTTTCCTTACTGCACATGCCTAATAATAATCCCTCCAAAACAAAACAATAATAAATCGGTCATTTTCAATCTACGACTGTTTGTGGGACACTGCTGTGTGCAATTGGCTGCTGCGTTCGCCTACAAATATACAGTCAATTCACTTTACAGTATATTATGTGAAGCGCTTTGAGACGTCTAGAAGACGTGAAAAGCGCTATATCAAATGCAAGGATTATTATTATTAGTCTTGGCTGACTAGACGGTGCAGTACTGGGGAAATGGTGCAATGTTGGAGGTGCTATCTTTCACATGAGACCTTAAACCGAGGTCCCATTTGCCTGTTCTGGTGGATGCTAAAGATCTTGTGACGCTGTTTGAAAAGAGAAGGACGTTTCTCACAGTGTCCTGGCAATGAACCCCTAAATAAAATTTGTCACTCATTTTATAGTTTGTGGTACATTACTGTATGCAAATTAGCTTCTATGTTTGTCTACGAATGTATAGTTACAACACTTTATAGTACATCCTGGGAAGCATTTTGAGACGTTGTATAGTGAGTAGTCTCGGAAGCAGAGTAATGCATGGAAAGTCTAATAATTGTGTATTTATAGGTGAACAAGGCAGTCAGTTTGCACACAACAATGTCTCTCAAACAACTATGAAGTGAATGATTGTTTTGGTCTGGGCTATTGTTGGGCAGGCACCAGGAGAAACTCCCTTTTCTTCTTGAATAGTGCCATGGAATCAACTGAAATACAAGGATTATTATTAATTTCTTTAATTCTTTTTGACACACTTTGTTCAATTCACTGTTATTTTGCTTTCACTTTTCTGTAACTCCCAAGCCTTCGTTCATTTTCAATATCATTATTTTATGCTTTTCCCCCATTTTGACAAGACTGTAATTTTGATGTTGATGTGAATTGTGAAAGACCCTTGATTGACAAATATTTGTGATGAACGCATCTTTCTTTCAGAACACCTTTACTGCCCACTTCTCCATTAACCGTTGATCTAGTAAAAAAAGAAAAAGGTCATTCAAAGACAGGTATGAGCTTCTCACTTTCACACATATCTCAGCAAAAGAAGCACAGTTCCAGTGTTACTGCCGCTCTACTTTGTATCTCCTATTTGGATGCTAAGCTTTTTTTTGTATTTGTATTGTCATTTCATTCATTTTTATACTAAATAATAACTACTAGAAGGAAACCCATGGTACCACTCTGTAGGAAAAAGTGAGAAAACTGCCAGGAAAAAGGAACATTTCATATTCTACAACAATGGAAAATACTGGAAATTCACAGCAGCTCAATCAACAACAGCAAATTGCATTTATATAGTTGCTTTTCACGTTGGACGGCATATTGGAGTGCTTAAATCAGCATCTAAAGAGGCAACCTACATTAGTATTTTGAGTGGAACTCTTTGTTTGAAATTAGTTATAGTGTTACACAGTATGAGACTGTCAATCAATGATTTTCAACATTTGTCCCGTCAACTCAGTAGCTCTAAAAATTTTAATAGAATGCTATTTTGATTCATTTTTCCAATTCAAAGACATCAACCTGGAGAGCAGAGGATGTCCAGAAATGGAAAATAATTTAATTAAAACGTTTAGATTATATAAAACAACAACAAAAATTACATTTGTATAGCGCCTTTCACATCAGGAGGTCGGAATCTAATTTGTCCCAAGAACAAATTAGATTCCAATCTTGAAATCACACCCTATTATTATGTTGTGTTTTTTTTACGAACTTCATGTCTATGTAAAAATGGGAAAAATAGTTTTAAAAAATTCATGGAATCCTTTAGCTTAGTGGTTAGAGCACTCGTCTCGCAAGTGAGAGGACCTGGGTTTGATTCCCAGGCAGGGAGAAACGTTGGGTAAGTTTCCTTATCCCACTCTGTTTACTTAGCAGTAAGAAGCTGATTGTTAGTCAATTGGCGGATCACTTTTCCAGGCGTAATAATCCTTTGGAAAAATAAAATAATAATTTGGTAACTCAATCTACGACAGTTTGTGGGACACTGCGCAATTGGCTGCTGGTTTTTGCCCACAAAATGTACAGTCATTTAAATCACTTTACAGTATATTCTGTGAAGCGCTTTGAGACTTCTCGAAGACGTGACAGGCACTATATCAAATGCAAGGATTATTATTATTCAAAATAATACAATCATTTATTTTTCTCAGTTTTTTTCTTGTTTGCTTAATCTTATGCGCTTACACTTTACAGGTAAACATTTCCTGAAGCCAAAAGCTTTGCATAAACTCTATTAGAAAACAAACAAAATGACTTTTAGGTTTTTTTTCTAGGTATAAATTTTGCTTATTCCTTTTGTGGCATGTCCTGGAAATCAATTAGTAGCGCATTTAAATCATATTGAAAGGAAAAAATCCTGGGTTACTCTACAAAAGTATTACAGATATATGGCAGATTGTTATTATAGATTGTCAGGAATAACTTATGAAGCCATGGGTTGACTAGAACTACGCCAGCACATTTGTTGGAAAGTGCTCTGGAATGCTACCCTGCTTGAGGGGTGCTTTATAAATGCAAGTTGTTGTTGTTGGAAATGCATTGTTCTGAATTTCTAATACTATAAAGTAAAAATTTAGTGGGAGTTAAACTTGTTGCTGAGTGTATGACTAAGTGCAAGGTTTTGTAACTAAGGCCCTGACAGCAGATCTTGAGAATTTACAGTAAAAATTTAAGTGCTTATTCATTCAGCATATTTTAGACACTTCTGTTTTTGCTGTTCTTCACTCTGCTACATTGGCCTGCTTGAAAAAGGACTTCTTTGACATGTGTAAGTAAGAAAAAAAAATTGTTGGGGAGAAATATAGTCAAAGGCACATATCCACTTTGGCATTACCATCAGTTTCAAAATCTGTCTCTACTTTCAAGGGGTTAAGATTTCACGTAATTTCACGTTAAATGGCAGAATTCAATCCAGAATTGTAGTACCATTTACTGCTACCACTTTTTGTAATTATTTTACTGCTAGCCTAAGGCACTTCAATATATATTTATACACAATATATGTGTGTTTATAATCTTTATTTATATATAGATCATAGGGCATAGAATATAATAGAAAAAGTGGATCCAAAATTAGCTGAATCAGAGAAAAATAAGGCTAGTAGTTTATGGAGCTGTAATCAGATTAGAAGAAGCTGGCTAATTGTATGGCTCAGGACACAGTACACTGTGGAGATGCACTTGTGTTGATACTTAGTGAGGTTGGGCTTAGTTGTGATGGCTCCCATAGTCATGGTTCCCCCGGGTCTCATTGCTTAAACATGAAGAAATAATAATCCATACATTTGGTATAGTACCTTTCACATCTGAGGACATCTCAAAGCTCTTCATAAAATTTACTGGTTACTGTATAGTGGCTGTGGGTTTTGTTTGCGAATACGGAAGCCAATTTGCAATGCCCCACAAATAGTCGTGAAGTAAATGACCAATTTTACTTGGGGAACTGTTTGTGATGACACTTGGAGAAATTCCTTTCTCATTTCGAATAATGCCATGGAATCTTTAAAATCCATCTGAACAGGCAGACGGGGTTTAATGTTTCATCTGAAAGACGGCACCTCCAACAATGCAGCACACCCCCAGCACTGCATTGAAGTGTCAGCTTAGACTATATGAGTTCCAAATCCTGACATGGCGCTTGAACTCGCAATGTTTTGACTCAGAGGTGAAAGTGCTATCAACTGAGCCAGGCTGATGCACAACGTTCATATGGGGAAGGTACTGCAGACCCAGTGGACTGTACTCAATTCTGAGTTGCCTGCAGAGGGAAGACATAGTGGAGCAAAATCAAAGAGCAAAATTATAGGTTGCAACTGTGTAGATCCCAAACTCTACACTGTGGGAACATAGCAAAACTGGGTGAGGAGGCCAAATAATCTTATATAGAATAGTCGGGAAAGAAGTGAGGGATTCAGCGGGCTCCGGCCTGCTTCACGTCCCCTGCCTTGCACGCTCCACCACTGGCGGTCGGGCCTTCAGCTTCTCTGCCCCCTGCCTTCCACCCTCTGGAACTCCATCCCACAGTCCCTCTGCCTCTCCCCCTCCCTTGCCTCCTTCAAGACCCGTCTCAAGACCCTCCTCTTTTACCATGCCTTCAGTCACCCTCGTACCCTCACCATCCCCGCCTTTTACCCCTCCTGACCCCAGAAAATTAGAATACTTGTCAAATATCCAGCGCTGGAGAAAATGTCACTGAAGAACATTGAGGCTAGTTTGGCAAATTATCAAATTAGGAAAACAGATGGGGGAAAAAGTCCCATAAAATAAACACCAAATTCAAAAAAAATTCTTGTGTGAAACTTTATTCCTTCAATTATGGTTTCCAATGTTTTAAGGAACTCCTTTACTCCTTTTCAGAGGAGTAAAAATTATTTGGATTAAAATAGGAGTTACTAGATGTTTGCCAGACTTCAAGACTCAGAGGCTAGATGAGATATTTTAAAAGACTTCCACTCTATGTTATCCTTTCATCGTAAGGTTTTACAGAGGTACCACCCTAAACGCTAATAATAGCCTGCCCAAAATAAAGTAACATAGCCAGTGAAAACTGTGCTGGATACAAATTGTAAAAGTATTTGAAAATATCATTTGCTGGATTCGGCTGAATATTACTCTCACTGATTCATTACATCCAGGTAGGCCTTTGGGATGTATGAGAGAATGGACTCAGGACAATATTAGGAGCTTTTCATAGATTTAATTTCAATGTGCAAGTATAATTTGACACTGGCAAAGGCTGCATTATTAGAGGCAGAAGAAAGCTTTGGATTCTGCAGAGTGGACATGTTTATTTTAGACATCTGGAAAATTTGGATTTGCACAGATTTATTGAAATGCAATCCATGCTTTTTGATGGACCATAAAGTAATGATGACCACTGCTGGGATAGCTCACCTTGTACGTCTCAGAGGCATTCATAGATGTTCTTTGTTTCTTCTGCCGTTTGTGGTGTTGGAATATTTATGAGGGGAAATTTTGAAATTGATAGAGGTTTGCTTTGGATTTAAAGTACACAGTGTATCTCTGTATCTTTGTGGTATCCAACTTTTTCTCAAATTTCTATAATTCAGGTAACTCCATGAAACAATTGGCAGTAATGAATGAGGTTGTGGCTTTACAATGTTGTGTTACTTATGATATTGTATTTCTGGAATAAAATCAGAAGCTATCCTGCTGCCCAACTCCCCTCCCTTGACGCAGTTCTCAATGCCAATATTTGTGAAGCCCAGTCACAAGTTCATCTTCCAGCTCCTGGATCATGCTTTCCATGCAGGTTTGTAGCTTTCCACTGAACAAAAATAATTTATCCTCGCCTCAGTCCTAACTCTTTTTTGCTGTAATTCTAAAGTCATGGCAACTAACTGGGGTTTTCTCTACACAAATCATTGAAATCTGTTTTAATTCTTTTTAATTCCTGAAACTAGTAATGAGCACCATGAACGATAAACCAGTCGTGTATCATACCAAAGTGAAGTCTTCTGGCTATACCTCAGCACCTAGGTAAGAGTCACTATTGACCATTTAAAATGCAGCTATCATATCCTTTCAGAGGCACTTAGTTTATAATAATAATGACCTGATTTACCCTGAAGTAGATTAGACAAGACTGTCATGTTTTAAACATCTGCTCAACATCAGTGTAAAATTTGGGATTTTGCATTCCAGATGTTATATTAGCTTTGGAAGATAACTGGCAATGTCACACTGAATGTCTCAAGTGCCTATGCTTAACTTTACCTTCACAAAGGGGGGTGGTGTGTTGGGAAGGTTCATAGAAGAGTTTTAAGAATGATTTTAGCACGCATGACTCTTAAGTTATCAAGAGAATATCACAAGGGGAGATTGTTTAGAATATAGTGCAGAAGTTGGCCATTCTTTTGTGATTTGTGTTGACTTTAGCTCCCCGTACGCTTTCTCTTTAATAAAACCCTCAAGTCTTTATCCAGTCCCTTTTTGAAATGTTGCTGATAGACTCCACTCCATTGTCTTAATGATTCTCTGTCTAAAATTACAATGTTGCAGCATGGAAACAAGCCATTCAGACCATCTAGTCTTCCCTTTTTGTCTTCTGGTGTTAGTCCTCAATTTAGATCCTTTACACAATTCTGGACTTGAATAAGTAGCATCATATGGAGGTCTGTGAACATATGAAATATTTTGTGACTGTTGAAATTATCGTAGCTTGTTGGAATGCACTGGAACATATTGCCAGCATTTTGTCACCTGGAACTTTTTTGTAGGGTAAATCAGGTCATTATTATTATAAACTAAGTACCTCTGAAATGATATGATATCCAACATTTAAACAAAAGTAAGTTTGTGATGTTATTCAGTTGAATGTGACTTGCATATTGAACTGCATTCAGTGTGACATTGCCAGTTATTACACTTTACAATATAACATGTGAAGCACTTTCAGAAATAATAATAATCATCATCCTTGCATTTGATATAGCGCTTTTCACGTCTTCTAGACATCTCAAAGTGCTTCACAGATATACATATACTGTAAAGTGAATTAACTGTATATTTGTGGGTGAAACACGTCAACCAATTGAGCACAGCAGTGTCCCACAACAGTCGTGTATTGAAGTGACCAGTTTTATTATTGTTTTTTTCCTTGAGGGATTATTATCAGGAATAAGGAAAGTTGCCCAAGGTTTCGCCCTGCCGGGAATTGAATCCAGGTCTCTCGCTTGCTTAGTGAGTGCTCTAACCACTGAGCCACAGTACTCCACAAATATCCTCCCAACCTGAAAGGTGGTACATCAAATGCAAGGATTATTATTAATATGAATACACATTTCCCACTGTTTCCTTATTCATTACATTGAGATAATTAAAATCTGCCCAATTGAAATGTATCCGTCTCTCATTTTGCCATGTAACACTTGTAACACTGATGCTCTTGGGATAATATTGTGTTGCAGGATGAATCTGTTCTCATCTAAAGTAAATTCCTCAAGACATTCTAACTCTGCAGTGCAGACCAAAAATAACCGCAAGTAAGAAAGCTGTTTACTAGCAAATCTGCTTTTTCATACTGTGCTTACTGAAATCTATTTGATTCATTGTAATGAAGTCTATGCAGGTCTGAATATTTTTGATAATGGGCAAGAGTTTTGATGTGACAATTCAGTTAGTAATAAGGTAATGTGGTAGTTTTCCTTCCACCAGCAGGGAAGAATCTGATTTCTCCTTTTCCCTAAAAAGATGGATCCTCATTAGTAAAAACAGACAGTGACAGAAATGTACAGCACCTCAATCAGTCTCTTATTCAAACAAACTACAACTTCACATCTTCGTCTGGTACAACACATTTTGTGTTCATTTTGAGTGAAATAATAAATATGAAAAATGTACAAAGTATAATCCGTTTTGATGCTTTGAAGAATTAATGTGTATTATATATTTCGGTATATAATTCTGAGTCTTATTGTTATGTTTTTTCTATAGGGGATTTACCAAAGAATACCCATTGGACAGCCTGGCACCAAACAAACTGTACAAACAAGTGGTTGTTTCAAACAAACCAACAGCTGTATGCTGCCTGCAGTATTCAGGTAACTACAGGAATTGCTGAAAGTTGTTTTATAATCAATCAGGAGTTTGTCAAATTTTTAAAGGTTAAAGTTTATAAGGTTTTACCCAAGTTAAATACCCTGCAGTTTGCTTTGTTTCAATGATGGACTTTTATACAAAATTATCTATTCTCTGTGATAGCCATGGTTTGTTATTTTAACCTTGAGATGTTGGATCCACATGGGAACAAATGAGCTGTTAACAGTATTTTCCCTTTATAGTGGAATCATGCTACTGCTACTTTAATTTCATCGACACAGCAGCCAAATTAATATAACTGGTTTATCCTGCAATATTGTATTCGGCAGTAATTGCAGTGACTGGACTGTGGAGTGTTCCTCACGTACACAATTAACCAGGCATCCACTCTTGATTTCCCTGCTGTTTCATGTTTTTAATAATGTTAAAATATCAGCTCTCTAATAAGGTTTAAATATGATCCCTTAAAAGGTCTTCCTTAAAAAGTTTCAGTGGTCTGTTCGAGAACTTTTAAGGGCCCATTCCTGAGTGGAAGCTGAATCAGTTTATACCGCCTGCAGTTATACTGCAGTGGTGTGAATTAATGATCTGCCAAAACCACTTTCTCAAGGTTGATAAGTGTAGCTTAAGCTGGAAATTCACTTTGCGTTCTGTTACTTCATGTTACGAGGCTTTTGCTACTGAATTTGTCTCTTCTGGATACTTGCTTCAACATGCACCTCATTAAAATGCATAAGGTATGTGGTTGCTGGATTGTGTATTTAAATGGGACCAAATGCCGTTTGAATTACTGTTGCATTTAGTTTCATACAGTGGCATTTGTATTTCTCTTGGCGTGTAGTGAGGAAGACGTTCCCAACCACATGGAAAATTGGCGAAGTTAAACTGGCAGACATTTTAAGCACTGGAGTGCAGCTGGCTGCGATCGAGTGTCTTCTCACAAATCAAATAACATACAAAGGAGATTAATTGTTAGTTTTAAGTGGTTAAATTTGTGTGTTGTACCATATTATTCTGCATTAATAACTACTACATTAATAACCAATGCAGCAGTATTCTCAAACCTTGAAGCTTGGTGATATTCATTCTTCCATCCCAAAATGTCATGAAATACAAGTCCTCGACTCACACTCTCAAACTTGGAATTATCTGCATCCCCTCAACTTTTCAACAGTGTATTTGCTTGCACCCATTGTTTTGTGATCTGAATAACAGCTCCCAGGTGTGCAGTGAGCTCACTGCACTTGCATATTTTCCTCCAGTTGCAAAATAGAAGGAAACTTGTATTCAAACTGACATCCTTGAACTCTATGAGCAGACAGGCACCTGGGTGAGGAAAGACTACTTTTCACTGCATAAGATCTAAGATGAATTCATCATGAAATAATTCTTTTGAAGTGCCAGGGTCCACAATGCTAATAAAATTCATCAGAATATTCATCTGTGGTAACTGCTTGTAAGTTGTTTGGGGCAAGACGAGGTGTTTAAAAATAATAACTTGTTATCAAGAAAAACCTTTTCATGGTAATATAAACTATTAAACTTAAGTCCCTGATTGACCTTTTTTTCAGGAGATGGAAAGCGGCTTGCCTGTGGTCTGGCTGACAAAACAATGCTTGTGTATACTTCTTCACTTGCAGGATCCCCGGCAGTGTTTAAAGGTAACAATTACGAGTAGTTTAAGGTATAAGATAGCAGTACCTTTTTCTGTGTATTACGGCAATACAATTACAAATGAATCCTTTGAAGCAATTGAAGTATTACAGATTTTGATCCATGAATTCCAACCAGATGCTGAAGCTGAATAGTTCCGTCTTTCAGTAACCGCAAAAGAAATTGATGCTCTGGAAATGTTGCGATGATTTGCAGTGAAAAGTGCAAAATAAATTGGGGTTGAGCTGCTAAGACCACATTGAGGAGATGGTTTCACCAATGCATTGTTTCATACTATGCAGTATAAATGCGAATCATAGAACTTGCAGGCTTATCCAATTTGATTTTCTCTTTAGAATAATGTTTTAAATGTTTTTCAGTAGGCTCACTAGTTATGTAGTAATATTTAAGCGCCTTGGGGCATCCTCCCGATGTGAAAGACATTATATAAATGTGAATTTGTATTACATTGTAATACACAATTAACGCATGATATTGCGGTTCTGTGCACATCCTTAGTTGTGGAGGCACATATAGCTCAACTTCTAGCCTATATGATGAGAAGCAAAAGTTTGTCTTTCTCGTATTATCCTCCTTGAGTGGGAGGAAGCAGAATCTCTTTGGTGCTGCACTGTCTCTAAGGTGAAATGCTTTCTCTGGCGGTCTCAGTAGTCCAGTTCCTGAGTCATGCAGGTCCGCAGTAATCCAGGGCACTGCAGATGACAGCCAACCAGCCTGGCTCATCAGCAGGACTTGGAAGAACAGACCCATCACTGGGGGCAGGAAATCTTCCCACTCAGCTCCCATTAACCATGCAAGCCAAAGCCCTAACAGGTAGAGTGGTCCTAGCTGGACAAGTAGGCAATGCTCTCAATGATAAGTTATGCGGTTTTAGCTGATTATACTCCAACAGCACCCCAATGCACACTCTGGGGTCCCCAAGCTTGGTTTTTACCAACTTACGCCAAATACTCTCCAGAATTAGGTAAGCATGGTTCAATTTAACCTTCTTGGTTCCTTGACGAGTGCAGTGTGAACTGGAAATTAATTTCTCATTCTGTTACTTATGTTAAGAGGGTTTTGCTACTGAGCTTCTCTCTTCTGGGATATGTATTTAAACACACACCTCATTAAAACACACAGAAATCCTCCTACCCTTTTCTTCATCGCTCTCTTGCATGGTCTGCTCACTAGTATTAATGAACTTTTGGCTCTGCACTTATAATGGGATTTCAACTGGAATGTTATCAAATCATACAAGCATTCAAGTCCTAAGAAAGAACTTAAGTTTATCCTTTTGAAATGATCTTTCAGCCCCTATCCCCCGAATCTCCGGAATTCCTTGCCCCAATCTGCCACACCTGAAGACTTTCGTTTTCGACCATGCCTTTGGTCACCTCCTCTCCCTTTTAGGCTTGGCATCAAGCCACGCCATTGTTGAGCGCTCCTTGACACTACCTGCTCGAAGAGGGCTATAAAAATATTGATTCGATATTATTGTTGATCAATCTGATGGTTTTCATAATATCTGACTGTGTTAATTAGTGTATAATGTAATATAGGTATTAGGTGTGAATACTGCCCCACCACCAAACTTCACCACAGTTGCTATGGCTACAGTTCCCATCTGCTAGACAAAAGGTTGAGAAGGAAAATAATTTCTCCTTGTGTCCTGGCCACCATATTCCCTCAAATAAAAATGGTTCCTCATTCCTGGGGTGTTGGTGGGACAATGCTGTGTGCAACTCGTTGCCACATTTCATCCTCAAAATAATAATAATAATCCTTGCATTTGATATAGCGCCTTATCATGTCTTCGAGATGTCTTAAAGCGCTTCATAGAATATACTGTAATGTGAATTGAATGTGTTTATTTTGTAGGTGTTTGACTGAAAAATACAGTCAAAGACTTTATCCTGTGAAGCACTTTGAGATGATGTGATAAGGTACTATATCAAATGCAGGGATTATTGTTATTATTTTTATACTCTGATGGTGATCTGCGGATGGGAACAGTAACCTTATCAATTGTGATGAAGCTTGATGGGGTTTGTGGGGGATTTCACATCCAAACAAATCAATAATTAAAGCCTTTATTGGCTGAGGGTTTGACTATGTGGTGATTATTCCATCATATCTGGCTCAAGATTTGTGAAGGACCATTGGTATAACTGGTAAGGACAAGACAGCAGTTGAGTGGAAGATGTAACCATAGAAGAATAGGATAAACTGGATAGGTTAGACCTTTTTTCTCCTTTTTTCACTGGAGAAGAGATGTTTAAGACGGGACCTAATATAAGTGTTTAAAACAATAGCAGGTTTCATAAGGTTAGCATAGACGGGCTAACTATGCTAACCTTATTGAACCCTTCTATAGTTTTCTCTGCCTCACAGGCATGGACTGGTTGGGCCAAGGGGCCTGTGTCCATGCTGTGCATTCTTTGTAAATCTTTGACAAGAGGCTAATAAGGTTAAAGCAATATATCAGAGAAATAAGAAAGCAGCAGCAAATGGGATCCAAATAATTGCTTTTCCTGTGTTAGTAATCAACTATTTGTAACAGGATTTAAAAATATTGATGTATTTTTATGCTGACCTGTGGGAACTCAACTCCGATGCTAACCTCATTAATGACTTTCATAAAGGATTAATACCGTCTGTCATTGGTGTCCAAGCAGAATTTCCATATGAGACATATCTGGGTACATACAGAGTTCAATAGTCTCAAATCCCATTATGAATCCTTGCATATTAGAACTCAGTGTGTTATTTCAGATAGGTCATGTAAGGAATAAGTTAGGAACAGATGTTATAAAAGATCAAAAGATAGCAGATGTGTTAAAACAATTTTTCACATCAGTTTTCACAAATGAAGACTGTGGTCAATTTCCACATCCAATTCTGGCTTGAGGATCTTCAACACACCAATATCAATATATACTATGAGGAAATTCAGAGTTGAATGTCTATAAGGCACCGGCCCAAACACTCTTAGGATCTGCCTGGAAACCTCAAAGGGAATAGGTGAGGCTTTGGTTAATGTTTGAGGAGCAACATAAACACTGACGTTATATCTGAGGACTGGAGGATAGCAAATGTTATCTGGTTGTTCAAAAAAGAACTGAGACATGATCCTGGAAATTGTAGCTCAGTTAGCCTAACATCTGTGGTGGGGGAAATACACGAGAGGATTATACAGGATGTTATAAATACTAATTTAAAGAGCATAGATGTTATAAGGGATAGTCAGCATGGGGGCAATAGATCATGCCTCACAAATTATTAGAATTCTTTGAGGAAGAACTGAACTCGTGTATAAGAACTATCCAGGATATTCTGTAGTTTACTGGAAGAAGCTATTCGAAAGTTCCACATCTGAGGCTTTTAAACAAAGTTAAAGCTCATAGAGTTAAAGGCAACCTTGGTAATTGGCTTAGCAACAGGAACTATAAAATGATGATACAGGCTAATCCTTTAAGCACTTTTTGATATAGCACTGTCTTACTAATAACCTAAAGGAAAGCTTCCTGTGCTAAAAATATGATCAACTTCTGGTTTGTCCAGTCGCTGCTGATGTTGCTTTCTGCCCTTTAAACACGAATGCTAGGCACAAGAAGCTTTGCTGATGTCACTTGCCACACACTGCACATACACACAATGCACAGGAAGTGCCGCTAATGTCACTTTCTTTATGCTCTGCGTGTGTGTTGTGTGCAGGAAGTGCCACTAGTGCCCCTTTGGAAAGAAAGTGTTACTTTCACATGAACACAAAGCGCAGGAAGTCATTTCAATGGTGATCCAACAACTGGAAGTCAGACATTTATTGCACTTCGCTTATAATATTCATAAATGGGGTGGAATATTTAGTGGGGTCTAAAATATAATGTTTGCAATCTAGATTTGTTGCTTTAATTGCACTAACCTGTTTTGTAAATATTTTAGAGCGAAATTATTTCCCGGCAAATCGCAAATTCAGTAAAATCAGTAAAACAAAAAGCTGACTAACTCTGGCAGGAAATGTTTTGTCTTCACAATAGCACCAGAGAGGATTAAGTGAAGAACCAAGGGATGTATTCCAGTTATAAGTTATGAGGAGGGACTTGCAGAACTGACTTTACTTATATTAGAAAAATAAGTCTGAGGAAGGACATGATCTATTTCTTTAAAATGCTGAGAAGTGTAGATCATTTAATTGTAAACATTTGGATAAACTTGGTCTGTTAGAGCAGAACGTGAGGACTTTGTTTAAAACTAACAATAGCCCAAGTGATTTTTGAAGGATTCATTCCCCACAGAGTTTATATGGAACAGACTTTGTTTCATTAAGAGCAGTTTGCTGGTATTCCCTAGCACTTTTGTTTTCTTTGTTTTTGAAACTGAAGGTGATGTCATTGGTGAAGAGAAGAAAGGTCAGTTTTAATTGTGGAGATGGGTGAATATTATGGATAGTTTTACTTTGAAGGGAAGTCGAATACTGTTTTTTTTTAATGGTTTGTTGAAGGAGAGAGGCTTAAACTCCATCCGAAATCCCTTCGCCTTGCTCCTTTTCTCACCTCTTTCAAAGTCTGTCTCTTTGACTTGGTTTCAGTCATCATCTCTCCTCTGTTTGGTCCCCACCCTATCCAAATCCAACCTTCCAGCTTAGGTGCAACCCCTCAACTGTCCTCCTGACTTGAAAGGTGCTAATTGCAATTTGTTGTTAATAATAATAATAATAATCCTTGCATTTGATATAGCACTTTTCACGTCGGGAGGACGTCCCAAAGTGCTTCACAGAACACACTGTAAAGTGAATTGACTGTATATTTGTGGGCGAACGTCGCAGCCAATTGCGCACAGCAATGTCCCACAAACAGTCGTAGATTGAAAATGACCAATTTATTATTGTTTTTGGTTTTTGGAGGGATTATTATTAGGCGTGTGGAGTAAGGAAACTTGCCCAAGGTTTCGCCCTGCCTGGTTTCTAATGTTCAACAAATACCAGTTTAAAACTCTCCTTTTTAGATGTAATCATAATAAACACAAGAGGGCAGCAGAGAAACGGCACTCTGCAAGAACCAGTGGTGTGGACAGTTTTTTAAAAAAAACTGAAATAAAACTGTTTTGCTTATCTATGCTTTAAATTTAAAAAGATGTTAATAATAAATTATAATGATAATCCTTGCAATTGAAATAGGGCCTCATCACATCATTGATATGTATCAAAGCTCATCACAGGATATATTGTAAAATGGATTGACTGTGTATTTTGTGTTCATTTTTTAATAACTTTCATATTACATAACCACTTTGATATAAAAGAGAGGTTTCAAAGCACTTTACAAACTAAGGTTATTAGAAATGAAGTGAAATATTTAAAATAATCAAATAGCAGTTCAACTGTGCCAGCAGCATCCTACAAACAAATCTCTATTTTTTAAAAGATAGCTTTAGAAAAATGTCCCATATTTAATGGGTATGAATTACAGTGGGATCATTCTCCCATCAAAGTTCCTAGGTGGATTATTGAAATATCTGCGAACTTTCAATAAACTATCTTTTAATATAAATATTAACTTCATGCACAAATTGTTGAGAGTGAAGTGGCTTCACTTCCATCAGTATTAACTTAGCATTAGTTGTGTGTGTGTGTCATTAATTTATTTGCAGGTAATATTTCAAGCACTGTATTTTGGCAAAGGTTCACAATGCAGTTTTAAAAAATAAAATGATAAATAATGATAATTGGGGCTGTTGACTAATTCAAATCAGTTTAAGTGCAGAATTTCAGTTAAACGTTTTAACATACTTTATAATAATCATAATAATAATAATAATTGTCTTACAGTTGGTATAGTGTCTTTCATGTGAGGAAGCCATCTCAATAAGTCCTTCACAGGATTTAATGTGAAGTGGAGGGACTGTGTATTTGTAGGTGAACAAGGCAGCCCAATTGCATACAGCATTGTCCCACAAACAGCTGCTTATCTGGTTTGTATGTCTTCTATTAACTGATCGGGGTATTTTTCTTATATTTTTGAATCAGTGATTTGAGAATTACTTGGTTTAAGGAGAAGGAAAATTCTCCAGTTGGTACCCTCGTCTTTGACTAAATTCCTATCGCTCAAAGTCCAATTACTCCAATAATGAACAATTATGTTTCATTCTCTAGTACAACTCAATTTGCCAGATAGTCCTGCAGCTAGAATCAATTTTTGTTGGCTTTGGGATCCTATATAAATGGAGAATACTGACATTTATTGTTGGCTCCAATATGGAAGCAATACTTGTACTTGCAACTGAAATTACAAAGTGGGGACTGTAACTATTTCTAACCATGAGGTGCATTGAATGAAATATGGTTTGTGTTTGGTGCCTAGGCAGGCAAGGTGTTGATTAATTAACTAATTAGGTAAACGATTAAGTAACTGGAGGGGTTTCATGGCGTTGGCTTGTCATACATACAGAGAAGTCAGGGAGATATCGAGATCTACTGACATCCAACCTCTTAAGAGCACTCAAATATCAAAATTTTAATGATAATTTGAATCGAAGACTGCAACAGCCAATGCTTTTCAGTGATAAGTGCTGCCTTGATTCAAATATTTTAACCTCATTCCTGCCTGATCTGAGGTCTGGAACCAAGAAGGTAGGTGTGTGGGGTGCTCCCATGATTCTGCTAATGTTGCCTGTAACTTGCTGCCAATAAGCGTCAGAGATTGTCCGCTCCCCCAGTGCAACCTTCTCAAATGCCCTATTTGTTGGACTCCCCAGCTTCACCATCCACAGGATCCAGTTGATCCAAAAGTCCGCCACCTACATTCTCACCCTTACTAAACTCTGTACTAACATCACACCAGTTCTAGCCAGGCTCCACTGGCTCCCTATCATCAAATAGATCGATTTCAAGATCCTCACACTCGTTTTCATATTCTTTCATGCCCTGTCGCCTCCCTGCCTCGACTGGCTCCAGCCTCCTGCATGTCCCCCGTGCCTTCCATTCCACCGTTGGCGGCGGTGCTTTCAGCCTAGAAACTCTGGGTCACCCTTCCTCTATCCCTCTGCCTTGCCCCTTCCTTCCCCATCTTCAGGTCGCGCCTGAGGAGCACTATGTAAATGCAAGTTGTTGTTTTGCTTATCTCATCTTGCATTAGCAACTGAGTGGAGTGGGACTTGATTCTGCGTCTATTGCTATTCTGTCGTTCTGACTGCTGACGTGCTTCTTCAGGTAGTTGAATTAGTAAGATGTATTCTAAGCCTTTTTCTGTGTTTTTCACTTCTGATTTAAGGTCACGATGGAGCAGTGTCTTGTGTTAGTTGGTCCCAAAATAATAAATGGCTGCTATCGGCATCTGAAGACCAAACGCTGTGGATCTGGCCAGCTCAAGGCTCAAAACCAGCACTGATCTTGGTAAATGTTTGTTATATTCATAATGAGATGTTATGCAATGGAAGGATATCGAAATTACATTATTCTATAACAAGATGTTGCAGTCATACCAAAAATGAGTGCAATAATAAGGTTCTTTATGGTGATCGAGATTGGAAGCATTTTTCACCTAGGTTGGGAATATTTGGAACACAAAATTTTGGATATGTGAAACAGGATCCCAACAAAAGAAGTTAATGCTGATTTACTTTCAGAAAAAAGCTGGATGAATATTAGAGGCCAAATATTCCATCTAAATTAAACCTGTAAGTCCAGTTTGACTTAAAAATTAAGATTGAGCAGAAAAATTCTTCATTTTTTTGGGGAAGCTTATTCTTTTTAAGACTATAGAAAACCTATGTAGACTGAATTTAAGATCTTTCCACAATTGATGTTGCATTTTAAGATACAATAGTTTTACATGCTAAGGTTAGGTGGAATTTTTAGGTCTCTGCAAATGTATGTACTATACACTTGAGTCTGTGAATCCAGATCATCAATGCCCTAACCACTGAGCTATAGAACTCCACATCATATGGCACAGTACGTCATATGGCTTCTGCCAGTCAATTTGGGCTGCCGCCTCTACAAAAAAAAGTGTGTGATTAGTTGCTTTTCTCCCCGAGTGCCTTAAAATGGACTGTTTAATTTAATTCAATAGTGGGTAAGAAAATTTTACATTAGTAGCTTAGTGGTTTCCCTGAGCGGTTAATTGTGTCTGTTTTTCAATCCAAAACAAGTATACTCTTCCGATTAACTAAAAAATAGGCAAAGAAAAAATTGCTGTGTTTTATCTTTTATCCAATTGAATCACACAGACGTCTAAAACTATCAGTGATTTGGGATCAATCCTTTAGCAAGGTTATAATTTGAGTATCATATTCTGTGAAAGTCAGACATGTATCATTACAACACGACAGAGCAACTTTCAACCACTTAAACATTACTCATTTTCTGAAATGCGATTAGTTTTGAGCCCTGCTTCTTTATTAGATGTATAAATCCAAACAACAATGCACACAAATGTATTATTACGATTTTCCAGTTGACAGCTGTGTACAGCATTCTAGACTGCGATAAAGTCTAATTCCATGACATCATTTCAGACCAATCCACCCGGACTGTTATGATAGTGAGGTAACATCCTCAAAATGAGTGTGCTGTATATACTCTGCATTTGTATAGAAAAAAAATAGGACTCATGGGTCTTATAGCCTGGCAACAGTGAAATACGTACAATGTAATGAGCTCTGTAGATATGCAGTATTGCACAATCTTACATTCACTTATGTTTTGTTTTAGATAATGATTTGGTATCATTTTAAGATTTCTGAATTATTTCTTGGACTGAACCTGAATTCAGAGAGAAATATGCATAATGCCATAAGATTTAAAAGAATCCTGACGAACTTCCTGTTAGATCGTAGGCTTCATATTCTAAGTTTGATTTGTGATGGAGAAACGAAATAACATAATAAGAGCATATTCTTCCTCTTTCTATTGTACATGATTAATCTCCCAAACTGTAAGACTCAATAACTCTGTTGCAATTACTAACTCGTTCTAACTTTTGAATTGACTGTTAATGCTATTTTATGACTGAATTCATGACCAGCTCTTATAAAGGGTTTAAAAACAAATACCCAAAGCACAAACAAAATTGAGCAACGTAACTTCGCTCTTAGCAGCACAATTGCAGCATTAGTGACCTAGTACATCTAATAAGTGACCTCAGTAAGGTGTTTTGCTGGTTATCTTAAGTATAACTGGTATATCAACCTCTTTACTTTTTATTTAGTGATACGTACAGAAACAGGTCTTTGACCCAACTAGGTCATGCTACTGTTCATAGTCCACATGAGGCACCATTCCTGCTATTGCCCTCTCCAATACCTCTCTATTCCCCTCTCCCTCATATCTCCATCAGGTTTCTTCTTAAATACATTGGTGCTTTTTTCCTCACGGCTTCCGGCAATGACTTCCACATTTTCACTAACTCCACATGAAGAAGTTACTCAAAAACTCCCTGTTAGACCTATCTTATATTTATACCCTCCCTCTCTGGTCTTGCCAACAAGTGGAAACAGTTTATTAACGTCCACCTTATTGAATCATTTTATCCCCCCAAATTCCCTCATCAGGATCTTTCTCAATTGTTTCAACTGCAGTTTCTAATAATTTGGCCTCTCGTATATCTGCTCTACCTTCTCAGTTGTATTCTGTGATGCAATGCTCAGCTGCCGTGCTCAAAGGAGGTTCCACAAACAAGTCATAATTTTGTTTAGTCATCTGACAATCTGGGCACTACATTGCTTGATAGAATTTATGAAACTCCGCATTAATTCCTACTGAATTCACCACTATTTCTCTCTTCAAAGTTAAGACTGAGTTCAACCATTTGCCAATTTCTAGACACTTTAAAATGTTACATAGATTTAGGCCATTTTTCCTGTTTGGGAAGAAAAGTAAAATAATTTAAAAAACTACTGAGACACCAGAAGTGGTTAAAGTAGCTTGACTGGTATCAGAATTGTATCCATGATGACCCGATCGAAATATCCTGGGTTATCGAATGAAATAGTTACATTCTGTATTCCTGTTTGATTTGTGTTTAAGTAGCATCAGGAAGTGAGTGAAATAATAACGACAAAGTTACATTCGTAAAGTGCCTTTCACGTCAGGAGGACGTCCCAAGGAGCTAAACAGTCAGTGTTTCGGACTCGAGCTGGGGATCGGGATTGGGGAGAATGGAGGCAGTGGGGGAAGCAGGGTGCTCGAAACGCACGGTTGAAGAGGAGGGTCGTGAGCTGGATCTTGAAGGAGGCAAGGGAAGGGACAAGGTGGAGGGACTGCGGGATGGAGTTTCAGAGGGTGGGGGCAGAGTGGCAGAAGGCCCACCTGCCAATGGTGGGGCGGGTGAGGTGGGGGACATGAAGCAGGCCAGAGCCCGCTGAAAGGAGGGAGCGGGCAGGATGGTAGGGGGTTAGGAGATTGCAGAGGTAGGGGAGAGTGAGGTCATGGAGGGCTCTGAAGGTGAGGACCAAGAAGGTGAGGACCTTGAACTGTATCTTCTATAATAATAATAATAATCCTTGCATTTGATATAGCGCTTTTCACGTCAGGAGGACGTCCCAAAGCGCTTAACAGAACACACTGTAAAGTGAATTGACTGTATATTTGTGGGTGAACGCGCCAGCCAATTGTGCACAGCAATATCCCACACACAGCCGTGGATTGAAAATGATGTTGCGGAGGAGGACAAAGGCAGAGCGGGTCATGGCATGGATGTGGGGTAGAAAGGATAGTTGAAGGTCAAACAAGACGCCAAGGTTCTGGACTGGCTTAGTGAGGTGGAGTGTGCAACCATGGATGGTGATGGTGATGCTGTCAGTGCCTGAGGTGAGGAGGCGCTGACGGAAGCCAATCAGGAGAGCCTCGTTCCTGTTGACATTCAACTGAAGAAAGTTAGCTCTCATCCAGGACTTGTTGTCTGACAGACATTCTGTCAGGACAGCTGTGGTCCTGAAGTCAAAGGTAGAGGCAGAGAGGTAGAGTTGGGTGTCATCCGCATACATGTGGAAGTTGACCCCATGTCTTTGGATAATGTTATTAAGACAGAGCACATTGATATTGAAGAGGAGGGGACCAAGGATAGAGCCCTGAGGAATGCTCCACGAGATGGTGCGGGGGCTAGAGGAGGGGCTGTTTGTGGAGATGAAGTGGAGAATGTGTGAGAGGTACGATCTGAACCATTCAAGGACAGAACCGTGAAAGTTAAGATGAGAGGAGCAGCTGTGGATGAGGTTGACAGTATCGAAGGCAGCAGAGAGGTCAAGGAGGATGAGGAAGCAGAGTGAGCCGTGGTTGTAGATGGTAATAATGTTATTTGTGACTTTGACCAGGGCTGTTTCTGTGCTGTGGCTAGCACGGACACCCGATTGGAGGGGTTCGTGAAGGGAGTGGCGAGAGAGGATGGAGTGAAGCTGGGAAGCAACGACTTGTTCCAGGGCCTTGGAGAGGAAAGGGAGTTTGGAAATGGGGTGATAGTTTGAGTGCAGGAATGGGTCCAGGGAGGGTTTTTTAAGGATAGGTGTGATGACGGCCGTTTTTAAAGTGGTGTGAACGGTACCAGTGGATAGGGAGAGGTTAATGATATCTGTGAGTAGAGGGGCAAGGAGGTCGAGCTGGGAGGTAAGGATTAAGGAATGGGGTCGAGGGAGCAGGTGGTCGTTTCATGTGGGTTATAGTGGTGGTGAGAGAGGAGTGGGAGACAGGTTCGAAAATGTGGAGGGAGGGTGGCTCAGGGCCAGGATGTGAGGGGGAGATGGGGTGGGGGTAGTAGGTAGAAGGAAAGAGGCAGTTGAGTGGATCCCCTCAACTTTGGATTCGAGGAAGTCCAGCATCGCCTGGAGGTTCGCATTGGAGGTGAGGATGGGGGAGGCGTGAGAGGGTTGGGCGGAGGAGTCGATTAGCAGTACAGCTATAAATGTATAGCTTTACACAGCAGCTGAGCACTGCAGAGATGTGGCTGCCTTGAAGGGAGGAAGCATAGGCTGTTTGTGAGCTGCACTCTATGGATAGTTGTCAGATGTATTTGAGAAAAGACTCAGGTCTGCATTTGTGATGTCCTGTAGCTCAGTGGTTGTGGTGTCCTGTAGCTCGGTGGTTAGAGCACTTGCCTCACAAGCGAGAGACCTGGGTTCGATTCCCGCCAGAGTGAAACCTTGGGCAAGTTTCCTTATTCCACACGCCTGATAATAATCCCTCAAGAAAAAAACCCAATAATAATTTGGTCACGAATGCCATAAGTACCATCCGTCTTCTATTAAACTTGCTTTGTAGCTTTTGTAAAGGGTAAATACCACACATATATGATAAGATCGAATAGAACTAGAGTTCAAGTTAGTTCTAGAGGATAGGTGCATAATCGGAAACTGTGACTGTAGCTCCATGCATATTTATGCAGTAACTTTGTCTTTGCTTGTCCAGCATGTGTAGGACTATTATTTGTTAGTGTTATTGTGGGTGTAGCTGAGGATCCTTAAAAGATCATTTGTAAAACCTGTTGGTTCGATATTAACCTGTAATGTTGTCTTCTCATTGGGGCTTAGTCTGCCATTATGAATGGCAGATGTGTTTTTACTTATATATACAAAAAAGGGATTGTCGCATTTCTTGTGTCCATTTTTTATGTCCCAGATTTAACTGTCCATTTTTTATGTCCCAGATTTAACAGTCCTTTCAAACGAGTGCACGTGGTAAAATACATTTACATTAATTGCAACTCTGATGCAGTTATCACTATTTCAGTGCATCAGTTGCTGTGATTTCACAGAATTTAGTTTTGTATCTGTAAGAATAAGCCAAATGTGAATATTACTTACTATAATAGAGTGATATTGAGATGATTCCACACCTAATTTTGTGGCAAAAACAAAACATTAGCTTAATTGGACACCGTACAAACTATTTTCATTGATATGTGGTCGTTCATCTTAAATCCTACTAAAGAAGTACAATGACTAAGTCTGTGTATTTTTAGGGGGCTGACACCTTTCTGAAGCCAGCACGGTCTGCTCAGTTCTACTATATGGACAAATTTCTGTTGTTTGCTTCTGGATCAGAGTTTCAGCTGCACAGATACCATTTGGATACCAGCAGAGATGACATTAAAAGGTTTGTGTAAAGCTAATTTTATAAGATTTCTTTTTAAACTTGTAGCCTTCTTTTCTTGGTAATTTCATTTTTGTTTGGGCCCTCTTCAAGTGTTGGATGTTAATGGTAGAGAATAGGACACATCTCTGTGCTGCATAACACAGGTTTGTAGTAGGTTCAGAAACTCTTGAAGTCCTATCGGTAATGCAATGATCTGATACAAGTACTGAAATTTTGGATGTCCATGTGTGTTAGATGTTGGAAGTAATGTTACCTTCTTGTATCTTAACACAATAGAAGAGAATTTCTCCTTGTGTCCTGGCCAACAATCCCCTAAATAAAATAAAATTGTTGATTCCCCTCATAGCTGTTTGTAGGACTTTGCTATGTGCAAATAAATGGCTTCCTGTGTTCACCTGCCCGTGCTCTCCGTTCAGTGGGCTCCGGCCTGCTCCATGTCTCCCGTCCGACCCGCTCTATCATCGGCGGCCAGGCTTTCAGCCTCTCCGCCCCCACACTCTGGAACTCCATCCCACGGTCCCTTTGCCTCGCTTCCTCCCTTGCCTCCTTCAAGGTCGGTCTCAAGACCCTTCACTTCGACCGTGCATTTGGTCGCCCTCCCACCTGTCTTCCTTCCCTCACCCCTACACCACCCTCCCCATGCTCTGGCTCCGACTCCTAACTGTTCAACGCTTTGGGACGTCCTCCCGACGTGAATTTTGTTGTCGTTGTTCACCTACAAATACACAGTCACATCACTTTCCAATGTATCCTTTTTTGAGATGTCCTTTGCACATGAAAGATGCAGTACCAGATTCAAGGATTATTATTATGTTATTACAGTTTAAATCACTCTGTAGAGGTAACTTATTAATGTTTTTCAGTCATGGGTCAGCCAGACCAATAACACTGCTACTTTAGATATGAATAGATGTTACTTTTCTTAATATATTTGTTTTCTTCCTAAAATAGCTACTTTTTGCAGGAGGTTGATATTTTGTTCACCAGGTATTTTGTCAAGTCATTTTTGAAAAGTCTTATTAACAGTCCAAGTTGCACCGATGATTATAGAAAATATATTTGTTGTACATAAATCCACATTCGAATTGTAGATTGATACATTTCCTGATTTTCTCTATTTCTTTATTTTTCACATTGTAATCACTTGGGATTGAATATAGGTTATTATGTCTAATTAGATGCTCTTATTGTACTAGGCATGATGACAATATGTGGTTTATTATTATTTTTCTGAAGCCACAATCCACATTCTCAATATATTGTTCAGTTAGCATTTAATTTTTTCACAATATCTGCTGGAAGGAAACAATTTTTGAACATTTATTTTCCAGTTTAGTTCAGGGAGAGTGCAGGTTAGATTTAAAAGGATGTTACCAAGAATTAGTGGGTCCAATTATTGAAAGATTGTACAGGTTAGAACGTTTTTCTCTAATCACCAAGAGGTTCTCAAGGAATTCCTGAAACCTGTTATTCATCTAGAGTTAACTCGATGTTCTTTTAAGAATTCCAGAAAACAGGCCCCAAGGTTCAAACTTAATTCATTAATTTGCCAAATTTTGCGCATTCTGAAATATTCTGTTAATAGATATATAAACCCAGGTGGAATTTCTAACCCTATGTTTATTAACTACAGTCTTATCTGCTTCATTTAAAAAAAAGTGCACATAGACATCCAAAAAAAGCTTAGGATGGGCCAAAATGACCAAAAATAAATCTTGGACAGCTTACAATCTGGCAAACCGTCCTACATTATCTAAAACCTCTTTTCTGGTACCTTGGGAATGCCTATTAATATAGATGTTGAACATGCTACAAATGTCGGCCTCTGATATTAGGCCAAAATAAATGCCTGCAAGCTTTCTTTAAGTGTCCACCTTTCAGGGCACGTGGTGCTTCCTGGAGGCAGTTCACAGCAAAGATTATTCAGGTCTAGACCTTAATGTAGTGCTGCTAAGAAGCATTGGCAGAGATATGATGTGTTCAAAGTTGAAGGTTTCTAAGACAAATTAGTGAGCTGCAGCTAGTGGACATGTCAATAAAGTATGCATTTAAAATTGTAGAACCAGAAAACAGTTCAATTTGACCTCATAGGTCTTGGATCAACTTAAATTTATGGTGATGTTTGAGAAATGGTTAATACAGAAGTAGGTCTTTCTGTCTGTTTGGCCATTTTATTAGATCATGGCAGATCTTTCATTTCCGATTTCCTCACTTTTTACTTCCCAAGTTTCTGTCTCTCTCTTTTAAACATCCCAATTCATTCTGCCTCTACGCCCTTCTGAAGATCTTTCTCTTTTCTTCGTCACTCTCCTCTCTCCTTGACTCAGGGTCAAGCTCTGCCAACATTAAATGGTCCGAGACGCTACCTGCCTGAAGGCCGCTATATAAATGCAAGTTATTGTTCTGAGGCAGTGCATTCCACACTCTCACAATACTTTGTGTGACGAAATATCTTCTGATCTTGCTTCTAAGCAGCTTAGCTCTAATTTTAAGATTATTTTCCTTGGTTTAGTTTATCCACCAATACTAATCTTAATATCTTTGTACCTTGAGTGCTTATTTACTTTTTTTCCAAGTTGCCATATTTTGGGGTATTTATATACTAAACTTAAAACAGATGTGTTGTGGACTTTATATTTTTTCATAATTTTACCACTTGTTGGCATATGATCAATATTGGGCTGAGTGGTCCACAGATTCAATACTTTACAGTGCTTTATTTTGGTGCCTTTACCACTACTCTATTTCAATAGTGTACATCTGAGTTAGATTTATTGTTGGGAGACCAAGAGCTGTTTGATTTCTGTGTTCGCTGTTGGGTTTGGTTGTGAGGGAAGAAGAAGAGAGTCAGGTGGCCAAGAAGTGTTACATTCTTAGGGTACATTCCATTGACTCTTCTCGTGTGGGGATTTAGGGGTCTCTGATGCCTGCAGATATTCTCACCAAAGCAGATCAGTCTATTCCTTACTTTTATATTGTCCTTTATGACTCAACCCCCTCTCTCCACTTTTCTTGAAAGATTGGCTGGTGCTCTGAAGTACTCATAACCAAGTTTAAAAAGTTCCCTTGACCTGATAAATGTTGCTTGGTTATAGAAGTTCTTGAATGCTTCTGTATTTTTTTAATCTACTTTTTGTGCAAATATGTTCCATGGTCATCGATACTAGTGGGGAGAAATACTGAGAGAAATTTCACTTGGGTCTGCATTTGTGGTGTCCTGCAGTTCAGTGGTTAGAGCACTTGTCTCACAAGCGATTCCCGGCAGAGCGAAACCTTGGGCAAGTTTCCTTACTCCACACGCCTGATAATAATCCCTCAAGAAAAAAACAATAATAATTTGGTCACTTCAATCCATGACAGTTTGTGGGACACTGCTGTGCGCAATTGGCTGCCGCGTTTTGCCCACAAAAATGCAGTCAATTCACTTTACAGTATATTCTGTGAAGTGCTTTGAGATGTCTAGAAGACGTGAAAAGCGCTATATCAAATTCAAGGATTATTATTATTTATTCTTTTTATATAGCATTTTAGAGTGTTCAGAATTTATCAAATTGTTGAATTCAGAATAAATTTTGTAGTTGGTTTTCTGTAGTTTTTGAAAACTTACAGAAAACTAGCTTCAAAGTTAAAGCTGTGTGAAAGAATTTGCCTAATTCTGCCAATCTAAAATTCAATAAATCTAGAAAAAGGTGAAATTTCTTCCCTAAATGTTCTGATTATATAATCTAATGTAGGGTATATCCTGCTCTTTATTTTCACTTAAGTTCAATCAGAGTCTGTATTTCCTCAGGAAATTATTGTGCCACAATAATTAGGCCATATTATTGTGCCATTGAAACTTCATGAACGTTCAAGCTACTGGCAATTATAAGGTTTCCTGACATTTAACCCAGAAAATATACAGTCAATTCAATTTACAGTATAACCTTTGAACCGCTTTGAGATGTTTCAATGACATGATAAGGTGCTATATCAAATGTAAGGATTATGATTATTATTAAAATGGAACCGTGCTGACCAGAAAGGTGTTGTGAGCTACAACTGGCCCCTGTGCTCACAGCCACAGTTTTAGTAGTTCATCTCATTTCAAACTCTCTGTAACCTTGAAATGCATTGCAGTCAGAGGTGTTCTGTACATTCTATATATATATATATAGTGCATAATAAAAACAGAAGTTGCTGGGAACACTCAGCAGATCAGACAGCATCTATGGAGAGGAGAAAGTGAGTTAAAGTTTCAGGTCAATGACCTTTCGCCAAAACTGTCGATGACCTTTCGCCATCGATCTTTCGCTGAAAGGTCGATGATAGAACCTTTCGCCAGTTTGATATCTCATTCAAAGGATGGCATCCTCAACAATGCAGCACACCCAGCACTGCATTGGAGTATCAATTTAGACGATATGAGTTCCACAGCTTGACATATGGCTTGCACCCACAACCTTCTGACTCAGAGGCGAGAGCGCTACCAGCTGAGCCAGACTGACACACATTTCAAACCTTGTTTCTCTACAGTTATAAAAAGAAGAGCAGAAGCAAATTAGTTGGCAAATTCAAGATGACTGCCACCCAGGAGATCACCTGCCTGTCAGCCGTGAATGACTTCTATTCTTGTATCCTTTATTGATCACATCATAGATACAGTATACCTTTTCTGTTTTTGGCAGGGAGCAAGGAAGATTTGCACAGTTTGTGTTTGTATAATTTAAAGTCCTTAAATGCTTAAACTGTCAATTAATATCAGCACACAGGACAAATGAGAACTGGGTTCAAATAGAAAAAAGAGAGTACTTGTGGAAATTGTGATGTTGTACTGCGGGAAATATTGAGAGCAGTTTGGAACAATATAATCTGACATTTATATAATCTAATATAATATAACATTATGAGTTAGTCAGATATGGTTATGACATACACAGGTGGAGCAGTGGAGAAACAAATTACAGAGGTTTTAAATCATTAATCCATTTTGGCAGATACATAGCAAATGAAAATGAACACTGATAAATGTAAAGTAGATTACAGGTAAATTGACAAAATGTGTATAATGAAATGAGTGAATTGGAGCTGGGAGACTAATCAGGGCCTGCGAGTAAAGTTGTCCAATGTCAGATGTTGTAAAGCAATTTTAAAAGCTAATCAAATACACTAGGGTGTATAACCATTGTATTCTAAAACACTAAGTGTGTAGAATTATACTTTAACAATAGACTTTAACAATAGACTTCACCTGGAGTAATGTGCTTAATTTTGGTCACAGTATCACAAAAAAGATCTACTTGCATTAGGAATGTTACAGAAAAGAGCAATGCGACTAATCATGAGAGTAACGGCATGAGATCCAAAGGATCAGAGAAACATTAACATTGTCTTTATAGGGCTTTACAAAGTGATCTTGTTTACGTATATCAAGTATATAAATGTTATAGATAAGATGAACTTGAAATTAGGTCCACAGGACATAATTGGATAGAAAAGGAAAACAGAAAGCTTATTTTGGTTAAAGACTGGTAAATATTGGAGATGCAGAGCAAGATAGGCAAAATCAATAGGTTTATTCAAATTCTAATTTGATGGGAAAGTCTGTTTACTAGAAGGATGAACTTCAGTGGGCTTGGTAACTTTTTCTCATCTCTCTTTTCTCATGTAAAATCCCTTAATTGAGAGATGAAATAAATGCGCACCAAACAGATTGTTCACTCACCGTTCACTTACTTATTATAATCAAAGAAAAATATCAATATTGTTCATGTCTTCGCACATTTGTCGACAAATTGGGGTGAATGAATAGCACTCATCAGTGACTGTTTTTGATCTTGTTGCCTTAGGTTTATGTGTAGATGCCAAAATAAGCCACCCAATGCTGAATCATCTACACATCAAGAATGCTATAAACACCATAGGTGTTTTCCCAATTTTAAACCATAGGGAAACTATGGGGCTAGGGAAATCCTTTGGAGCATGAGAATCATACTTCAACAAGAGGCATGTGTTGTCTTTAAATGTGCAGTTTTACGTTGACTAGCTATCAGATTTAATCATTAATCATTGTGCTGCTGTTTGCTGTGATATATTTCTGCTCAAATATATTTAATTCAAAAGAATCTTTGCATGAGCTTGGAATTCTAGACTGAAAAATTATCCTGCCGATGGACGGAATAGGATACTAAATAATGTTTTGATTTGCAATGAAAAAGCAAACATTTGGCTAAATTGGAATGGGAAAATACCAAGGAAGTATTTATTACATAGCTTTTTCCCACTAGCTTGCAATCTTCTCTGGTGCTCTGCATAGGGACAGAGGCTTCAGATTGTTTTTCATTGCTACTGGTAAAATTCTTATGCAAGCAGTCATAACCTATCCATTTCTGTCTTTGTTCCAATGACATACATTATACCACACTGGTGTCTTTTCCCAGAACGGTTGAAAAACAGCAAATCCTGCAGATACTTAGACTTGTCTCAGACTGATTGTCTGGAACTCTGCTTGGATGTCGATCTGCTGGACACAGCTTATTTTTCCGCAGCATTGTGGTCACTTTCCATTGTTACAGACGTATATGCATATTTCTGATCTGCAGATCCTCAGTTTTCTTTTTCTTCTTTTTATAGCCTTACTCATTTTATATACCAAACTCATGACACATCTTTTCTATCATAACTATCACGAAGAGCCCAATTTAAAAAACAGCAATAACGATTTGCACTTATATAGTACCTTTCATGTAGGTGAACATTTCCAAGCAATAACGAATATCTGAGTGGGAACACAAGCTGTGAGGGAGGTGCTGGTGAGGGGGAGTAGGGGGAAGGTGGCTGAAGACACAGTCAAAAGGTTTTTTAAACTAATTTCAAAAGCAGAGAAAAAGAGAGGCCAAGATGGAGGGATTTTGGAAGAGTTACAGGAGTGGGAACTAAGTGATAGAATGCTTGCCTGCAAATAGTGTGCTGGACTGGATAAGGAACATGAAGGAGGTCAGAGATGGTGTAGTCAAGGTGATGGATGGGAGAATAACACCACTGAAGTAGGATGGCACAAGCATTTGAAGGCAAGAATGAAGATCTTGAGGAACAAAGGTAGGAATGTTGATCCACTGAGGGATGGGGAGCCAGTGGAGCAAGGTGAGGATAGGGGCAGAGGGCAACAACAACAACAAGATTGCATTTATAGAGTGCCTTTCACGTTGGGAGGACGTCCCAAGGCGCTGTACAGTTGGGTCGGGACCCGAGCAGGGGGGAAATGGTCAGGGTGAGGGGAGGGAAGGGAGGGAGCGAGGAGGGGGTAGAGAGTCGGGAGGGGAGGACTAGAGTTTGGGAGCTCAGTGTGGGAGAGGATGTGGGTTGCTTTTTACTTGGATGATTTGGAGCTTGTGGTGGGTGAAGTTAGGGGGAAGCAGGCAAGCAGAGAGTAGAAAATTGAGTCTGGAGGTGATGAAGGCTGGGATGAGGATTTCAACTGTATTGGGATGAAGTAGTGACTAATGCCTACGTTGTGAAGATGGGGTTGGGGGAGAAGTGGAATTGAAAAGAAAAATGCGAGGGGAAGAAAAGAGCAAAAGAAGAAAAGGTTAAAAATTGTCCAAAAAAAACCACTTTGAGTAAAGTATGTAATAATCTGCTTTCAATTTGCTGCAATTTTGTATGTCTGTTGTACTTTCGATATTTTTGTTTGAATGAATTCCAAAACCAGTATACATTCTTTATTAGAGGGAAATTTTGGAAGCATTACCTACTATTCCAGTTAAATCCCATTCCGACATAGCTGTGGTGGGACCTTTCTGTCTGTTGTCATGCCCATTTGACATTTTTTTTACCTCACGTTGGTGTAAATCTGATTGCAGAAGCTCTCTGATTTTGGACTGCGGGTGAACTGATTGAAGTAACCAGAATAACTCTTTGTTTCCCTAAAAACATATGGTTGCTTGAGTGCTTAAGGTCATGTTATTTTTAAATTGTACTGTTTCACAGTCTGAATCTGCACCACCTGCACTTATTATGTAAATGTTAGTTGTTGCTGTGAACTTTTATTGTGCCTTCGAAGTGCAATGCATATGAAATTCCATGGCCACACATATGCAGAGTGAAAAACAGTTTTAAATGTATTGGTGACATTTAAAGTGCAGCTACTTGGGTGGATGGAACACCAAGCTGAATTCAACGTGGCTGGAACTTGACCACTCAAGAGAACATTTTAGAATTGGATGAAGTAGTTGTCAGACACTTGGTCTGCTCCTGAACCAAGCAAAGAAGGCAAAGAAAAGCAACTAAAATCAACAAGGCCAATTTGGTGTGTGTGGGTGTGGAAATGCCTCTCTAGAAAATACCCTCCTCCCCCATCCTGAAGATAGTCGAGCATGCTCCAGGAGAGGGCTATGCCCCCAGCCACTTGAGAACCTATCTTTGACTTCTATACCCTGCCACCCACTGTTTGAAATCATTGCTGAGCTGTCAGAGGAGAGATTTCTTACACAATAAGTGAATGAACATTAGAAAGTGAGTCAAATCCTACCACCCTTGTATACCACTAGTAGTTTAAAAAAAATTAGTTACACAGAAAATTCAGCAGAAACCTTGGAACAGATTGCTCGCTTATTCTTGGTCAGGGAATCTTTCACTCCAGAGATCTTCCTCCACACCTCCCTTCCCTGCACCCTCACCATTGTTTCCAATCTCATTGTCCACCAACGATGAAAGACTTGCTTTGTTGTATAAACAAAATTTGAAAGGCGTAGCACGTACAAACAGCCATGTTCTGTGCCTCAATAATTCAACAACAACAACAACAACAAGATTCCATTTATAAAGCGCCTTTCACGTCAGGAGGACGTCCCAAGGCGCTGCACAGTTGGGTCAGGACCCGAGCAGGGGGGAAATGGTCAGGGTGAGGGGAGGGAAGGGAGGGAGAGAGGAGGGGGGAAATGGTCAGGGTGAGGGGAGGGAAGGGAGGGAGCGAGGAGGGGGAAATGGTCAGGGTGAGGGGAGGGAAGGGAGGGAGCGAGGAGGGGGAAGAGAGTCGAGAGGGGAGCTGAAGGCTCGGTCAAAGAGAAAGGTTTTGAGACCGGCCTTGAAGGAGGAGAGGGAGGAAGCGGCGAAGGCACTGGGGGATGGAGTTCCAGAGCCTGGAGGCTGAGAGGCTGAAAGCCCGACCACCGATGGTAGGGCGATTGGGGCGGGGGACGTGGAGCAGACCGGAACCAGAGGAACGGAGGGTACGGGCAGGTAAGTAGGGGGATAGTAGGTCGGAGAGGTAGGAGGGAGCAAGGCCGTGAATGGCCTTGTAGGTGAGGATGAGGATCTTGAAATCAATCCTCTGGGGGATGGGGAGCCAGTGGAGGCGAGCGAGGGTGGGAGTGATGTGGTCGCGAAGCCTGGTGCGGGACAGTACACGAGCTGCAGAGTTCTGAATGACCTGCAGCTTGTGGAGGGAGGTGGCGGGAAGGCCGGCGAGGAGAGAGTTCCCATAGTCCAGCCTTGAGGTGACAAAGGCGTGGACCAGGGTTTCAGCAGCGTGAGGGGTGAGGTAATGGCGTAGTCTGGCGATGTTCCGGAGGTGATGGAAGGCGGTGCCAGTTGTGGTGCGGATGTGAGGGAGAAAGGACAGCTCAGGGTCGAACAAAACGCCGAGGTTCCTGACCGGCTTTGAGAGGTGGAGAGTGCAGCCTTGGATGCTGATGGTGTCGGCGCCTGAGGTGCGGAGGCGCTGACACGAGCCAATCAGGAGGGCCTCAGTTTTTCGCACGTTGAGCTGAAGAAAGTTGTCTCTCGTCCAGGACTCGATGTCGGACAGGCAGCTGTCAGGACATCGGTGGTCGTGGAGTTGAGAGTAGAGGAGGAAAGGTAGAGTTGGGTGTCATCCGCATACATGTGGAAGTTAACTCCATGTCTGCGGATGATGTCACCAAGGGGGAGCATATAGAGGGTGAAGAGGAGGGGACCGAGGACAGAACCCTGAGGGACACCACATGAGACCGTGCGGGGGGTGGAGGAGAACAACAAGATTCCATTTACAGAGCGCCTTTCACGTCGGGAGGACGTCCCAAGGCGCTGATTGTTTTTATATTAGAAAAATGTAGTTTTAATGCTGATATTTTCCAGTTCACATATGTTACTAATATTTGTAAGGTTCCTAATCCAAGTCCCCATCTCCTCCCCCACACACACACATAGTGAATAGCAGTTATAAACTGTATGTGGCACCATGGTGTTATGTTTAAATCTAGCATAACCCAATATGTTACTTAAAGGTACTTAAAGGAAATTATATGTTAAAAAATCATGGGGTTGTGCATGATCCCTGGGGACTGATACTTCCATTCCACGAACAGTAAGGAGGTTTGCATTCTAAATGCTGACCAGCTGAATTTCTGCTGGTTATGGCATGGGATAGCTGTTTAACCATGAGGTTATTTGTGATGCTGGTAAATAGTTTTCTCATAAAATAATATGGAATTATAACATTTTCTAAAGCATTTTAGATTAGAACCTTTGATTGGCAATGTGTAGAATTGATGAACTTGATTAGATTAGATTCATATTTGTTTTTTTTAAAAAAAACTTTGGTGAGATCAAGTTATGTAAATGTACCGCTGTTGATAGAGGGTTACCCCACTAGAATGCACTCCAGCTGAATGTGGGTTTGTATATAATGTGGACTGCACTATATTGGAAGCGAGCTGGGTCTGGCGTCTCATGGCTGCCTTCTGAGTCGCTTGGTCACTTCCTGCACATTTTGTGCGATGCATAAGAAACATTGCTGATGTCACTTCCTGCCTGCTGCACACGTGCGCAATGAACAGTCAGTGCTGCTGACATCACTTCTCAAAGGAAGTGAGGTCATCAGCGCTTCTTGTGCACAATAGACATACGCAAGTCACAGGAAATGGCAGCAGTGTCCTGACGACAAGGAAGCAGGACCGGAGGCCATTTTGTTTTGTAGACCTGTTATCATTTGGTGTACGATTTTTGGGGATTCCGAGAAAGTGGGTTTTAATGGAGTTGCCCTGTAGAACATTTTAGCACAATGTTAAATTCCCCGAGTTTCTGAACTATAATTAAGTTTGAATGTTTTTCTGGGTGGTGGTGAAGAGTAGTGTTTTACTTCTGTCCAATTTTACTTCTGTCCACAGATAATTATTTGGGGAGGACAGGTTTGCAGGCCTATGGGGAGAGAGCGGGGGAGTGAGAGTGATTTGGATAGCTCTTTTCAAACACCCAGCACAGACATGATGGGTTGAATGGCCTCCTTCTGTGCTGTATAATTCTATGATCCTATGATTTTATGAATTGTTCATTTTTCTACCGCTACTGTTTACCTTGATGGAAAAGTTACAGATATTGTGTTGACAGCTGGCACCAACCGTGCTTTAGAAGTGTTTGATCTGAATGTTGGTCAAAGTGTAGTAACTGTTCCAGATGCTCATGCTAGACCTGTGCACCAGATCTGCCAGAACAAGGTAAGATATTCCTTGTACCATTGAGATCTGGTACAGCAAATTGAAATACAGTTACCATTGAATTCTAACTGAACTGCAATACTATATCCTGTAACATATGTTGTTTATCGCACCCTTAGTTATAGAGAAACCATTGTAATGAGACACTGCATAATAACGAATTGTCCTATATTGCGGTTTAAGCTTGTGTACAAAATGAAGCGACAATTTGATTGACTATCTTGATCTAAGAAGACTGTATGATTTTATAACTTGAATACTAGAACATCACTTTGTGTCCATATCAGCAATAAGGATAACTCACTACGCAGGCCTTTTTTAAAAGTTTTTTTATATTCATGATATGATATACCATCATATATATATATTATTAGGTCACTGCTAATATCACTTATTGCATGTGCAAAGAGGAAGTGACATCAGCAGCAACCTGATGACCCAGAAGTTGGCAACTTTTAGAACACGGGAAGCTAATATGGCCAACTTCTGGGTCACTGGGTTGCTACTGACATCAAGTTTCTGCTAAAGTCAGGAAATGACTGAGGCAACCTAATGACCCAGTTGACCAGCACATGGGAAACAAAAAACAACAACAAAATTACATTTATGGAGCGCCTTTCACGTCGGGAGGACATCCCAAAGTGCTGAACAATGAGGTGTTGGGGCCTGAGTATGGGGGAGGGGTGGTGTAGGGGTGAGGGAAGGCAGAGAGGTGGGAGGGTGACCAAAGGCATGATCAAAAAGAAGGGTCTTGAGACGGCTTTGAAGGAGGCAAGGGAGGAAGTGAGGCGACGAGACCGTGGGATGGAGTTCCAGAATGTGGGGGGAGAGAGGCTGAAAGCCTGGCCACCGATGGTTGGACAGGTCGGGCGGGAGACATGGAGCAGGCGGAACCCGCTGAACAGAGGGAGCGGGCAGGTTGGTAGGGAGTCAGCAGGTCAGAGAGGTAGGAGGGGGCAAGGCCATGGGTGGCCTTGAAAGTGAGGATGAGGATCTTGAACTCGATCCTCTGGGGGATGGGGAGCCAGTTGAGTCGGGCGAGGGTGGGAGTGATGGGGTCACGGAGCCCCTGGTGCGCGAGAATACACGAGCTGCAGAGTTTGGGATGATCTGCAGCTTGTGAAGGGAAGAGTTGGGAAGGTCGATGAAGAGGGCAATTCCGTAATCGAGCTTTGATGTGTTCGATTGCGTGGGTGAGGATTTCGGCAGCCTGAGGGTTGAGGCAGTGGCGGAGTATGGCAATGTTGCGGAGGTGGTGGCAGGCAGTGCTGGTCATGGCGCGGATGTGGGGGAGAAAGGACAATTCAGGGTCAAACAAGACACCCAGGTTCCTGACTCGCTGATGCTGATGCTGCCAGCGCCCAAGGTGTGGAGCCGCTAGCGCAAGCCAATCAGGAGGGCCTCGGTCTTGCTGACCGAGAGAAAGTTGTCCCTCATCCAGGACTTGATGTCGGACAGGCAGTCGGTCAGGACGCCAGTAGTCCTGGAGTTGAGGGTGGAGGCAGAGAGATAGAGTTGGTTGTCATCCGCATACATGTGGAAATGTACCCCATATCTGTCATACAAGCTGGCTGAGCGCACATGCAGTCAATAATATCCACAAGACAACCAAGGTAACCAAGGTATAACCTACTCAATGCTGCTAAGGGAAAAATAGGTCAGTTTGTTGACTGTCTTTAATATGAAGTTTCCAGTATATTAATGGGATTTAAGAAATAAAAATATTTCCCAGCAGTTTTGAGAAAATATATTATCATGGGCCTCACTTCATTACTGTATTCCTAGGGGGAAGTAGATAATCCCAGAACATCACATGTAATCAGGTAAAACTCCAGAAAATTCATTAAATTTTAATCTCCAATATTATAACCTTATCGTCCACAAACACATGGCCCCCAACTACTTAATATATTAAGTCCTGTAGCTCAGTGGTTAGAGCACTCGCTTTGCAAGCGAGAGACCTGAGTTCAATTCCAGGCAGGGTGAAACCTTGGGCAAGTTTCCTTACTCCACACGCCTAATAATAATCCCTCCAAAAACCAAAAACAATAATAAATTGGTCATTTTCAATCTACGACTGTTTGTGGGACATTGCTGTGCGCAATTGGCTGCCGCGTTCGCCCACAAATATACAGTCAATTCACTTTACAGTGTGTTCTGTGAAGCGCTTTGGGACGTCCTCCCGACGTGAAAAGCGCTATATCAAATGCAAGTATTATTATTATTATTATTATATTATTATGTTATGAATTAAATTTGGGTTTTGTAGAGCATTTGATGTATTTGGGGTTTAAAATTAATCTTAGTAGGTCTAAATTCCATATTGGTGCAAGCTTTCCGTGATGGTTGGTGATTTGGCTAATTCAAATGGACTCTTTCTAAAATAATTGGCTAAATTGATAGACTTTGGCTTGTGCAGAAAATATTTCCATTGAGGTACATATGGGATGGTGATTCAGAATGACGTCATCTCAACCAGACCCCAGATCCCTGCTCAATTCTCAGTTTCACACATGGCAAAATACAAGTGGAGATTTTGGATATGTCCATAGGATTGGCTCACCCTTCAACTCCTAAACACACCGTGAGCCAGAAAACAATATGATTAAGTGATCCACAAATAAGATTTAATTTTATTTTATTGCTTTAACATTGAGTATGTTTAAACCAGACTACTTCTTGGTAACATTTGAGAAACCTTAATGAGTGTTCCCAAATGGAATTGTGGATTTTTAGTGTTTTGGCACTCCAGAGATGATCTTATTTATGTGAAATGACTGTGAGGTGAAAAAAATTTTTTCAAAATGGATTTGATGGGATAATTAGAATGTTGACTCTGATCTTAAACATCACAGATTCATCACTGCATTTATATTCTAACATTTTTCTCTTTGAAAATAATTTCCGTAGGTGAGAGTCAACAACTACATATTACTGAAGTCGTATTACGATAATCGAAACCAGACATTTCCATTTATTGCTGAATATTCTATTCTCAAAAAATGTTATGTTCTGTGTACTTTTTTGCATGATGGACAATGTAAGATTCCTGGAAAACCAACTAAGCTTCAGTTAAACTTGGCAAATATGGAAGAATGACTATTACTTTTCATTATTTAGACCTTTTACGAGACTTGCGATAGCATTTCAACAATAAGATTCAATTATAAACAGATTATATAATTCTTTTAGTTAAATTGTATGGTGTCATTTGTTCTGAAAATGCCTCTAACATTATAATTAGAAATGTACAGACAACTGGAGTATTCCTTCAGATATACTGCTGCATTGCTTGCTGTATTTGAGAGATGAAAAGGATTAAGGAGGAAACATTTCTGTGGGACAACATACTTGGAATGTCAATAAACACTGGAAAAAATGTTAGAGATTTCCTCCTCTATAAAAGGTAAAGTAGGAAAATTAGAGGAGCAAAGAGAAGGAAACCTCCCACAGCCCATTCAAAGATTCCAGACCATCTATGTGATTTACGCTTGCTGTGTTTATATTTCTTGGGAAGACTTCCTACTGTCCTTTCTGACAATCTGTCTATATCAACAATTCAAACCCACAATTGTGAACTGCTGATATTCTCTTTGGGTAGGAGGTAAGTGGGATCAAGCTGGCTCTGTGGTGACAGACTTAGCGAAGGGAGAGCAGAGCCAAGATGAACTTATTTAATTGATCGAATGCCTGAATTGAATGTATCTGTAGTATTCCAGGGAACTGTTAATTGACCAGTCTGTCTGATTCACCAACGGAAGATGTGTTATTATACTATAGTTGTCTGTAGAGCTCTCCTCCCTGCTCCCATTGCTCCTCCCCCAGTTCTGCCATTGAGTGTCAGTTTAGGCTTTTAGCTCAAATCCCAACATAGGCCATGAATCCACAACCTTCTGAACCAGAAATGAGAAAGAATGCTACCAATTGAGCCAAACTTAACCCACAATTGAAATACTTCTCCCATGTGTTTGTTTTAGTAAGTGGTTCCTCTGGTTCTAAGATCCACATTGTTATGGAAACAATCTGCATTAACACAATTTCAGCACAGTGAGAGTGCCTTTACCAGCAGTGCACAGATATAGAATTGGGTATATTCAATTGGGAATTGTATCCCTGAAACTAATATAGACGTTTATGAATGAGACAAGTTCCACTTCTTGTTATTGGGTGACAGAAGCCAGGATACTGAATTTGCTTTAGTCTGTAAGAAGCAGTGTGAAGTTATTGGAGAAAAAGACAGGGTTGATATTCTGGAAGCATAAGATCATATTGCTCAAAGGGCAATTTTCATCTGAACCTCTCTTGTGAAGTATACAATTGTACTTTTTTTGCTACTGGGGTTGGAGTAATGAAATGTAACAGTTTTATTGTACAGAGACCTCCAGTGGCAGAAAAAAATAATTTGCAAACTCATGTCTCTATTCATTCTAGTGGAGTCCTGTAGCTCAGTGGTTAGAGCACTCGCTTTGCAAGCGAGAGACCTGAGTTCAATTCCAGGGCGAAACCTTGGGCAAGTTTCCTTACTCCACACAGAGCCTAATAATAATCCCTCCAAAACCAAAAACAATAATAAATTGGTCATTTTCAATCTACGACTGTTTGTGGGACATTGCTGTGCGCAATTGGCTGCCGCGTTCGCCCACAAATATACAGTCAATTCACTTTACAGTGTGTTCTGTGAAGCGCTTTGGGACGTCCTCCCGACGTGAAAAGCGCTATATCAAAATGCAAGGATTATTATTCTTTTATTGAAGAGGCAGGATTTCAGCCCAACAAGCACATTACAGTTATTATGTTTTTTGTTGTTACAAAGGGTATAATACAGCAACAGAAATCAAAAAGCATGAATATATCTTTACAATACTTTTTTTTGGCCAGATCACACTTGTCCATTTGGGGCATTATTTATTATCTGTTCTTTTTCAAGCACTGTGCACATCAATTGTAATCAGATGTTGCTTTGCCATGACAAATAAGTAAGCTGGATAACACGATTTACT